TGTCAACTTGATCTAGGATATCGAAGAGTTATCAGACCTAAGTATAGACACGAACATTCGGTGATAACATGTCATCAATGAGAATAGATCAAAAGGTGTATCGTCATCGAGCATTGAGTTCATTCATTTTGATTGTGATTGGTGTCAAAATTATCTCCTGCAGGGTGATCTTCGCATCCCAGTGATACTCTTCACCAAGGGCCCTAGGAAAGTGGCAGGTTGTCGGTCCTTTTCAACCAAGGATTATCGTTGATGACCACATGGGGCTTTGGATTAAGCTTGCCCCGCGGTCGCCAAAAGCCACTATTCATGAACGCGTATACTTCACAGTTCGCGATTCTTAGCCGGTCAGTTCCTCATCCAGTAGTGATATGCAAAGAACGAACTACTTCAGGGAACCGTCCCACCTGGATAGCATTTTCGAAATCATATATAGGTGTCTGTATAGCCATATGTACTGCTACTCCAAACATGTAGATGTGACGAGTGTTCAATCTTCAACAAAAGCAAAAGTCTATCTGCAGTGTTCATTGAGCTGACAACTCTCAACAGTTCGACTCAGGAGTGAAGGCTTCTCTGAGTCAGGAACTCTGGAGTCAGGAATGCATGCACCCGAAATAGGCAAGGTTTCCCAAAGATACGCGTTTGCACAGTGCACCTTTAGCCCCTTGATTAATATATAATGCATGTTCTCAAAAGCCTCACAACCATCCTTTCACGATGCTAACTTTTCATCACACCCTTAAGTACTTTTAGCGACTAAACTACGGTTGATGGAGTCTAATTTTCATCCTAGGTCTTATCTCTATCAACTGCCTTACTTTTTCCTGCTACCAAGAAATGCGCGAATTGGGGTCACTCAACAGATCCGGGCTGCATATTATTTGCATATATTGGATCTTGATGTCCATCTAGGATCAACTCCGGTGGACAGGCAGCATTTATCAGGCGGGGGTCGATCATCCGTCACAACCCGTCGAAACCTGCTTCCAACGCCCTGTTCATCGTCCGCAATCCACTTGGCCAACTCACAACTGGGTGTATCTCTGCCTGTTTGAAATATTCCAATCGTGGAGCATCTTTTTATATCCGACTGAAAGAATTCGCAAGGAATTATATTGTGTCTGTGATTTGATCGATTTACGACGAGCATGCCACCAAATCAAGCCATCACCAGAACTTTTACAACTCAATTCTTGGACAAGAATGCTCCAAAAACCCATACATTTCGCATTTCCAAGTCTATTTGTTATTTTAGGTTAACTGACTCTTGACTCAACACATAAATGAGGAAGAAACACAATCCGGAAGTTAGGTCACATTACGCAGTGCCTGCTTTAGGTTCACTTTGCAACCGCCGAGTAAGTCAGTATATTCCCTATTTTGGTATGCAAGGCCGACACCATCGAAATCATCATCACTGCCCAGGTGCTGTGAAGCATATTTTACTTCACATTTTGCGCGCGGTACCACATTATTTATTTTCTCTCACGGCCCTGGACCTTGCTGCAGCCACCTATAATACCAGTTTTATATACATCATCGCTTCAGGGTTTCAATCGCTTCGAAGCTCAAGCTCATTTGAATCTGGAAAATTGTGCTTTTCAGAACATTTCTTTTTCCGATTTCAACTTTAGATTTAGACAGTGGGGATTCAGAATAGATTATCATTATTTTCTGTGAAGAGGTAAAGATAATCCAGCTATTCTTGCTACCGGTATTCCAACTGCAAATCAAGGCTGTTTTCGTCGAGTCACTCACGTTCGGAGATTTAGTGGAGGAGTGGATCGCAACGAGAGCCTCGAGATATCTTGTAGATTGGATCGGGGTAAAGATCGGATACATCGATAACATCGCAACTTTTGCCGTTCCCGATACACCTTATGAAGGTTGAAGCGAAGCAACCCATGGCAGATACTTGATTAGGGTCTAATCGATCGAATAGTGGGAGCGATCATTGGGTTATAGTTGCCATTTTCACCCTTGGAGCAACGTTTTAATTCCAAGGCCCCGTTCGCTTCGTAGACAATCCCAGTTATGGTCAACGATTATTGTTGCAGGATCCATCAAAGCGAGTCTACTTCGTACTATTTAGAGCTTTCAGTCCAAACGACATCGTCCCTCAGGGATAGACCAAATCTCAGCAATCTAAAATGGATCACATATTTGGAAACACGCGTTGGCACGTAAGATAAAAGACTTGAGTTCCACAACGCCGGTAGTAGGTTAAGTGAGCACTGCACTCCATAAACAGTCGCAGGGGGGACTCAGTCTATTTCATCCACCCCCGATCGAGTACCTTCATCGGGTCAGCGGCACTTAGCCTCGTGATTTTTTTGCAGATTTTTCTGTTTCGGTGCCCATCATCGCCAGGCTTATCAACTCTCCAAACCTAGCCAGTCCACTGTTCTTAATATATTAGGGAGCAATTTAATGATAGAGGCACAGAAATTAGAATGGATACATCGCATTCCTCTGCACATTTACGCTCCAGTCATAGCAAAGTTTTCGTCTGCAAGCGAGCTGAATGGCTTGTCCATCGAAGGCCAAAAAATCGTCCCATTCTTACGAAATTACCTGCAGACACCCGAATCTACGAAGCTAGCGTCTGTAGCGCCTGTCCGCTAAACGTACTGTATACTCATTGAGAAGTATTCTCTCCCTGCAACGACAGTACGAATGTATTAGAAACGAGTCGGTTCTTGCATTTACTGTACCTTATATGTATTATGCTGCCGTCGTGATCACGCGGCAGTCAATTCCCCCAAACTCGGCAGAAGCCACCTCGAACAAAATCCCCCCATAAACGTTAGACTATTGCAACGTCGTGGCTTTTCATTTCTTCTGAAGTTCTTCGAAGCATTTTTCGAGTGGCGCGAGATGATGAATATTGGTGGCGTCTCTGAAAAGGCGATAGTTGACGACTATTTTGTTGCTAATCTTCTTTTTCTTTAACAGCCCACCGATAAACCCCCAATAGCTGCAAACAAGCAAAGAGTCCGGGGCTTGGGGCTGAAAATGGCTCGTCTGGCCTGTTTTGGTACAGCGATCGATGATGCCCATCTCGACTAGGAAAACAAGCTTAAATGTCGACTTCTTGGTTGGTGCCACAAAACACGCTGGGGAAATGTAAGCACAAGCACTGGCACTGGCACTGGCATTGCCAAACGGTTCCACCAACTTGTATCGATCGTCTCACGGCTGCCTTGGAACATAGCTGAATAAGACAATTGAAGAATAAGTTTATGGGCACAGGCAGCTAGGGCTGAGCATCTAGAATCAATTCGAAGCGCGCGGCCCTGCGCCTGCAATTGAAGAACATGATATCTATATCTTCATATACATTTGTAAGATTACATTCTTCTATAGGCCACTATACAACCAAACATTACACACGCACGATATACGACAACTAAATTCCAAGTAAGCGGGAAAAGTATCCACCATCCACGTTCCTTGAAATATTTCTCCTTCGCCTTCCTTCTGCATAATCATTTCAAATCAAACCATGTCCGCACGTTTCGCCCTTCACTCACACAATCAGCACCCCTTCCACGATGCCTGGCCTTGATTACGATAGCTCAGGGTAGCTAATCTACTCGCCTACTCTACCTAGGTACTCACAACGATCCTTTCATTCATGGATAATCATTCAAGCGATGCACACAAAGGGAGAACCATCCCTACCAGAAACCCTCAACTCCCTGAACACACGTTTACATCACACCGCATGCTTACGCTCCCCGGATCGTCGTGCGCGTCGTTCCCCGTACCAGATTTTTCGACGCGACGTACTGCTTACAATGCGATATAAAATGATACACAAATCCTGTCCTGCTTGGCGTGAGGCATGGGCATATAGGAGATGATATGATTGTGAGATGTGAGATGGTAAGGTGGTGGTATATGGAGATTTTCCGCGAGTGGCTTCGGAGTGGCTCCCGGATGAGATTTGTGGCGGGGAGGGCCTGAGGTTTGTTTGGTTGATGCTGTGAATAGGAGATGTTGTGTGATAGGAGTTCATCAGGGGAAAGGGAGTAAAAAGGGCGAGGGCGTTGGCTAATTCCTTTGGGAGTATTGTGGAATAGGGAAGGTTTTATCGCGCGATTTGACGTGAATACATCGAAAGAGATGCAGAGCCATTATTTGGTGATAATTGCCTGGGGTACATTTTACCTCATCCAGAAAGAACAGAAGAAGTATCTGTGTACTCGTCGCTATTGCTCGTCACCATGCTTTTGATTTCAATCACAACATCTGAAAGGGGAGTTGTTCCACACATGTCACATGACGTTTAGCATACTATTGAACATGCACATTCACAAGATAACCTTTCCAATCCGTTTTTTCGGCAAGTACTCAGTTTAGTGTTTTGATTCAATTGTAGCAACCACTTTGGGCAGGATGAGGAAATAAAGAATCAAAACAAATGCATCCCAATTGATGATCAGGGCGGCACAAAAAGTAGATGTGCACAGAATGAAAAATATCCGATACTTATTCAGCAAATACCATAGCTTGTCATCCCTCCCCCAGAACAGACGATCGATCTTATCCAGTTCATGCACCTACCATCTCCATTCAAACAAGCATTCAAACCCATCACGAAGTAGAACTAGTTCATATATACGCGAAGTAAATTACCTGTATTCGAGCACTAAAGCTCAAAACAAATTCGGCTCAAACTCAATGTAGAAGTTGAGAGAAGATATGAAACGCTCTAAGTTTGGATTGGGAGATAGGCGGAATATGGATTGTGTCATACTTGCAGAGTTAAGATCTCAGGTTTGAGAAGAAGCGACAGGGGGAGTACGGGACGGGCGGTGGGGGTTACACATTGTGTCACTTGAGACGAGGTGAAACTATGGAAATGCTGGATGTTTCTTTTTTGTGCTGAGATGAAGTTGTGGGGGTTTGGGGGGTGCGTGTCTGGATTTCAATTAGTGCATGTTATTTATTGTTTACTTTTTGGGTAGGTGGGGGGTGTGATCGTAAACGAGGTCCAAGGGCTTCAATGAGTTAGAACTTAAGTAAGACGGCTGGAAAGACATGATGAAAAATCAAGGGATCTGAAATGTAACAAGATACGTTATTAATTTAAATGCGCCCAGAACCTTGCATCAGGAGACAACTATGAGGATCGTGAATCATCGATCTTCACGGGAGGAGTCATGGGAATGCGGAGGTAGTGCAATTTCAACCTATCAAAGCTATAGAAACGCAATATTGTGCTAGATCCCAGATAGTAAGTACGTCTAGCAGGCTATGTAATGTCTATCAAACCCACGGGACGGAAGGATTGAAGGCTATCATGACTTCATGCCTCCTACCACTTCTACATAGACATTTGGCGGATGTTCAATAGCTTTGATTGTCATTCCACTAAACGCTAGGTCAGTAGTGTGATAAAAAACCCATGAGGAATTAACGTACGTAAAGGGTATCGTGAAATACTTCCGGCCCAGTTGCATACAATTCCCAGCCAAATTTCATTCTCGCATACTGGATTAGATGACTCGCGACCTTGATATGCCCCACATCAGTGGGGTGGTACGCTGGCCCAATATCGTTGTGTTGCATCAGGCCGGTGGTGTTGAAATAAGATACAAATGGAGCAGAGGTCCGATTGGACGAATAAGTAGAATTGGTATGCGGATTGTACAATATTGGATTGGACAAGTATTTCTTGGAGTTGAAATATTGATATATGTTGTGTATTTCAGATGCAAATCCTTGAGCTTGCGCGTAAGAATTTCCATAGGAAAAGAAACCCTCCCAGAGAGACTAATCGTGTCAGTAATGTTCAAACGCAGCCTATAAACTTGGTCTTACCATCAGAATTATTTGAGCGTTGGGCCAGACAGCATGAATACCCTCAATCAGTAAGGTATACTGAGCGACGTATTCGGAACTAGTAACATTGATCGCCCCATTGCTGTCGTTAGTCCCCAGATTGATCACTACAAGATCCGCATCATCTTGCTTGGAGAAACTCCAAAGTTCTGGTTTATTGCCCCATATTTGAGTAGCCCGAGGACTAGTATCAGAAGTATAGTACCATTGGTGAAACATTCCTCTGGTGTTGCCGAAACATAATTGGTCGACCAAACAAATGCCCGGATATGCTGTAATGGAATACTCGGTGTTTCCAAGACCGGCCCCCATACCATACGCAAAGCTCGAGAGCCCTTCTAGGGTAGCTGTATAACCCGAAGAAAGAGAATCTCCAATGAATTCGATAGACCTCGAAGATTTGGGAATCTTGATCAGGCTTTCGCCTTTACCCAAATGGACGGCCGAGATCTGGACGCCATACGCCCAATTTGTGACTCTGAGCTCAAAAGTTGATGGGTTTATAGGGTAGCCGACATCAATCGCAGGAGATTCTGGACTAACCAGTAAATGCGTGGCATTTGTTGTGATATTTGTGAGCTGCCAATCCTGACCATTCACTCGAAATCCAATCAAAACAGTGTCCGAAGTCAAAGGCCCAAATGTGATGGCGACTTCCTCTCCCGTAAATCCAAATTTGAGTCCGGGTGCTCTAAGGCTTGTTTAGTCTTCTCTCGCCGTATGGATGGAATTCAGAAATGATAACTTACGACCACCAAGAAACATATTTACTGTCCCATCTTCCTTTGTAGGAGAGTTCTGGCGCGCTGGGAGGGTAATCAGTGAAGTTACGGCCACTGAGTTCTATCTTCGTGTCTGGATAATTTGTGATCCGGACTTGATCATTCTGCAAGATTGTTGCAGTTACCACGCAGGAAAAAGATAGGATTATACTTGAAATCATAGACGACTTCATTTTGACAGTGCGAGAGTTACACGAACAACAACAGAAGGAATCGCAGAAATCATATTGCTAAGAGGCCGTTACTTATAAGACTGCAGGTATTTTGAAGCATATTCGAAGGGTCACGATCGACTGCGGGGTAATTGCTCAGCGAGCGGAAATGTGGCATTTTGTTTTCCCGAGGCGGCTGTATAGTAGGGGCATCCTTTCCAGAGTATCTGAAGAATATGTGCAATAACGAGAACACATCTCGGGACTGATATACCGAGTACTGTCAATCACAGTCACGTAGCTGCTCATGCACTACATGGGAGTGTCTGCACCGGAAGATCGAGCGGCACTCGCGAAGGTGTACACAGGTACGTAGAACCTACATGGATATATCGTGTCAATGGGGCCGTTGAAGATTGACTCGATATGCATTCCATTCCCATGCTCCCTAGGTTTCTTGTCCGGTAGATGGAAGTGCATGGTATGAAATTCCAGCATTGACAACGAACAGTGATGTTTGTTGATTTGAATGTTAATTCTGATGTTGTTGAGTGATGGCGGTCTTCAGGTTGAGAAGATGCGGTGCGGGTGATATGATGCTTGCATAACTTTGTGAATGATTGCACAAAGCTTTATGCATGTACCACCATACTCAATCTTTCTTAGCACCGAATGACCACTTCAATTATCCGTATTTGGCGGGAAGGTCGCACACAGAACGACCATCGTTGAACTTCTATTCTCAACCACTCATCACCATTACTTTCATTCTTTCCCGTGTATAATTATATTTGTTTAATTTGAATTATCCTCTAATGCCAGACCACCTCCCTAACGGAAATCTACCCATACTTTATACTCTCGTGCGGAAATCACCTTGAATCAAGATATTGTCGAGGAGGGGACAAGTGAACGAAAAGAGCCTACTTATCGTTCTCAGCTGATCTATTCACTCATATATAAAAAGAAAGGCATACAAAATACCGGAACCGATTGTGGATCTTATATTGTCTGGTTTGACTGTCTCTTGTCAAAGCTCAGCTCTCGCGGAACCAAACTTTGAATCTATACTATCACCAAGCTAAGGAGGACTCCTGGAAAATGATCTTTCCTGAATCGCAACTACCATGAAGTTTACAGCGCCTTCACAGTTCTCTGTGAGGGTGTCGAAATTATTTAGCAGACTGCTGTTATCGCTTGGCATCATCCAGAATTCATCGCATTACCAAGAGGTCTAGAACCAATGGCCTCACCTGCCCCATCTGTGCCAGATACCCAGCTCAACTTAACAGCTGATGAGATTGCTCTCCTTCGACACCATCAAGTCCAAGCTGCCGTAACCGCAGGCTCCAGCTCTTCTCGTGCAGCCTCGCGAGCCTCGTCACAAGGTCTACTCCTCCTTGATACCACCTCACTCGCAGCTCTTGGGCGCCATTTTGACCATCTCATATCACAAATCAGCGCGAGACTTGACTATCTATCTGAGCAATCTGCTATTGTTGCACAGCAACAATACGATAATGCGGGGAACGCGATTGCTATGGCGGATGCGGAAATCGCACGGTTTCATGATATACTCAGACAAATCGATGAGCTGGAATTGGATTTCGACCGCATACGTCATATCAGGGATATTGTGAGGAGTTACCGACAGAGGGTTGAGGAAATGGAACAGGCGGTGGATAGGAGCGCTAGCGGGCATACGAGTGGTACTAGACATCGGCATAGGCATCATCATGAGAGCTCTGGAAGTTCGAGAAGACATCGAAGATGAAACCGCTAGGCATACAATATTTGAGTTGAAGAAAGGAACCAAAACTCCAGATCTGGAACATTATATACTGGGCCGATTGATGATATAATGGAGGTGAAGGGGAAGGGGAAGGGGGCGGTTGTATTTTCTTGGCTGGGCTAAAACGGGAATCAGTGGAGAAATCAGGCTCGGACACACTGAGAAGAAATATTTGCCTCACGGCTGGAGAAAGGATAGCCTCGCGGCCGGCGTTCGATTTGAAATCTTTGGTTCTTTGTCATTTTTTTCTTTGGGGATAGCGCCAATACCCATTTTTCTGATATTGGAGAAGTATCAGGTCTCGAATGTAGATATTCGAGATTTACTTCATGAGTTTGGGGTGGAGCAAGCGATTGACTTATCATATTGAAAATGTGTAATTTATCATTCTGAAATGCGTAATTTTTCGAAGATTTTCACTCTTGATTCAACCAATTGAACCAATTGAACCAATTTGTTGAATTTGCAAGATTAGTCACTAAATGTCATTCATATCAAGCCCCTTTGAGATCCTCGTTCACGTGTCTTTTCGCATGTTTCTTGATGTGACCATTGATGACGATGATATCATCTGGGGCCGCGATGAGATGAATAAACCATGCCAGGACATTTGAGATGACCTCATCTAGCTGCTAAAGCACTCACTCAAAGCTTCACATCGTTCGTATGCCAATGAACTCAAAGACTCGGAGCGTTCCTTGCTGAACAATCGAAGACTGCCTAACTTGTCCTTGCCTTTGCCAAAAAGTTTTGGAGATATACAAATCGCCAAGATCTATAGCGATGGAGATAATAAAAGGCTACCTATTCAAAGGCCATTTCCAGCCCCTACCGCAACTGAAGGAGGAATAAGAGAATAGCGTTTGCGGTTGTATATCACATTACTGTGCGTATGAGAATGGGCCCTTGATGGAAGAGTGTGTTTTGGATTCCTTTCTTAGAGGCTCTTTTGCATAGGAGCTGCAGGTGGGAATGTAGGGATATAGGTTTATCACCCAGGTAACTCGAAGACGAGTTTCTTCTCGATAGCGTATTCTCAAGTGGGATGTTGATGAGACAAAAGCTTGGTTGCTAAGTTTTGTATTACTGATGTTTACAATCATTCTCTATACTACTCGAGTACATATCAGACATGTTATTCTTCATACCAAACGGCATTCCTCTCATTACCCTCATACTCGCTGTTCAATCCCACACTCTGATCTTATCTCGAACACTCAGTTATTCACCAAGTGTCAATCCATACCTGTCCGCATGTCATTTTACTCCGCCGTCACCCACCAGCAAAATCTGCACCAAAAAAACGCAAAAAAATATGGATGTACATACAACAGTGGGGATTCGCTGGTGGTCACCCACCCAACTACTAATCCACCGATCTGAAGCTTGTGTATGGCAGAGCGGACGGGATGCCCAATTCTCTTCAGTCTATGGTCGTATATGATAGGAATTGGTGATTTTGGCTGTATGTAATAGTTGTAGAGAGACTGGTATCTTATGAAGAGTGATTGGTCTGGCGATGAGCCAACCCCTTGTGGTATTTCGCTTGGCTTTGATCTTCATATCCTGACGTTAGTCTTCGTCATTCTGCCGACTACAAAGAACTTATTCCATCGATCATTAGTGCCGGCCGATGTGACATTGAGTTGAAGTCTTTGCCGTTGTGACCTATGTAAGACTAGCTTGCTACAATGATTTAGTCAGTTGCGTCGGCTACTTAGGTGGTTTCGATCTCATGCTTTCGATGACTTTACGTTGTAAAATAATGTTTCAAAAGTGCGGCGATGAGTGTCGTGTCCAATCCACAGGCGAGGTCACTGGACCGTTTGTAAGAATTGGCTACTGAGGAACGGCGGCGGGGGCCTCTACAGGCGTGCGAGATACGCTCAAATTCGACTCCTCCGGGCCAAATGGCCAGTCGGCCCGTGTACTTTCGGGAATGGCTGGAAGTGATTCGATGGTTGGCGCACGTGGTGGAAGGCTTCCCCGTAGCGTATGTCATAGCGGGGTTTTCCTCCAGGCATATTGTGAAGTTGCCCCATTCCTGGAGCGTGGTGCGATTGTGGTGTCACTGGATGAGAATTTAGATAATCGGGGATAGAAGGACGCCCTAAGGAACGCGCCAATTTGTAACTCTCTTCTACTCCAGCCCAGTTTTTTCGACAGTGCAGTCGATATAGGAGGGTCAGAATGCCTTCTGCGCTGTCCGACGATACTTGTATTGTGGGGGAGTCAATTGCCGAAACTCTAGACCCAAGCCGTTTGAGTGTCAAGATTGGCGGATCAATGAGTTCCCATGACCTTGAGTCGGACAATTCGAATAGATGCCATGGCACATTTGAAGGTTTGAAGAATTGCTGATCGATTGGGCTCCTAGACTCGGTAGACAATAACTTTATTTGGTCCCAAACATCGTATGATAGTCTCGAAGATTCTCGATCTAAATAGTACCTCACAAACCCAATGATCCAGTACTGTTCGAGATCCATGATTCTAGTTCCAAGGCTAGAGTTGATCACACATACCGACTTGAGATGGAAAAACCTGCTCGTGATCCCTGGTACAAGTATATCATGTGAATCACCGAAGTCCGTGGTTCTAATGACACCGATGGTACGCGATAAGAGAGTCGCAACTCTTACCCATGGATTATGCTGACGATGAAGAAGCCCATGGCAGTAATAAATTATAGCTTGGGCATCTGCAGCGTCTCCACAGTGACTACAAGATAGGACAGTCAGTATGTGGCGGTTAACGAAATATGTGAAACCAATTAAGGAAAATTGAGGGATTTCAATGCATGTTGAAAATTTAATCCCGAATACAGAGATGAAATATCGAATCAGCATTGAGCATAGTATCAAGAGAGAAAAAGTTGGTGAATTGACTGAACATACGGATGGTAAGGATGCAGGATATCAAGTATCTTTGTCAATGATGGCTCAGGTCTGTCAAGTATGCCAATGAATTTTTCCTCGACGCCTAGGTAAGTTGCCATATTGAGGCTATGCACAAAATGTATAGCCCAGAATTGGGCAGTAGGGCCCAGCATTCCGGCACCATTAAGTTCTAGGGATGGAGGTTGGACTTCAAGGTTACGTCTGCAAAGTACTTGTAACATGAACAAAGAGATGGTATCGCGCCGGGCTTCTTCCTCTTGATCTTGGAAGACTTCCTCAACAATTGATTCAACTTCTGAGTGCTTATGATCGCCAGTCGCTTTCAGAATCTCAAAAAGCTCAGGTAAGCGATTCCAGTCATGTGAAACCAGCGGTTTTGCACGTTCAGCACAGTACTTTTCGATCCAGACACCCAATTCATGATGACTTATTGCGAACGCAGATTGTCTTTTGTCCGTTGATCCTGCCGTCTTTCTATAGATGTTTCGAGTTGGCGTAGGGCACCTTCGCCTGTCATCACGATGCCGTTGATAATGTCCAATACTTGTTCTTCCTCTCGAGATATCTTTTGATCTTGCGATGCAAGCGGCTTATACAACATGTCGTGCTCTATCTCAGACCACACATGCATTATCAAGGTACCGATTTGGATTTCAACTTTGATATCTTTCCAAGGGGGGAATTTAGCAGGTGGGATGTCCTTAGGCGCGAGTTTTACAATCAGATGAGTCGCTCTATAGCCTGGAAACTCCCCCTTCACGAGGTCTGCTGCTTTTCCAGCAGCACCAGGCTCGTTAAGTACCTCGATGCAATTTTCGAGCTTTTGTGCAATGTCGGAATCCTGATCTTTGCGCCATTTGCTGATGACTTGTAGTCGATTACTTAGTAGGCTGACAACTCGCTCTACATTCCCTGGGAAGTAAAGCGAGGTGCGAAGGCCACTGAAATCGTGTAAAGCATCGAGAATTTGATGAGGACCCTCAAATGGTCCTATCTCTTCCTCACATTGCTCTTGGCCCAAGATCCGACACCAGTCCGGCCAACTCCAACCTTTTGATTGAACTACAAAGCGAAGGCGTTGACGAGCTATTCGTTCTTTCTGGCGTCGCCGAAGAGTTCCCTCAGCCGACTCCCATTTCTTGATCCGATGTGTTATTGGAGGATGGCGTATGTTTCCTGAAGTTAGAGCCTTGTTACAGATATCAATGACTTTTGTAGTGTAAGCTTCCATTGTATCTAACTTGCTATCAAATAAAAATCGGACAGTTTCTAGGTGATGCTTGAAGCGATCTTCTGATATATCTTGAGACGCCATGACAGGAGCTGGTATAATCAATGTAAGGAGCCCAGACTCTACTTGGGACTGAAGAAAATGGTCAGCAAGATCAAGTACAAACAATGTGTGGGGTAGAAGCTTACCTCAGCCTGGATTCAGCCTCAAAACCCCCTGTTTGATATCACCGAAGCAATCAGAGCATGATTGATACAAATTGATTCTCTGGGGTATTTCTGGAAAATATTCCAAAACCACCACGGAACAACCTGCAGAGATTCAAACTAATAAAAGTCTGAAAATTCAAGGGAATAGAGTGATGGTACACAAGCGAGACATTTCATCCCCCACAAACAATAGAACAACTCACCATCTTGTTTCCAAATATTCGACAGTAGCCAATCACATACTTCAGCTGGAAAGTAATATAGTCAGTGAAAACTATAGAAATCTTATATGCATGGATAGCAAATTCCTGTCACACTGTTGATTTGACTAGACGAAATAACAATGTAAAGTTGAGATGAAGTTTGTTGAAGTTTGTCGGGAGACAAGGTGATTGGCAAGACGTTAGTCGCTTGCTTAATAAACTAGCAATTACTAGAGGCGGTGACTTAATCTTTGAGTGGGGACCAGTTTACTGTTGTATAAGAGGCCGTGGTGAGATACGAAACCTGAAGAGTAAGGAAGTTCAGAACAATTGGCTAAGACAATATGTAAAATAATTATGGGCAAGCGATTCTGTACATTTTGAAGTCTGTAAATCCAGGACTCTGGTCACCATGACGTGGCAGGTAAGGCCATCAAAATGATTCATTTGAATCTGGAAGAGCATAAGATCACGCGGAGGATAAAGGGTATCGAGTGATGAGTAGACTGCAAAGTTCATGATAATATCAAGTTCGTAAATGGAGTCTACAAGCGCTTCATGAACTCCCAAAAAACGGCCCCACAACTCCTTGATAGATTCATCAGTATTCCGCGCCCTCATCATTATCGCTCATTCCATTCCGTTCTTCAAATACCAAGAATAGTGTTTCTTCAGTCCCACCAGAAACTCTTTTCCACTCCTCCTCAACATCTACTAGGACTTGATCGTTAAAGGCGAGATCTAGCTTGTCTTTGCTTCCTTGCTGCTCGTAGTATACGCTATAAAGCACTTGCCCACTATCACCCTCCGTGGTCGCAAGAAACTTGGACATGGCATCATCTAAAAGGAGCTTTCCGGCCTGTGTGGTCGAAGATTCAGGAAGGAGAGTAGTAGCGTAGAGGATGCCTTAATCAATTGTCAGCTGTTTGTATTTGCAAAAGCGTTTGAATGAATTGGAAATGGAGGTAACATGATCAGAAGGTTTTTATATTATCTTCAATGGAATTCAGACAATGTAGATAAGTTTTAAAGTTTGTTCATCATATGATGCGTGTGTGGGTAGACAAGAAAAGGGTTAATACTGACATTGACCTGCTGGGCATTCACCAGTTTCGCTAGAATGAGCCATAAAATACACCGGGTAATCCTGACTGAAATCGGATGCTACTAAACTTATCGCGGGAAAAACGATCACAGATACGGCAGAGGTCGGGGAGCCTTCCACTGCACTAGTGAAAAGGGATGCCAAAGGTGATGATACAATGGCCATGGTTTTAGCAACCCGGATTCCAGCGGGAGGTGTATCGTGATCGATTTGAGTAATAAATCTGGTATTAACCTTCTCATCATTCGATAAATCTACTTCAAGTGTAGTGACGCCTTCATCCTCAGTAGATTTTGTACCGCGGATGCCAGTCCCCAGAACATACACACCACCGCCTACCGCACCAGCTCTGCACGCAACTTGCGCAATTTCAGCGCCACCACCCCATTTCGGTACGACAGCTCCAAATCCAGGACCAAAGACGCCAATCGATGTCAGATGTCTCTGAATTCTTGGCAGCGCATATTCTACCTTTGTTCCCTCAAGTGTATCGAGTGACAAGGTCAAGGCTCCAATGAGTGTCTGCAAATTCTGGGGAAGCTTAAACTCATTCGCGAGGAACTCCGACAATCCCATCTCAGCTTTGCTTTGCCAAACCTCAACTTGATTCTCATAATCCACGACAAATTTCAAGAATTTCATCAGTGATCGCTTGGCGCGATTATCGATACTATCATCTTGGAAGATATCTTCTCGACCCGACGGCAGACGTTTCAGTACTGCGTCATCATATAAGAACCAGCTACCGACAGCTTGGAATTCGAGTTGTTTGTAAACCTTCGAAGATACGAGGGCAGATAGGAGTGGTGATCGCGTGTATATTATTTGTGGTGAAAGGGTGAGATTGTATGCTCTCGAGAAGCTCAACTTCTCCTTCAGGGTAGAGTTGTATGTTGCAGAAGCATTGCTAAAAGTTGATGTGCTGCTCTGCGAATGAGACCGCTTCACCCAAGCGTCTGTTGCCTGCAGACTAAAGGCTGCTTCTTCTTCGCCATAGTATTCATTATTGTCGACGTGCAATATCTTTTTGTTTGAACGAGAGAGGGCTCTTCATGGTACTATGTTAGTTAGTTTCCTTCTTGTGATTACCGCGTGTTCCGCGACCAGGCTCCACAACAGGATGCGTGGGTTGTGAACTTACAAGGCAAGCAACGAGTGCTTCAAACCAGTTCCTTCAATCACCAAGTCCCATTGCGTTTCACTCAAAGATTCCATCTTTCTCGATTACGAAAAATTTGTGCAATTTATAATTGAAGCTTAGTGGGCCAATCCTTGAGCTCACTAGCCCGATCGCTAAAACCTTACCAAGCTCAACAGCGTTTAGCGTTTGACATCTTGAGCTTTGATAAACTTCTCGCAAAACTTTTCTTCTTCCTTTTTTTCAATCAGTCGTCCGACACAATTCAAATCTTCTCATTTCTCATGAAGACGCGATCGTACGGAAAAGTCTTTCAGTAGATTTTTCTAGTTGGACGAAAGACCAATTCAGCGTCCTGTATCTACTGCTCTGGAAACTATGTTCTGAAGGAAGCGGTTCGTAAAGGTGTGCTACATATAAAATGACAAAAAGGAAAATATTCAAAAGGCTGGAAGTTGTTTACGGCGCCTTGGGTATTATCAGGCATGAAAGGAAACGTTCTTCAATCAGTGACAAATGCGAAGACTAGATATCAAGGTTCTCGAGTTGCAGTTGCAGATGCTGCATGTTTTCGATATGCAGTATAACGACACGTTGATGTGGTTCCGAATCGCAAGGAATACAAAAGCCGTACCTCTTTCTGGCCGACATGGATATAGTAGCTACAGCGTGCTATCTGCCGGTCTATCGGAGAGTCAGGCATAACGGTCATCCATTCACCTGATTGACCTCGTTGTACTGCATTGCTACTACATAAATCCTGTCGCAGATTTACACAACATCTAGCCACTTTTTTTTTATGTAGCACTCAAACTCAAATGTTAACTCAGAAACGTGTTGTCTGTGATCATTAATTGTTCGAGATTATAAACAGTGCCGACTGTTGAGCCTGTGATAGATTACAAATAATAGTTGGGCATGTACTCCAAAAAGAAATGCCCGCCTTGATGCCATTGGTATAAGATTTGGGATTCTGGCCCTCTCCCGTTGACCCAAACACCGCCGTCCGTTAAAAATATATTGATCTTATGATCGACCACTCCGTACAACCAACCTGCCCAATATTAACCCAAATTAAATGGCATAATTTTCCGTGTGTAAGAAAATTTCGTCTTTACTGTCGTCACCCCAGATATCCGCTTGTAGCTTAGCCACCGTAGTTGCTACATTAATGCGCATTTCAGGAGGACCGCAAACGAAAACGCATGTCCTCCTCCCAAAGATACCATGCCCGTCAGGTCCTCCAGTGGCCATCTCTTTCAACATATATCCTAGATCAGGTCGACCGTATTCAGTAGTCCAGCCCTCCTTCTTCTTAGGTGCAACAAAAGCGAAACGCATCAGGTTCTTCTGGAACAAGGTAGGTGTTGATGGGAACCCAAAGTCAAAGGTTGGATCTGGGATGCTATGTTGAAATTTTGACTGTGGAATCTGAAGCTTTAATTCCTCAGACTTCTGTCGCAAATGAGCAGGTTGAGGGGGCTTCAAAGAGGGCGTAATTTCCACCTCACATGACCTCTTCAGTGTGTCATTTGCTGGAGGTGTAGGTGCAAGCTCTCGAGGTGCGAATTGGTCTGAGAGTTGACCTTCCTCTGAGGATTGCATATAGGGGTTATACGCTTCTGCTGGATCGTCAATATGGTCCTGAGGATTATAACTATTGCGTGCTGTATCAGGAACAAAGCTAGCTCGGTTGGGATTCGCTGATGGCGGAGCATATTGAAAATGAGGAGGATCTAGCTTTTGTGCAGGTACTGGGAAATGAAATGATTCTTTAGAATCGCTTTGTGGTTTAGCAGCAAATCCTAGTGGCGACAAGAATTTCCGAGTGGCCTCGTGAGAATCTGGAGAGAGTGCTGCTAACAGAGAGCGTCTTTTTTCTGAGTTCTTTGACTTAGACTCAGTTGTGGGTGGTGGGGGAAATGATGTTTGTACATTGGGGTGTACTCTTGGCTGTAGATGTTTCGAGTGTGGTAATGATGTTATAGCATCTTCATCCTCCATTCTTAACTCTCCTTCCCTCTCTTCATTGCCTTGAGCTTCATCACGAATGAGAGCCGAGTTCCGTTTAGACGCAATGCCCGCTACAAACCCGTCTAATTTATCGTGGAATGCTGTGCTTAGCGGTCTTTGAGCTCGTCCGGCAACATCAACCTTTGAGTATCGTTTTGCAGTCGTTACAAAAAATTGACAATTGATAGTGTCAGGAGGTGCATATTCCCGACAAATTCTAAGCTCCTCTCTGAACCAATCCATAGATTCTAATCTTTTCAATGCCCACACAACTTCAATCTTTTGGGTGACTGCCTTACCATCCCTCATCCTTTTGATAAGATTTAGTAATTGTGAAACAATTGCCGTGATACCACTTCCACCAGCGAACAGAATGACAGTGTCGAATGCGGCAAGTTCTCGTTGCATACCGCCGTATGGCCCGTCCAGATAGGCACGATATGTTTTGAAGGGGCCATTGTGGGTAGCAGTTTCGAGAACTTTCTTGGTAAACCCTCCGAATGGTCTGAATACCATGGTACAATCCCTATATTGCTCGCCGTACTCGGATGGGAAGTCTTCACTGCAAAGAGAAGAAATGGTAAAAGGATGGTTTTCGAATACGGAAATCCCGGGCATACGGAGATAGACATACTGACCGGGTCTCCATGTCATTTGCGTTGGAACGGTCACCTTAATTGCGTTCTCGGCCATCAGCGTGATAGCAGCCTCGTCACCAATCAAAAATGAATTTCTCCATGGTTTTGCCCAGTTCAAGTTACCAATACGTGTAATATAAGCTAAAGCCCATATGGCAACGGTTGCATAAAGGTAGTTCCAGGAAGTGAGATAGTTATTGGTATGCCAAAACAGCATGGCCACATAAACAACCGCTGCAGGGATGTGGAGAACTACAAATAGTTCATATGCGAGCCTTCGGACGATTGGTAAGGATCCAATAACGAGCCATCCGAGTGGTGCCAGGCAAGCGATTCCAGTCCCATAGATAATGCCACGACTGGCTGGAAAAAGTTTTCCGAAAACTGTCATTCCTCCATCATCCCATACAGGTTGTATGTAAAAGGGAATCGTGTGCACAAGGGCCAAGAAGAGACACAAGTAGCCTCCCCATCTATGAAAGACGCCAAGCCGGTCATGGCCTATTCCTGTTATCCAAGATATTAGATTGGACTTCATGGCTGTGAGAATCAACCATGGGGTCATCGCTACAGACATCATTCCTGCTCTGACAGCCAGTGGAGGGGACCCATAGCGAATGCTTTCCCAATAGAGAGGTTGGGGTAAGAAACACTGGAGTGTTACGAAGATAAGGCCAATTGTCAGCAAGGCGACAACCGCCAAGGATGGAAATGCGGTGATAAGCTTTTTCTTGTATCGAAGTTCTGGAATTGGACGATAGAACACCCATCTAAACAATGCTAATGTGTCATTTATCAATGGTATTGATGACCAATGCGACCCTTTTGTGACAGCGATATACGGCTTCTCGTCAAGAGTTGCTGCAGGAAAGAATTGCTGTTCTGATTCCCCAGTGTGAATATTCGTCATAGTATATTCATCTTGCTGTTGTTGATAGTAACGTACTAATTGTTTCTCAACTTCATTTTTGTGGTATGCTTGTCGCAGCTTGTCGGTCCAAAGATGATATGCTCTAGTTATTGCGACTAGACAGACTATAATCACGGGAAAGTAAGTCCATGCCAACGCGTACTTCCCAGCTTTGTTCCACGGGTCCAGCGTATTAGCTGCGATCAAACCAGGAGGACTAGTAGCCGTGAACGGAATGTAAATTCGTTTTGCGAGACTCTGAACGGCCTGAGACGCAGCCCCCATGGCAGATACTCCCTTTGATGTAAGATCAACCATTGCGAATCTGGAAGTGGATCAAATTCTCAAAAAAATCAAGGTATTAGGTGACTTGTATCGAGGATATCCAGTTTGAAATCGATATAAGTCGGCCTAAGCTTGTCCGAGCAGCGTATGTTCAAAGAACTCGACAGATCAGTTTCAAAACGGTCGAGACCCCAAATGGATGAATCTAGCAAATAGGACGAACATCGAGTCTTGCAAAGCGTAATGTCATTTATCTAATTCGGTGCGTCTCAGAGATGTTGAATTTCCTAGCTGTAGAGAAATCCAGATTTCTCAAGAGACGCAAAAGCTTTGAACGGAAAATAGTGATGATAAAGCGTCAAGATAGATCCCAACCAAAGCGAGACACGACACATCTATACAGTTCTCCGGGTAAAGCCTCAGAGGACAAGATATATTGAAATATCACAAGGTTATCGGTGTGGGGAATGCCCGATGGTTAGTATGCCAAGATCCACAATGTTCCTGCAGGTGGAGCAAATCCGTCACCTTATCACCTGCAACCACTGATTTATTGCATCTGGTCACCTCCAAATCTGCGCACACCCGGAACCAAATGGCGTTCAGGGACAGAAAGAGTTAGCAAAATCAAGGCGAAGACCTTGAACACACTTATACTTTGATATGATGGGTGGCAATGTAAAATTGACGGAACATAATGTATGCTATTGGTAATTGTTGGCAGAAATTGCGGCTTGTTCTATATTGGCATTGATTGTGCCACCCCAGGATGATGGCGGCGAGTCCAGGATTTGGACCCCAAAACGGATATGCCTGTCTTGATCTAGGAAGATGCCGCGGTTTCCGTTATCGAATATCATGCAAGTGATTCCGGCCTAATAAATGATATACAGAGGGAAGAATTTCAAGGACGTGCGTAAACGATCTGAGGAGTTAATGATAACAATACTTGCGCGAAGGCTATTCAATATGACTGACTGCAATGTTGCTTTATGCCCAACAGAAAACGAAGAAGAGCAATCCATGCAGCACGATCTCAGCATTGTGAGTGTGATACACATGCATGGCCGAGAGCACATGCTGAAAAGGCATCGTTGAGCAGAGTTCAAGGCCAAGATTTTTCCTATGGCCCGAAAGAAATTGGCCAATCAAACTTCAAGGATGGCTTTCTCCAATGAGACATAAAAAACGTGCCCCCCGCCATTGTGTAATTTTGCAAAATTTTGTTATGATTCTGTAGTTGTCTCAACCAACCACCACGCGAGTATCAATTTTTCTGAAGGTTGCAGTGCATTTTGAGCGCCAACAGACGCACGTTGATTGCTTCGCTTAAAAACTAGTTGCTGATAGGGGCCCCTGCAACTTTCGATATCCCCCGACTTGGTAGGGTTGTGCAGTTCAGGTCACATTTGTATAACCATCTGCCGGATAAACTCGATGCTTGATCGGAAGTACATGGCCGTTACCAATTAACAACTGATCGTTGATCAGATCCCGATATTGGGGATATTGAAGGAAGTTGAGGTATAACATGTTGAAACCGCTCATGATTCATTACCACTTCTCCTGTCGCTCCATCACAACTATTCGTTATCACAAAGACAATAACGAATGGTTGCCAGTACTGACCAATGTGTGCATACTATCGTCGAATTGGGAGTATTTAAAAACTTACATAATCTAGAGCTATTTGATTTTGACTCAATCTAGCCATGTGCTCCGATACATTTCCGTTAGGCTCCAGAGGTATATCTTGAAATGGAATATTAAGCTCCAATGTCATTGAATGAATGAAGCTCGAGTGAAGGTGGAAAGCGCTTATCAGTGATACCCGTCTCCGAACTAACATGATCGGCAGTCGATGACAGTCGACTTTCTAGCAAAACCGAGTCATAAAATTTGTGATGGAGGGGAAATTGGACTGCACTCCATCAAGATTGCGTCTGCGAAAAGAGGAAACTGATCTCAGTGGACCAGTTAGGACATCTACTCTGGACTTACCTCAGTCCTTGGGCCTCCATTTGATCTCCTTCACCAAGGGTTGATCCGCTGCTGAAGTGGGGACAGCTGAGACAATTTCACACCCCTCATTTATCTCTTGTCTCTTCCCTGCAGGTACGAAAGTGACAAAGGCTTCTCTCTGAACCGAATATGACACCTTGACTTGAGGTTAAACTGAGAATTCGAAAACGAGAGCGGTGAGATGCGAGCATTGCACTACTCCGTAACCATATGGTGCTGTACCACATAGGTGAGATGAACTTTTTGGCAGTCTAGAACCAGCATGGACAATTCTCAGCCTCGTCCTATCAAATTTACAGCCTAGCGCTTAGCGATCTTTTCATTGGCTAAGGTGACACGGCCACAGCCGCAACTAGCAATTTTAGCTCCAAAAGGAAAAAAAGTTCAGCCGACGACATTCAATTGATAAACTAAAGCTTCCGCCTCGTGATAATTAATTCGAAGTGGCTAGATAATACAACCTTTAGCAATGACATCTACAGCTCAACCCACTCTTTCATTTCCTCGCGAGACTTTCGCAAAGCTCTCTCCTCACCCATACCTTCTTGCACATCTCCAACCAAGCTCTCCAACCAATTCATCAAAACGTGCAAACGGTCGAACACCAACCCAGTTTCGCGCTCCACACATCAATACCGGTTCACTCACACATGCGGAAGGTAGCGCAGTCGTGCGTATAGGAGACACTGCCGTTGTCTGCGGAGTTCGAGGTGAAATTCTACTTGCCAGCAATGTTGGAACGTACCGAGTCGATAAATCAACCACCGCTCCCTCGTCGCGACCAGGTTACAATGAAGCAAAAGAATTGGATCTACTAGTTCCAAACATTGAGCTCGCTACAGGATGTTCGCCTGCATTCTTACCTGGTCAACCACCGAGCACATTGGCACAAAGCCTGAGCACAAGAATATATTCATTATTACACAGTTCGCGCATGGTAGATGATGAGGACTTGAGGATTTGGTATCAATCACCAGATCTGAGTGAGCAGGATAGAATGGACGATGATGAAGAATCAGAGACCATCGAACCCGAAGTCAAGGCATTTTGGACTTTATATATCGATATTTTGTTCATTTCACTCGATGGAAATCCACTTGATGCTGCTTGGGCCGCTGTTGTATCTGCTTTGAGGAATGTGAGATTACCAAAGGCACATTGGGACGCGGATCGGGAGATGATACTCTGCGATGACGAGGTATCATTGTCGAAAAAACTAAATTTGAGAGGACTGCCAATCGCTATCACATTTTTAGTATTCAGGGCAAAAGAGCAAAAGCGCGGAAAGGATAAGAAGTTCTGGATTTTGGCAGATCCGGATACATTTGAGGAGGGATTGTGCGACGAGTCAATCACAATGGTTGTTGATTGCAAAGCAGACAAGCCAAAAATACTGGGACTGTCAAAAGTTGGTGGAACTACTGTAGGGAAGGATGAGATGAAGCATGTTTTGGAGCTGGCTGAGACAAGATGGCATGAGTTAAGTCCGTTGCTAAGTGGATGATTGTACAAATATTAATTGAAGAGATTTGATATGGTAGTCGTCATTCCCTTAATGAAGAATGAGCACAGATTTCAGAGTCGAATTCTGGACACCAAGATTTTGCAACAAATCCCATTTTCGTCACAAAGGTTCCTTCCCACACCGCTGAGTATACAACACTAAGCATCGCCTACTGTTGCATTCTCGCCGATCATTCATTGATCATAGGTCCGCATCAATGCATCTCAAAGCTTCAATACAAAGAATTCCAGTTGTCACCTGTGTCATTTCTGCGGCAACATGCACATCGTCGTAGATATTTGTTTGTGATGCAAGAAACGAAAGGCAGTTCTTGACTTCGAGAATTGAAGTGCGTTCTTACAAAGTGGGGGGTGCTATGTCCTCAAATTTACGAATGCACATTCGTTCTGAAGTTAAATGTCTGAGGAGTAGCTACATGAAGTAATCAATTTGTGAGACTACCTAGGTGGACAACAAAATTCACTTCACTCACTCTTCCATACATCATTACGTGTAAAAGTCTCGAGAAGTCTCCTTGATGAATATCGATCAATCATGGTTTCCAAATATCTTATTGACAAGCCCTTCTTTGTTTTCATTTAATACTACATGTGAAGAGCGTCAGTGTTATATTCAAAATTTCAGAAAGTAATTAGTATTAAAGCATATACTTTCAAATCTGATCACGTTTAAGACCCCTTGATTTACTCGTTGTTTTCAGTAGTATTTTGATAATTTACTTTAGGTGAATGCCACGAGTCCTTCATAGTTAAAGGCTCCAAGGACAATTATATGATGGACAATCACCATGCCACCATCATTATGAGTCTTTTGTCGTCTAGTGACTTTACACAACGAAAGTCGTGAGCCACTTATTAGTACCATGGGGGTGTACGCGCCTCTACTATAACGTACATGTACGTTGGCATCTCATTTTCTCATTCTTCAAGATACTTCCGAAAATCTACATATCACATTGTAAATCCCATATCTTAAAGCACCCAACATATTCGGAATATGCAACTACAATTGTTTCAGTACCGTCATAAAGTCAGAGTTACTGGGCTGGTTCTGTACTTTCTCGTCATACCATTGTTTATCACTATCTTCATGTTCGCGTCGCTTTCTGGCCTGTTTATTCTCAAATTAGAAGATGGTATCAAGAACGGCGAAGCAAATCCCTCCACTCACGATCATGTAGAATTCTACGTAACGAAAACCTGCCTTGCTCATAGCCCGTCTGGGTCGGCAGTGTACGATGTTACATGCTCCGTGCGGCCTTCAGGTATGTCAGATATAAGAGTCTTGCTTGGTTCCGAAGAAATCACAATAGTGTAAAATCTGACAACTCTCTACAGATGTATTGCCTCAATTTATCCCACCTGAAATGCGAGACTTGATTTCTAGGGTTCTAAAGATGCGAAAGAATAGACTGTTGGCATACTTTCTTTCGTCAACAATGTCTATAATTGCTTCACTATTTATCATCTTCATATTCAAGCTCTCCACAATCAGGAAACAATGTATCGCTCTATCAGTTTGCAATCTTGTTAGACATCCAACTTCCATTCCTCGTTGACACTACGTTCTAACCCCTAACTGCAATTAGATCACCTTTATATTTCTCGTACTAGCAACGACGGTTATCTCTCAACTACCTTCACAGGTCTTGAACGCGACTACTGCAACTGCACAATCAAAACAAATGTTGGTGGTAAGGGGAATTTGGGTCTTGTTTGTAAGCTGCCTTACAACAATCATTAGTTGTGTCACTTTATGTGCTTTTCTTGCTCTTGGCTGGAAAGTTATTTGGAGGGATGAAGATGAAAATTGGATTTGGGAGCAGATACAGTCATACTGCTGTTGTGGTTCTCGTTCCTAAGACGAAAAAATAGGTTCATCTATCTGCAGAGTTTCAGGTTTATTACTGTACTGTGGATTTGAAATCTTCTTTGAGGTTTCCTGAAAATAACAATTCGTGATTTTAAAATATGCACTCCAACACAGCACATGTGATGTTTTTATCAACTTGGAGCTATATTTGCAGATGGACTCAAGTTTGGAAGTAAAAACCTGTTCTCAATTGGTTAACATTATCAAATAGTGTGTACGAAGAGAAAATGGAAGCTAGGTGTGCAGTTATTGGAAGTTGATATGAAAGTAGCTCCCTTTCTGCCTATTTATATTTTTATAATGTATTACAATGACAGCCATTCTCTTCTTCCTTAAAATCTCTCAAGATCAATCATCTTATCATCACATGCCCACATGGACTCGCAAATGAGGACATATGAGGCTGAGTGAATTCTGAGGTGTATGACTGGATTTGCGGCTTATAATATTCGAGTTAGCACTTGATATTACATCTCGAATCAACCTCTTCGGTACGTAGAGTATGAGAATTTTCGTCGAGTTTTGTGAAAAATGGCACCTTATGCTCAGCCCCTTTTTCTCATATCGAAATCCTGCACACAGGATATCTATCTTTTCAGATTCACCTACATGTGAGTGCATTACTATTAGATGCTATAGGTTTCAAATTTACAGAAATGAATAGTAACATTGTGTAATTTCCCAGCTCGGGGCAAATAGCTCCGTGTAGAATTAAAGCTCCATGCCATAATTTTTTTATAATCCTTCCCAACTGTATCTTCTCTCGCCCAACTATCTTTCATCCCCAGAAATCAGTTTCGAAGAGTCAAAGAAATTAAAAAGTTTGCACCATGACTGATAAAGCCCAAGATGAGGCCGAAAAGGCCGCTTTGAATCCATCCTCAGGAGAAGACGCCGCTCTCAAGGAGAAACTCGTTGTGCGAGGAGGCATCTGGCAGACAGGAAAAAACTGCGTTTCATACTTTTCCACCCTCAGCATCTTCACGATCACCACTCTTCTTATGATTCCCGGTCTCGCTCTTGCGTGCTATCATCAAAAAGCTCTTCAACTTCTTACGCTTACCACCGCATCTACTGCTCCTGGTAAAGTTAGTGGAGGTTTGAATACAACAAATGGGAGCAGAGATAATCTCACCTATAAGATATATCTATGGTATTATTGTGTCTCGGGTGTTGCTACTGGAAGTGGTAATTTGGTGAATATAACGGATAGTTGTCATCAATCGAGACAAGGTATGTACCTCCCAATATTTATATTCTTTTCTTGTCATAAAACTGCATGTCTAACACTCGTCTCTTTAACACAGCATTGACCTATCACATTCTCCCTTCCCTCAACTCAACCTTTACACCTCCTCTTCCTGGATACGATGTCTCTGGTCCTATCATGGCGATAAATGTTCTCTTCCAGAACTACGCATATCCAGCCTTTGCCTCCTACGTCGCCGCCATCTTCCTCTTAATCATATTTGCCAGTTTGTTCAATTGGTGGTTCGGTGCTACTGCCACGCCACATAAGAAAACACTTATGCTCGTACTTTCCGTAAGTTACCCATTCCTTTTCTCCTCCAACACAGCTCACTCATCCCAATAAAGCTCCTAACACATCACCCCCTAGATATTCACAGGTTGTTTCGCAACCCTTGCAGCACTTCAAACCTATCTCTGCCACCAAACCATCTACATCATCAACCAAACCATGGAACATTCCAAATCCACTCTCCAAATATCCATCACACCCGGTATTCTCTACCTCCTCATCATCCATCTCTTCTGGATTATCCTTCTCCTCAACGTCCTCATTATCCCCATCACAACATGCATTAAGCGCCGTCGCGCGAAGCGACAACTACAAGCTCTAGATGCAGATGCACAAGAGCTCAAAGAAAGAGAACCTCTAGAGGGCGATACTAAAGTATGTATTAGTCCAGCTGAGCCCGGTGATTCGGAGTCAAGTGATGATGATCACAATATGTCTCCGCGTGGTGTGCCGCAGTATGCTATGCCTCAATATGGTATACCCCAATATGCTGTACCCACATATCCTCATCCCGGTATGCAGAACCAGGGTTATTATGGTCATGGCTATGGTGCGCAAATGCCTATGCTTATGCCTATCTCTGATCCCATGCAGAACAGCGCGTATCAAGCACAGTCTGGAAAACGCAAGAACAAGGGGAAGCGAGAACAAGAAAGGGATGTAGAAAACTAAGTACTTAGAGGATTTGTTGTTTGAAAATTGTATTTTTGTAATACTATGATTCTTTCATTGCGTCACATTTTGGTGGAACTCCTAGATTTGGGATGAATGGAGGAGTTAGTCGAGTCAATCCATGGCATGAATTTTCATGTCTTTTTTCTCAAGTTGAACTTTCGATGGGATGTTTGGATATTTGAGGATGACTCGGAGGAGTCAGATAGAAGTTAAACACAAGTCATACCTTTTCGTGATCATAATTCATTGCATGCGATCCATAGAGTCTAGTTCGAGGAAGACTCATAAACTTTCCACTTCATCCTTTTCTTCTCTGCTCCTTTACCATTTCCACTTTCGCAAGCCAAGTCTTTAACCAAACATAAACATCATACCCCAGATACCCACTCCAAAGTACCAACTCCAAACAATCAACACTCAAATACCATCATGTTGAAATTTCTCCAAATCCCCCAAGAAAAACGCCAAGGTCCTGCCCGTAGATACTACCACGGTCTCTGCACCGTCACCGCCACCTCCATCATCGTCATTATCTTCATTCTCATATCTCTCGTCTATCAATTCCCGGGAAAAAATAACTCCATCCTCGATATCGAAACCCCAAGTATCACTTATAAAATCTATATTTTCCAATACTGCGTTTCTAGCGGCCACGAAAACGATAGCGGGGTTGACAAAAACCCAAATGCGAAAGATGGATTGGGGTGTCATTTAGATCTTAACCGTAAAAGATTTTCTCATTTCCTATCTCTATTCCCAAATTCCACAACTGCATGATATAATCACACACGCCCCGAAAAAAAGAAAAAACTAACCCAACACCACACGTCCCAGCTCTCGGCTACATTGTCGCTACAACCAACATCCAAGCCGAACCCAGTGATCTCACCACCTTCTACGCGTTAATGACCGTCGCATTCACATTCTACTACGTAGGCTGTCACGTGGTCGGTCTCACAATATATCTCTGGTGGCGCTGGTTTAATCGACACTTTGACCCGGGAGAAAAAGTTCCCAAGAAAAGTTTCGAGAAGTTGATGTTGGCGTGTATTGTACGTATTTCCCTCTAATATCTATCTCCGCCTAACCCTCCCCCCCCCTTTTCAAAAAAAAAAGAAAAAGAAATTAACACCTCAAACCCCCCACCAGATCGGCCTAACCATCTTCTGCATCCCCGCCTCCTGCCTAACCCAGGCCTCCTACCTTGGCAGCGGCATCTCCGGCAACGGCGACGGAATCCCCAAATCCTATTCCAAAATCGGGAATCTGTACATGCTCCTCGTTCACTCTCTCTGGCTCTGGTATCTCGCCTCTCTTCTGATCATATTTCTCCTCTTCAGAAAAGAATATCCCAAGCCAGCCAAAGAGAAAAAGGAAAAAGATGAAGAGAAATCGGAAGATACCGAATCGGAAGACACGGAATCGGTTTCCGGTTCGTATTATGGAAGTGATTCGACTTTTGCTTCGGAATCTTCGGGTCCGTCTTTGTGGGGAGGGGAGGTGCCACGAGATGGCGTTAGTCGTGTATAATGTTGAGTAGTCAGACATACGTGTGTACATAGGATATCCTTTTTCTTCTTCAATTTCCTTAGCTCGATGAGTTGAATATAAACATATATTCATGATAATTAACGCATAAATCACATGTGACTCTATATTACTGAAAAGCGAACCACTAACGTGCAAGTCAATAAATATCAAAGATCATATTGACATTGCCACTGATAAAATATTAGCATTATGAACAACCCACTCCCCCTAGGATCTCCAACGTCTCCCAAAAGCAAAAGCACAACAAAACCATCCCATGCCCATTCCAATATCATGTTCTCTTCCCCTTCAAACCCATACGTACATACATATATACATACATATACAATCCTATCAAATATCTCACTCAAGAACTTGACATCCATCAACCCCACACTTGCACTCACATTTCCCCCTCCCCTTCCTTCTCCATAGCACCACCATCTCATAGTACCACCATACCGTCCCGAAACTTGAACACATCACACCCTCTATCCAACCCTCTATTTAATCCTCTATCTAATCTATTAGCATGCCTAAATCTATAATCTCTCATTCCACTTCCCGACCCAAAATAACTATACTTCGAGTGTCTGTCAAAGAAAACAACAACCAACCTCCCACTAACCAAAGGTCTATATCTCATTCCTTACACCCCCCAAATCCATACATAATGAATCATTAGCACTAGCCACCTCAATAGCACTTGACTCCTATCGACACAAAAATTGCGTCGCAAACATAGATAATCTCATCTCAAATCTTACACCTCACCAATCCATGCAACACTCATTGAACACAAAGTCCTATCAATTGCCAATCAAATCAATTTATTGAGTGTACGTGTGCATTTTCATCTACTACTAGGTTTCTCCTTTCTACCCAACAGTCCCACCCCTGCCGCTCTTATCCACCCCTTGACCTTTGACCATCGAGTATACATTACTCTCATACTTGATTCCACTCCAACAACTCTCTCTTTCCTCAAGACGTCTAATCTCTAACCAAATTCACGAGAATGGGTACATTTGAGTCCATTCGATCCAGTCACAAACCCTGACCTTGTTTCTCAAAATTCATTCCAGTCCTGAAATCTTACTGGCATTAAAAAAGATTTCCTATCTTCCTCGACCCCCTCCAACCTCCCTCGAGCTACGGGGTTGTTCATGTGTACTCCCATACGCCTATGAAATCAAATAACAATTTGTGAGCCATTCGACCCCTCAAAATAATTGAAGAAAAGAAAGATTCTCCATGATGTAAGAACCAAAGTCGGAGCTCAAGTGAAAAAATAAGAAGAAAAGGTCTTTAGTCCGAAAGTTCGAGCAGAGTACCATATCCAAACTCCGGGACGTTAGGCAAGAGTGATATGCCACACGAAGGGTAATAGCAATGCAGGGATAGGAGAACAATATGTGGTAACCATGGGTGCTCGATGAATGTTAAATCAAACGCAGGCGTCTAGGTCCTTGATATCTAGAGTGCAATAAGGAAACAATTAACGAACTTGATGTCGATTGGTAATTCAAAGTAGCTGAGGTGTTGGTGTTGGCAATGGCTTATTCTCAACCCTTGGCTTTCGTGGCCCTCCCTTCAAACTCTTAACTCTCGACAAGAACCCTCCACCATTGGATACGGGGGGCCTGGAAGAATCCCCGATGCTATCGCTAGTGACACGCCTTTCGATTCCTGGGGGGTTAGAAGGAGCACGAGAGCGACCAGGTCTTGGTGGCAGTTCTGCGAATTTGACTGTTTCCTCCTTGATAGTATCGTCGCCCTTGCCAAATTCATTGAAAAATGGGTTGGCTTCAGTTGTCCTACTTCCACCGGGTGTGTATCCGTCTGGAGAAGTGGCGTTGTACATGCCTTCTGGGCTAGTCATTCTCCCGAGGGGTCCGTAATCGCGCCGGCTATTGATGCCGCGGATCTTCTGTGCCAATGACTTCTTTCGAGAGAGCCCGCCATCCATACCAAATTGCTCACTCTGGTTCTTTTGAACAGCTGAACGAGAGGCTGGAGCACCTTCAAGGAAAGTAGAAGTTCCCAGGCCCATGGATTCTTCACCATGAACTGGCTCAACACGTGTGGTTGCACTTTCAATGGCAGATTCTGTGCGGCTAGGCATTCCCGGGCGATGAGTATAAGGTTCAAAGTTATCGACTTTATCTCCTCCACGGGAATAATCAAGATGTGCTTCTGCGTCATTATTACCCATAAATGTTGCATGGTCAGGTTTCTTGTTCAGAGGTCCTCCACCACCAAGTGAATTGTTGGCTGAATCCTTAGCGAAGGCTTGCATTGGTGCACGACGACTTCCTGCTTTATTACGGTCTGGCCTGCAAGCATCGAATGGGCCATCATGATGGAATGCTATGCGCCGATTAGTAGTGTTATTATGATAGAGAATGATAATTTTTAACTTACTGCCAATTCCGAAAATGCTGGTGGCATCTAGTTGATCAATAACATCGAGAGGTGCCTTCTTTTTGGTCTTGCCTGCAGCGCGCTTACGATCACGATGTCTCTTTTCTTTCTCTAAGCGTCTACGTTCATCTTCTGGATCAAGTAATCTGGGCTTTCGCTCCAGGATAGATGTGTCGGAGTTACGTCTTGCTCTACGTCTTGGGCTATCGTTGGGGTCGGCAAAAATATCTAATACTTCTTCTTCGCGTGGGCTGCTGCTTATAGATGGCTTTCCAGCTGCTCTTCTCGCACGCATTGCCTCTTCTTGTGACCTCATTGGCCTGTGTCCCGGTGGCCTTCCCGGAGGAATGTTCTCTCCCTGTGGTCGGGTTGTACTTGTGTTTGAGCGTACCATCCCTGGTTTGTTATTTCTGTTTGGAACAGGTCTATCTCCGATCATCAGTTCGTCCTGCATTATTGATGTTAGCGATACTTTCTTATGTAGCCATATTGTAGGTTGAGGTCCTCCTGAAGTGTGTTTGTGGGTCCTTCAGGCTCTACGTCTAGGCGAAGAGATTATGAGAAGGGTATTCATGGTTTGAGATGAACGTACAAATAAACCCGCTGCATTTCCTGTTAAAGCTGGCCCTGCTGAAGTCGGGCTCGTTCGAGAATATGCCATAGTGTCTGGTGATGTTTGATTCGTAGTTGAAGAATCGAGAAATGGATTTCGTGATAAAGGTCTCGGAGGAGGTTCTCGGGGGGAACGTTGGGTAGAAGAAGGCATAGCTGGAGACACGGCTCGATTCCTAAAGGGGTTGTTGGATGATAGATTGGCTGAAAGTCCAGGCGATCGATTGCCTGTTTAGAAAATAAGATTCAGATATCAGTCTATGGATTCATGCTTGTCGATGATGGGGAATAATAGGAAGAGTGAAACGCTGAACATCCAACTTGATACAGGCCAGCCGTGATAAGTGGGGATGACAGTTTTGTCGTCGCAGACTTGCGGCGCATAGATTACAAGAATGACATGAACTTACCATCAAAATCTGGTTGGATAGAGCTTAACGACATTGTGGCCGTGATTATGATGACGACACAGATCTCCGAATTAATTGCTGTAATAAGTTGTGATGAGTTGATTAAAGGAATCAGGGGAATGTGATCCGGTTTATTTTCCAATTTGACGTCGTTGTATTGGTGTAGAAAGCAAATACAGTTTTTGTTATTCGTCGTTCCTCTTTTCGAAGTATGTTTGAAAGTTTGATAGGTTTCTTTCTAGTTCACGGAAAAGAAGAAGTGTGTGGGTGATGGATGACGATGACTGGTTGTTGGTAAGGTATTAGGAGGTCGACTGATTTGAAAGAATGAATCCGTTTTCTTGGAGATTGGGATGGTACGGGATGGGTTTTGACGATTCTTGTTGGTTCCTCTAGCTCTCCCGCTTCTAGAGCAACTTGTACACGAGTTACTGTACTATATCGTACTGGAATTGAATCAAGAGGAAACCACCTGGGTGAGCAAGGTAAGAGAGAACAGACCGATCGATTTTGGTCCGTGTCAGGATAAACGGTGAATTCCTTAGCGACCGAGGCTTAAGCAAGCACTCACTACCTATGTGATGTGTAAATTTGTGTTTGAGACGTGTAGAATCGATTGGATACCAATATCAATACATATGTCAATATTGATCTGATATTCCTTCCCCCCTTAAGCTTAAGAAAGGCGTCGTGTCGTCCTCGTTTCCTTTCCTGTGGTCCTTTCGCTTTAAGTCTCAGGATTAATTGCTCGCAATCAAACAAATTAAAATCCTTTGGGGAACCTCAAAGATGGTAAGGAAGGGATGGGAGGGGAAGGGAAAGAAATGTGGATAGCGATGGATAGGATGTGAGATGCGAAAATGCTTGATGAACAATCGTAATCTTATATCCCCGTTCGTCTCCCTTGATACCCTCTGCTAAAATTGAATTTAGAGCCGAATTTGATTCGAGGAGTGTGTATCAAGTGTGGATTCGATTTCGACTGCTTGACGATCTTCAAATTTAGTAATTATGGTTCTCTCCCAAATTCCTTGTCAAATCTGCAAAGTACAAGTAGGGAACCGAGGGTTGAAATTGTTCAGGAGTCGATAATAATGTGGATTTGTAAGTTGTGGGGGTTTGAATGGAAAAGCAAATGAAGGGCGAAATGAAGTTTGAAGTTCCAGATGTTTGATTGATTAACGGCAGGATGAATGAGTGAGAATGAGGTTGTAACTTGTATGGATGTGTGGATGTATAAATTTGACCGATTCCTCTTTCGTTGGAATGAAGGAGATGAAGAGGTTGAGAGGTTGAGAGATGGAGGGATAGAGGGATAGAGGGATAGAGGACGAGAAGGAGAGGACGAGAAGGAGGAGGGGAGCAGCGGACGTTTGATGCGGAATCCAGGTGTGGAAAAAGCGGGGAGTAGCTGTTCGTCCTTTTCTTCCTATCTCTTCTCTTTTCAATAACAATGATTACAGGATGTAGATATGATAATCTGATTGTGGGTGTGATGTGACGTGGTTGCGTATATTGTAATCGTCCCTTTGAAGGTAATCTATTCCCTTTTTAAATGATTTCGATCACCAGAATCTACCCAGGTAGGTATGTATTTCAAATTATCCAAACGGGTAGAAGCATAGGTAGGTAGGCAGGCAGGCAAAGTTCTCTTTGGTACGATGACGATGTCTTTTGCTATGACAATGCAACTCTCTTTTTTGGTGGTATAAAAACGATAGTTGGGCGAAGAACGATTGATATTATTATGTAGTATTTCCCACTGTTGATGTGTATTGTGCAATGTAGTTGTAAATGAGGTTGTTGAGAGGAGCTGTGTAGAAACTGTACCGAGTATGTTGTAGTGAAAGAAAAGGTTTTGAATGTTGATAAAGTCTCTATAGGTAGGTGATAGGTAGGTAGGAGTATACCTATGATATGTCAGAGAGGTAAAGAAGAAGCTTTCTTCCTTTTTTGGGTGAATTGTGAATGGATCAAAACATCAGATGAGCAGCTGATGAAGGTATCTCTTGACCTTTTGAATCACACTTCCTTCTATATTTGGTAATTGTCTAGTATCTAGTATGTAGTAACTATCTAATATCTGATGGATATTACAAAGTATTGAATGAATAATGGATACCTACCTAGTAATACCTCCCCCTCACCCTCCCTACACTACCTTGAATCTCATATATCTTCAATCTTCTTTCCTTGTTACCTTTCGCTCATTCCCGATTCCCTATGTATGTTGTACTTTTCTTTTTGCATCAATATCCAATGCCAATGTAAGATTTTCTAGAAGGGGTTTGGATTCGGACAAGGAAGCTACATTAAAAGTTCGGGGAAACCTTGCTAATATTTGGATACCATCGTCCGATCGAAATATGAAATCTCTCCAAAATAATGCAAAGCCTCAACTCCTCCTAGAAGCAGGTACGACTCTGTACAAATCCGAATGCAACCTCCAAAGGAGCTGCCGATGTAAGATACATGGTACACACGAGAAATCTATTACTCTACTAACTACTCCTGAGCTATTATAGCTACCTTTCTCTAGATCCCACTGATGAATCCCAATATCGATTTTGTTAGAGGAAGGATTGATTAAGTCTTTTTGGCTGAATAGCTCGAAAATAGTCCCGCCTGTCGCCTGCTGTCGAAGAGACATAAGAGTAATGGTAGTAGTATTTGGCAAAAGCCACCGACTTCTGAGCCACCCCCAACCGAGAGTTTGTGGAGGAACACTTACCTGGACGAGTTTAGTTTGGCGTCATTTAACTTGACCGTCTCCAAAGTAACCGGCTCATGGTATCCAGTAGCCAAGTCAAGATCGTACCTAACTCAGACACTACTACGTACTGCTATCAGACCTTATCCCGATTGTTCGAAAGAGCTTCCTCAAGATGGGGAAGGGGGGAAGAGGGTTTGACAATTGGTGTATCTCAAGACTTTGTGCAAGATCGCGTAAGTTAGAAGAGTAGTGTTCATAGTGTATCTATCATCAATCGATGCTAAGAATTGGACATATTTGAAGATTCTAGATTCTTTTGGGTTGAAGATTCAATACAGAATAAACTGATCGATTCCTTTCAAGTTTCCACTCATCAATATTTCTATTGCCGAGATTTGTTTGCACTGGCTAGACTGAACAGAGAACACATAAATTTGACAGCAATGCCCAATGCCGAGAACTGGAGATTTTGGACATCCAAGTGGATCTACTAGCCAGCATCGCCAGGGAGGAGAGATCTCAAGAGGGGTTGGGAATAGGGGACCTATGATAGCTTCAGGTACAAGAGTCAAAGTCTCCACTCTAGTTAGTTGGTAGTTTGATGTTCCTGATGTTCCTGATGTTCCTCATTTTAAGCTTCAAAGCACCAACAAAATTTCATGGAAAAAAGGTCCAATCTTACAAGACCGACGAGACAGATAGAGTATGAAGTATGACAGCTTCATATTTATGCAACGAGAATCCATTAAAGAATCTAGACAAGTCTTCGAAAACTCAGATTCATGCAAAAGATCTCCTCAGGCATCTCATAATTCAAAAGATTCGGGCCCCCTGGTGGTTGATTTGAATTATTAGATAGGTACTGACTGACTAATCGGTTAATGTAAGGCCAAATTCGGCCTAGCTGAGCTAGCCTTATCAAGCTTGCATCAATGCTTTATCAGTCTGATCTACAGCCTTGTATATCACAATCAAACAAAATCATTTCCTTCCATCCATCATACCATCATCCCCCACGCATCGAATCGTAAGCTTAAACTCAATCTCCTATATCCATTTCTCTACCAATTCAAACTTTAACGACGTCATCACACCTTCGTCTTCCGTTCCGCCTGTTCCACCGCCAAAGGTTCCGCGAAACATCCGCATATTTCGCGATTTCCCTGGGCACCATCAAATACTGTCCCTTGCTTGAGAGGTACATCTTGCGCAACTCAGCATACGCAACGCGAAAACAAAATGACGACGATCAATTCCCCTCCGGATGATATTAAGATGGAGGATGGGACCAGGGTAACCCTTTCGGTATCTGGGGAGAATGAGGAACCAAAATTTGGAGGGTTTACAAGGTTTGAAATCGAACTTGAGGTATGTTGGGGAATCTAAATGTTTCCTTGAGTTTAGGACAACGGAATTGTGGGACAAAGGGATATAATGGAATTAGGAGAGCTGCACGTATTATCTACTGCAAGTTCGCATATGAGGGCTTGAACAGAATATCCATTCCATTTGAATTCGAATGTTCTCTCTACAATTCCCAATTCTTTTTCCCCCCTTCCAACCTCCATCCACTCAATTCCCACCTGCTAACTCACTTTAGTTCATAAACGCCATCTCGTCGCCCTACTACCTAATGCACTTAGCCTCCCTCTCCTCTGGCACTCTCCTCAGCTCCCCGCCATTCATCGCCTACCTCAAATATTTACAATACTTCACCAAACCCCCATATCTCAAATTCCTCTCCTATCCTGGACCTAGTCTGAAACATCTAGAACTATTACAAAATGAGAATTTCAGAAGGGATTGCTTGAGTATAGATATTATAAGTATGCTCGCTAGTGAGGATATGGCAGCAGTAGAGAGGTGGCAGAAAGAATGATGCAGTGGAAGGAACGGAGAAATCAACAAGTCATCAATTTCCCATGGGTAGACCTATTAGATTTGATTCCGAGAGCAAATGATTTCAAACGGCTTTGCTTTCGCTCGCCTTGTATCAGGGGATCCTCTTATAGAATAGATGCAGAGCTACTTGCGCTCATCCGCATCCTGAAGGCCATCACGATACCGTACTCGAGGAAGGGTCTACCAGTAGTGATTTGAAGTGTTGGGACATCAGGCTTACCCGAAGTCATGGACGACGGGGGAAATGTGTTTTGCGATATACCAGGAGTTCTAGATTTGGGATACGAACTATTTGAATACCTCGAAGTGATTACATTAGAGAATGAGTATGACTGAGAAGTAAAGGCTTCTTTTTTAATGCTTCTTAATTAAAAACAATCCGACGCCTTTTATGATATATAATCTACACCCATATGCAGACGACCTATCTCACGAGGTATATTAACCATTACGCCGTATTGCAAAATCCCAGCCCAGATGTCCTACGCCATGTACGCTCAAAACTTTGTTCTTAAGTTTCCTAGCATAACCTGCGTGACAATTCCCTTCGCGAACACACATCTAATATGCTTTTCATGTCGACGTCCCCCAACTTCGTAGCAACGATAATTCTACCAACTGCCCCATTGATCTAATTCTCTCTCCATTGGTTCGCACATGTCATACACTACACCCAAATTGTTAGCCTCGTTTCTCTTTCATCATAATCATTCACGACCCTCTTCCTTTTTCTCCTCGTCCTACTACAATCCCTGCTTTCAAAACCCCAAACAGCCCAAGTAAAAAATAGGGCAAAGAAAAACTCACCCTGTAAAATCCCGTCATCGGTTCATCCGCACTGCGAATCTGCACAAATCTCGCCGCGGCCACCATACCATTACACTCACTATTCGCGCACTGTTTGGGATACGTATCGGCATTTGCCCAGGCATCTTTGCCTCCAAATACATCTTCTTTTTCTTCACGCACAAAAGTTTTGCGGTCGAAGATAGAGCGGGTCAGAATGTATTGGTAGGGACAGGTGAGACATTCGAGACGGTTTGCGCCGGTGAGATCTTGCGTCGAGGTGGGCGTGGGGGTTGAGGAATGAGGTGTTACGGAGACGGTGAGGATGTTGCTGCAGGAGGGACAGACTGGTGGGAGGGAGAAGTTAGTTAGGGAGAGGGAAGATGGAGGGGCAGGGAGAGAGGGACGAACAGAGAAGCATTTTGATGGTTTGGGATTGATATCGGATTTTCGAAGTGTTAGGTAGGTAATTCTTTCTTCCTTTTCTTCCCAATTTATTTCTGCGAATCTTTCAATTACTAGCTCCCGCGAAAGTCCCGAATTGTATTGTTGTTTTAATTCAACGTCGTGCGCAATTTCACAATTCAAATAATCTCAAGCTCTTTCTTTATCAATTCATCAACCTCATCATAGGAACTTTTTTTCCCGCTCACTCGCTTACATAATTCTAACCCACCATTACACAGCGCATCTCATCACACCCCCCAATCACAATCCTCCCAGCAAAACTCGTCCTCGGACCCAAACCTAAAAACTCCACCGATAGGTGCTACCCTCACGGCTGAGCCAGATGGGATGGGTCAGGCTCGATGAACAGGGATGCTAGACTCTGGGCTGAAAAATGTTGGCCGGTTGTTACAGAGTCGGTGCGTTTCGTTTGGAGGAGTGGATGGATTGATTGATGGGTGTTTGGAGAAGCGCTGGACTCTCGACTTTCCATACCAGTACTTACTCATTTACGCACGATACAGACGTGCATATACACGGAGCATTGGGAAGATTAGATCAGATCAGATACCTTTTTTCTCTCTCGTCTTATTATTATTTTTATCTTTTTTGAAAGGGAGACGTATCGATCTCTCGTCTGATTAGTTGAGAAGGAAGGATTTGCATATACGATTTCACGAGATACGGAAGTTGAGGAAGAGAGTTTGGTCGACGATTGTTTGAGTTAGGTTTAGGAAGTGTTGTACGCTGCTTTGTTGGTGATTTGTCTTGAGTCATCTGAGGTCTTCGGATTGTAAGGTTTGGAATTGTTGGACTTTGGACGAAAGGAGAAGAGAAGGGAAAGATTAGATAAGATGACGGATCCAAGGGATGTTGACTACGAAGAGGAGGAAACGCCCATTCATGAGCAACTCATATCTGCTATAAAGTACAATTCGGTTGGAACCTTCAACGCAGTCTTAGAACGCTTCGATAGCCCTGAAGTTGCTGTTGAATACCTGAATACACACGCCTTGGCATACAGATACCAGGATCGGGATGTGAAAGTGGAAGCTGGGAATGTTGCTGCTCATGTTGCTGCGTCTCTTGGACAAGGTAAGATACTTCTTACCTCTATCTTCAGATCTTAAATTCTACACTCCAAGATTGAAAGGAGAATACAATGATATTAACATAAGACTTTCCACGTAGATAAAATAATCGATGAGCTTCTCGGTCAAGATGGATTCGAATGTGATCCCCGCAACAGCATTGGTGATACACCTCTTCACTGCGCCGTTAGATGGATCAACAAAGAAGGCCGAGTCAATAAAGTGGGAAGAAGCGTTTGGGACGATGGTCTTGAGATGATCAAGATGATGCTCCGCGACGGTAGCGACCCGCGAATTCGCAACAAAGATGGCCACAGAGCCGAAGATTTAGTCAACCCTGAAAACACCCAACTAAAAAAACTTTTTGCAGACTTCGAATATGAGCCACCTTCGGATGAAGAGGAAGAGGAAGAGCCTGCTCCTAAGAAGAACGGATATGATTATGCGGATTTGGTTGATGGTGATGCCGGGGGTGATGATGATGTTGGAAGTGTATACAGTGGGAGTGATAGTGAAGAGGAACAAGAGTGGCAGAGACGCCGAGCTGAGAAGTTTGCGAAATAAGTCTAGCCTTGAATTCCTCAATTATCTTCTCTTTGTTCTCTTGTATTTTGGGTTTGGAACTGGACGATTGCTATACTAGGATTGTAGATACATATGATAATATGGATATGCAAACTGTACATGATGGAATTCCAGCAATGGAAGATGATCATTGAAATTAGCTTGGATTTTCGATGAGTGGACTAGTCCTAGAAGCATAGCATTTTGGTGCTTTATTGTATACACTCAGTTATCTATATAGATAGAAATGAAGAAGACCCTTGTTAGATTAGCCCTGTCGTCCCGTCTTTGTTTATTTTTACTCGCTTCACGTCGCTTGGCTTTGTTTTATGAATTACCGGCCAAGTGGTACGGCACCCAGAATGAAAGAATACATCAAATGCGACCTCAACCGAACTATATCATAAAGTCAAGCAAATGGTTTTATAAAAGTTAATCATTGATTACAACTGAAGTATATAGTTACAAGCCCTTATACCAAATCTTAAATCAACACCAAATGTTCCCTTTTCCATCCCTTTAGATCTGCCCAATTATATGCATCATGAAACTTTGTTACATTTGCATGCTTCGAGTATAACCTAACATAACCAACACGACGATAAGTGGTTATGTTAATCGCAGCTCTAGTCTCCGGCTCATTCTTCTCGTCTTGTGCTTCATGTTTGATTCTATCCTTGTCTCCAGCTTGAGATTCAACATCCAAGTTTTCATCACCATCTACTTCATTTGTAGCTCCATCTCCAGCTTGTGATTCGACTTGCATTTTCTCGCCGTCATCTCCATTACCACCCTTCGACATAACATCCTGATTTGTCGCATACTCTTTCAGAATCAAACCATGTGCCTGCCGTGTCTGCGTCGCCACAAACATAATCTTATACCTCGTATTATTAGCTTTGTGTATGTTTTGCTTATCCATATTCGAACTTGCGCGAGGCAAGCTCATCTTCTCATCCTGTGGACTAAACAAAAACATTGCCGAACTCCCTACCCTACACACAAATAATGCATTCGTTCGTCGTCCTTTCCCAGTAACTCGTGTATCCCAGTGTATATATCCGCAACACATACTCTTCCTATGCGTCACCACTCGATCCATCCCCCTTGCTACCATCAAACTACCTTGCATTTCCAACAATGCGTCCTTGATCTCGCCATAAGGATTCTGCCCCGCAAGCTCCACACGGTGGGACAAGAGTTCAGGATCAATAGACGTGGATTGGAAAGGATTGCTTGCGAAAGTTGATGGATGGAACACAATTTTCCCATTCGTCGTAGCCCACGACCAAGTAGGTGCCCTCTCAACAGAAGGAACCGCATCATCTCCATAATACCATACCAATCCTTCCCGAAAATGACTAGTCCAAATCCCTGCTATATATTTCGAATTCGGAAACCCATTGCTTTGCAAAATATCTCGAACCAGCGTAACGATACCCGAAAAGGCGGGGAATTTATCCCGCAAAAATGAGAGGTGTCGCGAACAATAGTCTACGACCATCTGTTTGTGATATTCTACGATAATGTTGGCGCTCGTACGCTTTTGTATCGCTAAGGGTGTTTGATCTCTATCGACGAAAACGTAGGGACTTTTTATCGTGTCAGGTTTCTTGAGCCCTTGCGGTTCATGTATCTGATCTCTAATCCTCTCATAACGAAATGCGCGTTGGTAAAAAGGAGCTCGTGAGCGCAGACCATCGGCTGATGCGTGGTCATGGAGACACTGCCAGTAAATTTGCATGCGTCCATAATACAAGGTCCTTGCGGCCAAAATCTCCTCTTGGAAAGTCCACCCTCTGTCTGCGAGTGGCCCGTCCTGTAGCAGATGATCGAGCTGTTCGCGATGATTGTCTCGGAGCACGAGATCGATGTGGTCTTCTGGTGGGCTATCTTTGGACAGTTTTAAACTGATGCTGAGACCTGTGAGATCGTAGTCTGGAAATATTTTCAAGATGCCATCTGTAGAATTCGATGAGGCGGCAGCTGCAATGGTTAAAGTCGCATCGCGGTATACATCTCCCATGTGTTTAGATTCTACTTCCCAGTCCTCGCTTGAGTCTTGCATAATGCACAAACAATCGATCCATAGGAATTGAAAGCGCAGTCCTCGAGTGATGAGAATCGCATCTCGAAAATTCGGCGGCAAGCCCATCAGAGCAATCTTTATACCAAAAGTTTTCGCAGTCGTTTTGTTGAGCTTGGAGAGATCACTGATCTTACCACCCCAACAATGGCTCAGTGCGATATATTTGCCCTTCATACCATGCGTCGATAGAAGATGTGGTTCCTTGACGTCGGAGCCGACATCAATCACCCTCGTGGGTAACGGTCTATCTTCTATCACCGGACATTCGTAATGCGTTGAACTGCAGGTATTTATCCAATCTCGAGCAATCCCGAAATTCGTTTCCGATGCCAAATTAGGATCAAGAGCAAAATGCCCAATTTTTATCCCTTCAACTGATTTCACCTGCCCTATAACAAGTAACATATTCATACATCAGTGATCTTTCTTGATGACCAAAAAGCTAAGTTAATACCTTACCTCTCCGCTTCTGCAACGACAACATCAAAACCACCTTTTCACTCCTCCCCCTCAAATAAAACACCAGCTTATCATACGCACTGTCCTTCTCCACCTCCTCATCAGCACCTCCCCTCTTCACCTCCGTCTGAATCTCCACATCCAATCCCCTCCCCTCACCCTCCATCTCCAACATCTCAGCCTTATACGTCTTCAAGATCCCTCCATCCAACACAAAAACCCCTTCTAACGCTCTCTCCACAACCTTACAAAGCTCGCAGCCGGCGTCGGCAGCAGATACAATTTCATTGTATCTAGAATAGTGGTTGAAGCGAAGAGGAACATAGGATTCTGCCTGTTGACGTTGTTGGAGGGCTTCCCAGTTGGCTTTCGCTAGGAGAATAAGATCGGTCACATTAATGCTATCGCAGAGAGCACACAGCATACCTTTCTCTCTCTCTCGCACCAAATCCGGTAATCAGCTCCGAAAACTTAAGCACAATCACAATCACAACCACAATAACTATAACTAAATCCCTCAAACCAAACCAAACCAAACCAAAAAAATTATCATAAAACATTCTTCAAAGTAGATTCAAGGAACAAGTATCATAATATTTCTTCACCTTCCATCCTCCTCCCTCCTCCTTCTCGGTCCGTACCGTACCGTGGCAAAAAACCCACACACACACATATATACACACATACGCATATACCCATGTATACATGCATATATCCATGACACGGGCGTCCATCTGCATAACGCATCAAGATCAATACCATGCGAGAATGTAAACGGCGCAGCAGCATAGCGTAGTATAGAGTAGTAAACTGGCAGAGTAGAGTAGTATTGCATGCATGTATACATATAATATACATATATAAATATAAAACGCAACCCCTCCACGCCGTTGATCCTTCTCTTCCTATCCCCCTGTTCAGGAATCGAATTGGGGAATTGGGTGAGTATTCCTAGACTTTGTACTCAGGTATCGTACTCATCTTCTAATTCGATATATTAACATTATTTAGATTACCATTACCATTTCCTACGCTTTGCCATACCATACCATAACATCCCCTACCAAACCCATCGTTTCCACTCGAACAAACCACAAACCCAGACCCAAAAATATACAAACCACAATCTCTCCCTTGAAAACCCTCCTTGTTATGACTACCTACTTACTTTCCCCCTCCCTACCTCATCCACCAATCCCCTTCCCGCCCCCCCTCCCCCCTCCACCCCAGCGCTTAACTCAAAACCCAATCCCCACCAGCCAACCAAACCTCTCTCTCTCTCCCACACACACTCTCACACTACCCCCCAAACCCAAACCCAAACCCACACTCACACCTACAAGTGGGGTCCTTTGCAGCATCTCAAACCCAAACACTACCAACCCTCAACCAATCAAATCCTCAACCCCTCTAACCGCGGAAACGCGGGCCCCTACCGATAACCGCTTTTCCGTTTCCCTTGTACATACTCCGTACATAACCACATCGAATCGTTATGTATGGGTTAGATGATTGGATGATTGAACAAATAGGTATCTCATGTTACATTCATTTATTCATTCCTTGTTATTACAACTTCTACTCTTTGAAGGTGGTCAGATTCGAAGGATGAACATATTAGGATTGTGAAGGTATGGTACCATGTAATGTATTGCTAGGTAGGTATCTGATAAGTAAAGGTATCATAAGAAAAACTTAGGTACGTCATTCATCTCATCTCATCTTTCTCATCTCATCCTCTCATATCATCCCATCTCTCCACCAGACGAAAGCAAATAAATAAAAAGCTAATACACAACAATAAGGGTATCTCAACGCTATAAAACATGCATTCCCCGTCTCCCATCCATCTCCCCTCTCCATACCATTCCCCATCTTCACTCTACCATCCTCATCTCTATCCTCCCATCCTCCCATCCAATCCAATCTATCCCAATCTATTCACTCATCTTCCACTATCAAATCATCAACACAACCAAATTCCCCAAACCAGCACTCCCACCAACGCCCCCCAGCTTCCCAATTTCGCTTTTTCCGACAATCCCTCTCCTGCCGTACTCTTAACCACCATTTCATTAATATACGTTTCATTCATCGCAGTCTCAATAATATCCTTTGTAACCTTTCCAGCACTGGCGATTTTCCTCATCTGATCCCCTAATACCTTCAAAATATTCGTACTCCTTCCTATTGGGCAAAACACAACTTCCCATCCACCTCCGGTCGGAATAACAAATGTGGATGTTTGATCATCGAACGGATAACCATATGCATCTGGACAGATAGTATTTGCCGCATTTGCAAAATCATTGCGAGGACATAGTTGAGGTTGATCATAAGCACCTGTACAGCAATCCGCCGGCTTGTTGTCTTTAGCACAGGCGGAAAGACAGGGATCGAATGTCGGACGTTGGATGGTGTCGTCTGGGTAAGGGTAGACGCCATCACCTGGTTTGTCGGGTGGTGTCTTTTGAAGATCCCATGGACACCAACTCATAACTGCATCGTTGGTGACTTTGCTCTCTAACGGGATAGGGTATGTAGAATTTGAGGAGTTGCCATTTGTGCCTGTGGCAGCTGGGGGCGCGAGATAACCGGCTGAGCCAATACAAGCGGCATTTACAAGGTTTGGAGGAATAGCCTGGAGTGCGGCATTTTCACCGGGGATATACACAACTCCCATAGGTATATTGTAGCCGTCCACTAGAGAAATATCATAGAAAGTCTGAGAACCTCCATTTCCTGCCAAATCAAACTCGGCTAGAGTAACAGGTGTTTCTCCCTATAACCGTAAGCAACTATTCGCATGTAATGATATTGAACAAACTTACAGTAATAGAACAATCCAATAGACCACCACAATCACCAGTAACACAAGCAGAACCAGAACCATCATTTCCAGCAGCATTACTAGCTCCATCACCTCCAACGGCAAAACTACAATTGGTGCGTCCCCAAACTCTTCCTTGCCAGTCAGCACTGACTGTCAAGGACTTACTCTCTCCAGACTGAAGAGCAAATCCTCCAACTCCAGCACCAGTTCCTGCTTGAGTACCAATTCCAGGCCATATCGTTTCAGGACACATGTTGCTTATTACTAGTGGAATTGCTCCATCTCTCTTCTTAGGAGGACCTTTTCGAACAGGTCTATTAGGGTCCCAATTTGGTCTCCAAGCAGCTCTGTTGCGATAGTATGTATGAGCATCTGCAATAGGAAGTATAGCAAGACATATACTAGCAACCAGGAGTTCTCTGGATATTGATGAGGATTTTCGCGATCGGTCCGATTTGGTAGAACCCATTATGTCCTGTGCTTTTTCGCACTTCATGATGAACTCGTCCTCAGAATATGTGATCGTTCAATTCGTAAAGTCGTAACTCGCGTTCACATTCGTAGATTTTGTATCTCAACACAAGTTCGTAAAGAAGAAAGCAAAGTATCAAAAAAAAAAAAAAAAAAAAAACAAGCCAAAGGAAGGTAAAGGTATAATAGAATTAAGGATCCCTGATCGCCACGGATTATTCCTTGATATCGTGGATAAGATGAAGCAAGATTTCTTCGACTTGATTGAATTGGCCTGGTTGGTCTCGTCTGATATGGTTATTCTCCTTCGATCTGATGTGAATGGATATGGTTGGTTAAGAAACTTCCCAAACAAATCGTTTCAATACCAATCACTCAACCACTCCTAAACCAAGACCAGACTTCCCAGATCCAATTTTCCAAGTCAAAAATTCAAAGTTGCAATTATGGAGAAAAGCCGACGACCAGTCAAGGTAGACAGACCCCGGACGAAAGCTCTCAGGTAAACAAGCAGTAACCCTTCAATAATACTCAGAAGAGCCGTTTGATCAATCGATCATCTAAATTCCTCTTCAGCCCTCCAAATCTACCCCTCCACCAAATCCCCAAGTCTATATCCTAGGTATCGTATACCCAAGTACCCTATCCTATCACACCTTCCAAACCCCGAAAATGATGTATCCGCGTATCTTGGCCGAACCCTCGTTTATAAAAAGTCGAAAGGGTGGGATAAGTATCAATTGCAGTACCAATTGCAGTACCAATTGCAAGACCGCTCTAAATATAAATTCCTCCCCCTCAAACGAAACGAAACGACCAGGATCCAATACTTGATTTCGACCCCTCTTATCCTTATTCCTATCCCTCCGTACGACCCCTCCACTCCGCAGTCCAACCCTCAATTCCTGGACGCTTTATGGTCGAAGTTTAATTCTTGACAGCGGGAGCTTGTAAGGGTTTGGAAGGGAAGTCTGTGAGCCAGCCAGCACGTACACTGCTAGGTAGGTATGGAATGATATATTAACCGCCTGCGAAAGTTTTGACCCCAAAAAACACTTCAAGCAAAAGAATGTAGGTAGGTAAGCGCCCCAGTGGAGGCTATCCAATGATAAATATACAAATAGGTGTAAAAGAGCGTGATTAAAGAACAGATGTGTAAGAATGTGTATTCAAAAGAGTGTAAAGAATCGTAAAGAATTAAAGAATAACGAATCTCTGGTAAGTATGTACACAGTGAAAAAGGGTTCATTTCAATGTGTCTAGGTAGGTATTGTTGACACTTTGACATCGACTTAGCGTGGTAAACGTCAGATACGATGGCATTAGTGCCTTCCATTTTAGAAGGTCTCATTGGATGGTTTTTAGAGAACGGTAATTGTAAATAGTGATTACTAGGAAGGGAAGGAAACTATTCACGGGTCCTACCGATACCGAGACACAAGCGTTACAAGGGAGGGACGACTAGTCATAGGGCTTAGGGATACTACACAGAGTATGAGGATATATAGTTCCACTGCAATAGATTTGATTCGATAGAGACCTAAATACCGAAATCATTATATAGACATCACTCACCCAATCACATTTGCAATTCTATATCCAAATTTTCCAAGAGTCGTGTACATTTCACCAACTACAGACCAAATTGAGCAAATAGGTATCATATCAACTCTCTAAACTATGGATCCATTCGTCCCTATCATTAAGACGCAAAAAATCATCCATTCTTTAGAAAAAATAACCCCATCTGATCCAAACGACTTATTTTTCATCCATCCATCATGCAAATCACACCACCAGTTTTAGATCTGATCACTCCTCATCAATCGACCCAGGCAGGCACTTCTTCTTTGCTCAATAATCTCCCCAGTTCGTCATGAAAATCATTGCAGAAACGCTTTCTGCTATCAAATCTTAAATTGCTTCCTTACACTCCAGCGCCGTGCATCGCAAATTGTGATACTACTGTAAGTAACCTGATATCGAACAACGCAAAGTAGTAGAAAAATGAAATTCGTCGAATCCAATCCTTATTATTTTTTTATGGTTGATGGGAGAGGAAAGATTATCTGAATCTAGAAGTGCAACGACCCATGACTTCTCCTTGGCAAACAAGTTCTGCATTGAATTCGGATCCATCGAGGGTGAGGTAGATATCAAAGTACACTCGGTAGAATGTGCCTTGTGGGGTATCCATTCTCTCGAAATCCTTTTCAAGATTCTTGCGAGAGAGATCCGAGGTAAGAGTAACAACTTCCTTGACACCTGTTGATGTGTTAGTAGATACTAGAATAAAGCTTGTTGAGAAGAAACTTACGTGGATCCTTTGTATATTCTGGGCAAACATCATCATCACAAGCATACAAGATATCCTCATACATCAGAGTTGCTCCCGGTGCAACCTGTCTGAAGAATGATACCTTGACTGGTTCACCAATCTTGACTCTTTGTCCCTTTTGTACAAAAATTTGACGAGTAAACTTGCATCGATCCTTACCATCCAAGGATGGAACACGGTAAGCTTCTGGATGATGTCCCTCTTTGAAAGGTTGCAAAGTTGCCATGAGGTAATGACGACGAGCTACACGAGAAGTAATCACTCTTTCGGTGATACCAGCAGTAACGGCACCCTTAACAATAGCAGCTACTGAATCCATAGGACGAACTACCTTAGCTTGGAACTGAGGTGGTACATGAAGTTTGATCTGTTGGAAAAGATACTCAGATGCACCAAAACCACCAACAACCAAGACATTCTGGAGTGTTCGGTTTTGTGCTTGAATAGCAATGATTTGGTTGCGAACCAATTCCAGAATTCGGTTGACGACTGGCTCAAAACATTGTAGAATTTCTTCGTTGGTGAAAGTCATATATCCCTCTTCAATTCCTGCCTCGGGGAACTCTGCTTCAATTCCCACATCCACTGCCCATTTCTGATTGTTATTTCTGAAATCTGCCTTGATTCTGTTCTCAAAATCCATAATACACTTTGCATACACTCTTCCGGCTGTCTTCGAACCTTCAGGTAACTTCATCTTTCGGATCTTGGTTCGTAAGATATTACTAAAGTTTCGATTCAGTGCAGTAGACCCGCAAGAATCACCAGATCCTGCCGTACACTCGGAAACCGTGAATGGTGACTCTTCCTCGACCTCATATGCAATCAAATCGACAGTTCCACCACCACAATCAACAATGAGTACAGCGTCGTGAATCTTGAGATTTAAGAGACCAGCCTTTGAGCAAAACAAAGCAGCAGCTTCGGGTTCTGTAATCAGTGTCAATCGATTGTCATTCTCATCCCTCAAGAATCCAGCCTGAATGGCGGCAGCTCGGGTTGCAGCTTTTCCAGCATCATTCCAGATAGCAGGGACTGTAAGATAATATCGAATATTCCTTTCTTCGCGGTTGAATACCTCTCCCAAAGTCTTTTGTAATTGATTTCTCATTGCTTGTCGAAGTTTAAAGAGGTAATCTGCTGCGACGTCGATCTCGGACTTTCCTGGTGGAAGGGGAGGAAGGTTGATGGGATCGATATATGTGTTTCCGGATAGCATCAATTGAAGCTTGAACCATTCAACCTTTTGAACACCTGGCTTTGGGTAACCAGTTGGTGCCAAAGCATCTGCAATATCAGGACCCCATCCAACGACTTTCTGGTATTGATCATAGTAAAGAACGGTGGGAATCTAAAGATGTTAGCACATCTATGAACCTGCAACAGCAAATGTCCATATATCACCTTTTGCTTTGTGTAAGATCCCGCTCCAGGCCATTCGGTGATAATGTCTTCTTTTGCCTCGGTGTTGGTCGCAAAAGCGAAGGCTACACCTGAGAAAGTCGTGCCCTAGAAGTCGTGAATTAGTTATGCGAAATTCGAGAGAGATCATGATGTGTGCTTACAAAATCTATTCCGACGATAAGCTGTGCCTTACTCTTACCAGCGCCTTCGACCTCTACCGCATTGTTCCTTGCACCATATTGAGGGCCGGCAGCTTGCATCGGTGCTCCTCCAGCACCATACTGAGGAGGATGATTGTATTGAGGTGGCCCAGCTGGAGGAGGAGGTCCTCCCATACCTCCTTGTTGAGGAGGATAGCCGCCGGTAGCAGCTGTATTAATCGGTGGTGGTCCGCCCATCATCTGTGTAGGAGGGGTTCGTGGAGTACCTTGAGCCATGGGAGACGCCGTGCGTCCAACAGGAGTATATTGATTAGAGTAGCTGGGCGGTCTTACGCCAGCACCTCCCTGATGATTCATAGGTAGGCTGGCCGTGGAAGAGGAAGCAGTTTGTGTAGTAGGGGCAGGCTGTCCGGATAATTGCGCGAGTTGTGGTGACGAGGAAGTGGAAGTGGGGTTCTGCGGGATAGAGGTTGAGATATTGTTTGCACTTGATTTACGTTTGGAACCGAACCCAAGGCTTTTGAAGCGGGCGTTCATAGAACTCATAAGGTCTACGAAGGGTGGTATTATAAAGAAAACCTCTTGAAAGAAGTAAAAGTCGTAGAAAGCGAAGGACGGAGCAGGAATGAAATGGTATCGTAATCGTATCTCATATGCGATGGATATCCAGTCGCCGGTGTCAGCCAACCTATTGACTTTGTCGCTAGGTCCCTAGCGACTTGGGGCTGAGTCGATCGAAATTCTTTTTGACCTGGTCGGAAGGATTTCTCGTCCAAAGTGTACGGATAACATGAAATCTGCAGGAACGGGATATTAGATAAGTAAGTCCTCCTGAGCCAAATAGTAATATTGTAGGTAGGTATGAATGATTATTGAGGACTAGTGGATGAGCGACTGGAGTTTATGTGTAACGTGGTTTATCATCATGCGGCCCATATCATCATGCGGCCCACTTTCACCTCAATTTGTATTTTTAAATCCATATTACTCAACAACAATTGATTCAATTGATTAAAACTATTAAGAATCTAATAATCTAAGATCTATTATATCGTTTTGACAAGTTCTTGAATTATGACCTGGTTTTCCACACTTACTACAGCATCTATTAGAAGATACTTCCCCATTAGGATTCCTCCCTTTTTGATGCTCGTCGCGTTGAATCTGAACATCAACCTTTTGCTGAGATAATATATCAAGAGCCTCTTGTCCAGTAAATACTCCTCCTTAACGCAATTGGGTTTTTTTCGCACGTCGACGCTTGCTTAATGCCTCATTTGCTACCCGAAGTATACAGATCTCTGCACTTAAAAGTGTATTCTCATAAACTAATCTCTCTGTGCCTTTAGCTAGAGCTAGTACAGTCTCAAATATAAGTGTAGAAGAGCTTGATTGATGACGATTGATTCGAGATTTAACTAATGTTGATTGAGAAAGAGCTTCCATAGGATTGTGAGGAGTTTGAGAGATTCAGAGGTCTAAATTGACAAAAGGAGGAGGACTAGGTGTATGTATTCGAATATCTAATTTTGAGAGTACTATTTCAGGATCAAAGGGGACTAATCCTGTTCCTCGGAATCCAGATTTCATATTCTGATTCGTGATCGATCGTTGATATGCAGCTTTGAAAGCTATAAAGAATTCAACCTTTGAGATATGATTGATATGTGCCCTTATAAACCCCTCAATTTGAGTACCATATTCTTGTTTTAACCTATTAAAACATCCGACATCAAGTGGTTGAGTTAAATGACTTGAATGCGGTGGTAGGCATACGCATATAATATCATTCTCCTTGCAATATGATTGAAAAGGTATGGATTCGTGGCTTTCGTGTTCGTCTAGCACCAACATTCGGTATTTGCCTACTCTGCAATCCTTTGTATGTTTATCGAAGTGTTTTAACCATTCCAATCCTGTCTCATTGTTCGTCCACCCATTGCTAGTAGGTTTAATAGCCCAATCTGCAGGAAGATCGGTTTCCGTATACCAATTGGAAAGATGCACCTGTCCTTGAACCACCAGGAATGGAGGTATGATTTCCCCTACACTACTACCGCATATGATCGCTGTCGCCCATTCCCTATTGCCTGGTTGTACTGCTTTACTCCTACCACTCCTCTCAGCACTAGTAACTACCATACCAGCATTTATAACTCCCATCATAAAGCCTGTTTCGTCGAAATTCCACATATCGCAATCTTGTATACCAAATTTCGCTCGCATATTCGATATAAGACGAAACCACTTTCGAATAAACTCAGGATCCTCGCACAAAGCTCTTTGAAAGTCATAAACACGACTAAAACGCGTCTTTAATTCTTTGTGACGCTTTACGAATCGATGCGCCCAGAGCTTTCCAACCGCTTTTCCACCTCTCGATTCAAGAATATGATTCGCCATATCTTCCACCCCTTTAAGTTTAGGTGGAAAACCTCTCGAATCCATATCAAGAATATATTGAATAATGATCTCTTCTTCTAATTCTGTAAGTTTATGGGTTTTATGTCGATATTCTGTACGAGGGGTAAAACCGTCTATTCTACGCCGTAGTGTTGTACGTGGTATATTATACATCGTAGCAACCTTTCTAACACTTAGTTTTTTGTCTTTATGAATAGCATCGATAGCTAGGAGTATACGGGCTTCTTCATTATTCGAATGCATCGTGGGTTGTTGATAAAACGCGTGTTGAAATAAAAGGGTGCAAATTGAGGTGAAAGTGGGCCGCATGATGATATGGGCCGCATGATGATAAACCACGTTAAGTGATAAATAAAATGGATCTTTTGGTAGGTCGCGAGATTGATAAGAAGGGGATGCGAACAACGAAATTTTGTATATTGCAAGATGGGATAAAGAGGCCACACCTAGGGTATTTGGAGTACCTAGATAGGTATGAATTGTAACTTTGAAGGGGAGAGAGGTCAAGTAAGGTAAGGAGAGTAGGGTTGGGTGTTGTAGTGGGTGGTATTGGGTGATTCTTTGTGGGATGGGTCGTTGTTGGGTGATGAGAGGATAGAATTGGTGGAATCGGTGGAATCGATGAAAGTGGAAGGTTAACGGAGGGCGATGGGGGGAAGCAGCTTGTAAATGGATAGTGAATGTGTTCTTTCTCGATGGTATGCTGACAGCAGTAATAAGTCAACTAAGGTTTTATGCAGGTTCAGGCTCGCTTTGTTCTTTCATAGCAAGTAAGGATTGCTTGCTGGTTTATAATCATTTGCCTGTCTGGAAATCGCATGTACCTAAGTATGTCTAGGTATGCATACCGACGGAGCACATAGAAGTAGAGACACGATGGAAAGAGAGAAGCAACAAGAAGGAGGAAAAGGGGGCAGCCACATAAAATAGTCAAAATATCCGGCCAGTCCGAGATTATATGTCCTTTTTCAATCGAGAAGGATTCGATCTCAAAGAACAATTCACTTCAAGAAATATTCCCAAAACAGATGGGTGATTTATATATAGTGATATATATACATATATATATATATTGTTGTTGCAGCGGAAAACGGATTCCCTCTTCCTACCTACCCTTTCTGATGTAGGACGGACTAGAGATTTGTAACGAACGAGGGGTCTTTCTTTTTTTGGTCGCACGGCACAACAACACCAGTAACGATGCATATGAACCTACACCGGTGGCTTGATGGAGGAAATAAAACAAGACTCAGCCTCATCAGCATATATTTAACGTAGCTGGAGGTACCTACGAATGCCTATCAAAGGAATCCAATCCGGAAATCTCCCCAGCATTTTGGGATTCCTTGTAGGTCCAAGTATGTAGGTCTATAAGACTTTCCCGCTCTTCTATCTGCTCACCGTTTTTGAAATCTCAATTCCAGTCTTGGCCTTGCACTTTTGGATACATTGTAACCAATTTACGAGACCATCTAGAACCCAAGGTGTTGGTTTTCCGCCCCCAACTTCATATACTCTCCGCTTGCATTTCACATGATTGGTGTACCAGGAGATATCAATATCCAACCTTGAATGATTACACGCAAGAAAGCTCTGAAGCATCAAGGAGGAATTGCTTGTATTCGCCGATGCAAAACTTCGGTATGAAATCGTTCACTCTCATGCGTTCCCAATCTTACATGTACATCAAATCTTTCATTGGCAATCATACGAACTCTCAGCACGTGCATGAACAACAAAGAATCGACGGCGAGCATAAGAAGTGGCAATCATCAACACGTGGGATAAGCACTAATTAGAAGTACACACGAGCTGGCAAGAGGTCTTTTCCTATTGTTTTGATACCATGTGGTAATTTCATCAACAACCAACCCTTCGTGCCCACCAGGAATAATCAAGGCGCTTTTCGCAAGGAGATGAATGATACGAGAGTTCCCTTATTACTTATTATTGGTATCGTGCGGTATCACTTGGATTGGAAGTGATCAGAAGGTCCTTCTGAACCGAACTTCGGAAACCGGCAGCGGGAGCGGCACAATCGATTCTCAACCCGCGAGGTTTTACAGGAAAGGTTTCGGTAAATCGGCATCCGTCTACATCGTAAGATTTGAAGCAGTTTTATGTTTGCTTCACGCTTTCCTTCTGCAACAAAGAGAGGGTATTCACGGTCGAATCCAACGAGGATGTCCAATGACTCTTCTGCGAACTTCGCGAACTTCCAGTATGCCTTGGAATTATGGTAACGTGTTTCGAGCCCACTTTATATACGGAACGGAAAGAAAAGATTTCTCCTTCGTCCCTTCGGCGAGATCAGACAACCGATATAATAAATCTGTGATGTTTACGAGACCGAAATTGATATTGGACTAGAAGCCAGGCATGGCAACAATACAATACGATCTGAACAATCTGTAACTGCATGAACATCTGATACTTGCTGACGATTTACGATCTGCATTGTCCCCTGACCCGGCGTCTAGTTATTGCTAATTTCAGAAAGCCATGATCATAATATATACGGTAGTGTGACATGAACTGTGGGATGATCAACGTGAGTTTGAGGAGTGTTCGCTTCAATGTTGGTGATCAGAACTGATCTAGAGTGAAACGGTAAGTAGAGTGTCGAAGCAGTCCATGGAATCTCGAGTTCAAGTAACCATACTTCGATAACACTTGAAATTTGGGTCCAGACTCAAGAGAGGCTGGTGTACATTACAGAAACACAGACTCGAGGGGAAGAGCCACATCCTCATCAGGTTGTCCCAACTTTTCGATATCATTCATTGTGATCTTAAATCGCCGATGTTCTTATTAGACATTGCTGTGCTATGTATTGATGAAACAAACTTACATCATATTTCCTATGAAGTTCTGGGGAAATTGATGAACCAGTTGACAGATGCGACAGATTCCATACACTTGAATCTGAGCTATGATGGGTCTCTTCAGGTGTGAATGGAGGCGCGTCCTTAACAAGCTTCCCCATCTTTGATACTTAATTGCCCCGGTGATCCTCAGCAAAAAAATGTAGATTGTATAGTAAATTTCCATTTGAATCTTCAAAGCATAAATACCATTCATTTCAGATGTGTATCGGAATTCTCTTGAAATACGTTTCCGTACATATCCTTTCGTTTCATCCAAACGTGGTGGTGAATGTTCATGTACACGTTACGGCACAACCGAAAATAGAGAAGTCACCATCATACCAGCCAGTTGTATTCGACCGATCAGCCAAACCTATGAGTAGTTCTGAGGATATAAAGGAAAGGGAAGGAGAGAAAGATAATCAGGATCGAAATCAAAATCAAAATAACAAATCATATACAGGGGATACTCACGACAGTTATCATTTGAAGAAAACATCATAATCTATTTTTTGTCGATGGTAATGAAGGGGTCGATGCGTATGGCAAAAGGTCTCGAACTTGTATGATATCGATATCAACAGCTGTCCAATACTAATCCGAGATATCATTTGACCGAAGGGAGAACCTGCATCAATCAAGCTTCCCCATTCGTTTGTTCCATTTTTCTCTCTCCATTCTCGAGGTAACGACTGCATATTACGACGTCACAATACTTCTATACAATTCAACCAATTTTCAAACTTTTTTTCTTTCTCCACGAACGGAATAATCACGGATTCTTTCAACTGCCTCCAAGCACGATTCGATTCTCCGCGAAATCTCGGAGACTCCATCATTTTTCTCTCCTCTTTTAAAAAAAGCAAGGAAGGACCATTCAATTGCACCGCATCCACTACCTCCACCATCATTTGGGGTTCCCAGACAAGAGAGAGGGAGAGAGCACAAGAGAGCACAAGAGAACAAAGCTTTCATTACGAAACCTTTATTATACTCGGAATTGTCATCTACTTATAACTGCACGAGAGAGTACATACATACATACATGCACTCTTCTAGTGCGACAGATATCCATCCATCTATCTGCAGCATTCACCCAAATCTTACTACCGATCACACGATAATCCGATCGAATTAATATATCAAATAGTCATTCATACCTCCCTACCCACCACACTCGTACCAATTCAAGATCTAATTATATCGACTCTTGTTAATGCATCGAATGGTTTCTCTCTCTCTCTCTCTCTCTTCCTCTCACTGCTCGATATACGATACGCATCTCCCTTTGACCATTGATGAATTGAGACTCTCTAACTTTTCAATCCTCGGAGTTTGAACTAATCCGTTTCAAGGAGGGTCTTCATAGAGAAACAACAGCATCATCATCATCATCATCATCATTTTCACCCCCTTCCCCCCTTCCCCCCTCAGGTGCATTTTTTCCCTTTCTTCCTTTGTTCCTTGGAGGAAGAGGTTGAAAGTAACACAACTAGCACCGCTTTAGACGGCCCTTTTTTGGAGAGGGCCTTATTGATATTAACCAATCGAATCATCGGATTCCTCACACATAAGTGGAGTTATCTTGGATCCCGACTCCAAACTCTGCCCCTCCATAAGATTCCCAGGCTTTGGTTGTGTTACGAGTGTGTAATCGAGATATCTGAATTGCCCCGCCTCCCGCCAAGTTGGCCATAAACTCCCCCATCCTAACCAAAATTACGTCCTCAATTGGAAAGGGCGACCCGCCCACCAACTTCAATTCTAAAAAGAAGAAGTTTCCTTTAACTTCCGAATTATATTCTCAATCTTCTGCTCCTTCTTCTGCTCCTTCTTCTTCTATTTTTGCTCACTTCTTTTCTTCCAAAATTCCTTCTCAATCAACAACCCCAATACCAACATCCTTCAAAGAATCCAACCTATTTAAACCTCACAAAGTCTCGAGACCAAATCCAATCAGCCTCATACATTTAGCCTCTGTGACCTTTGTGGTTATTGCCTTGGTAAATTGATCACGAGCCATTATCAAGATTCTGTTGGCTGTTGCTAATTCTTTATGCGTAGATTGTTCAACTCTTATTCACTGATACCCCTCCGCTTCATTCAGGATCTTCTCATCCATTCTCACCAACATCGTACTCTCCTAGAGCCAACGTTTTGGATCAAGGAACTTGCGAATCACCACATCCATTTCCTACAGAAGCCCCAATATCAAGACCGCACAAAATGTCTTTATTGGCAGAATCAAAGCGCGTTGCCGCCGAGTTTGATTACACAGACGAGGATGTGCGACGAGGTGTTGCTGAATTTGTCGCGGAGATGAGTATGTTTATCTGCCAATCAATTTATGGCTTGAAATTAACGTCTGCATAGATGAGGGATTGGAAAAGAATGCAACAAACATGAGTCAAATTCCAACGTACGTTACTGGAGTCCCTAATGGAACGGAAAAGGTAGGAGAAGTGGACCCCCATTTCCGACGCACAAAGCTGATGAATCAATAGGGACTATATCTAGCGGTCGATCTTGGAGGAACCAATTTCCGAGTTTGCTCAATCCAATTGCACGGAGATACCACCTTCAGTCTTACACAATCAAAGGTTGCGATACCCCGGGACTTGATGTTGGCTAAGACCGCATCGGACCTTTTTTCGTTTTTGGCAAAACAAATCGAACTTTTTCTCAAGACCCATCACGAGGACCGTTTCGCGGCCCACATCAGACGTCGCAATACCGTCAGCACACCAGAAGGTTTCAGAGATGAACATATCTTTAGACTTGGATTCACGTTCAGTTTCCCAGTTCACCAAATTGGTATCAACAGAGGAACTTTGATTAGATGGACAAAGGGTTTCGATATTGCGGATGCGGTTGGACAAGATGTTTGTGATTTGCTACAAAAGGAGATTGATAAACTGCACTTGCCAGTCAAGGTCGCTGCTCTTGTCAACGATACAGTCGGAACATTGATGGCAAGAGCATATACCTCACCTGGAAAGACTCAGACCTTACTCGGAGCAATTTTTGGTACTGGTACCAATGGTGCCTATGTTGAGAAGCTCGAGAAGTTGACTAAGCCTATGGAAGGAGATTTTGATAAGACAACTGGTGAAATGGTTGTCAACACAGAATGGGGCTCGTTCGACAATGGTCTCAAAGTTTTGCCAAACACCATTTATGATCAAATCCTTGACAAGGACAGTGTCAACCCTGGCATTCAAATGTTCGAAAAGCGAGTTTCTGGCATGTTCTTGGGTGAAATTCTCAGAACGGTTCTCGTTCAAATGATCAAGAGCCCTACTATTCCACTTTTCAGAGATCAATCTTCTGCAGATAACGACTATCGCTCAACAACTACAGTCGATGAAGCCGGTCCTCTTTTCAAGCAATGGACAGTTGATAGTTCTATTCTCTCGATCGCGGAAGCTGACAACAGCGTTGGTCTTCGTGCCCTTCGTCAAGAACTTGAGAAGTCTCTCGGTGTCTCAGCTGCGTCATTGGAAGATGCTCAAACCGTCAAGGAAATCGCTCATGCTATCGGTAAACGTGCAGCTCGTTTAGCCGCTGTTGCAATTGGTGCCATTGTTCTCCAAACTGGTCGTCTCGATGTCAAATCTGATGCCCCTGGACCAAAATCAACAGCTGCTATTATTCAAGATGTTAAGGATTTGAAGATTGCCGATGCAGCATCAGCTACTGCCAATAAACTCGCTGACACAGCAGGCTTGGCTGTCAACGAGGAAGATGTCATTGATATTGGTGTGGATGGTTCTCTTGTTGAATTCTATCCAGGATTTGAAGATTATATGAGAGAAGCTTTGAGAGCTATGGATGGTATTGGAGCTGCTGGCGAGAGAAGAATTAGAATTGGTATTGCTAAGGATGGATCTGGTGTCGGTGCTGCATTAATTGCGCTTGTGGCGGCAAAGATGGAGAAACAACAACAACAAGATTATATTGGAGATTTAAGGAATAGGCTGGGTGGTGCTGGAGAGAACGTGATTGGAGAGTAATGGCTGCACGATTTGTTATGAAATGATTAAATGAATGGTTGTTTGGTTGCTTGTCAAGTTACTAGAGGAAGTACAGTGGAAAAACAAATATCAAGATGAATTGATGGGAATGGATGGGCGAAGGGGTTAGGATCCGGCGGTTTTGGTTACACACATAGTTTAGGCATAGGGGCTACTAGGTGGCTCCCTTTTTTTCAAGTATCATTTAGTAGGAAATCTGAACATACATATGAATCTTTTAAAAAAAATTAGACTGATATTCTTTGTATATTTGAAGTTGAGAATGCTCGTATCTGTGAAATTTTCTTTCATGAAATTAGATTTCATACATTGAAACATTGTAATTAGATACCGTTTCGGTTAAGTGAAGTGAAGTGATGTGATGTCACTCTTTCGGGATACGGAAATATGAGATCATGATCTAATCAGCTAACTAGTTGGTCTAAATATGAACTTTAGAAATGCTAGGTATCTCAATACCACCAAGGAAGTCCACAATCCTCATCAGTAGAAAGAAGTCGTGCTCTAGACGAGATAACCATTCCTATGAAGCCGTGCCTTTTAAATACTACAGCATACCAGTCTATCACCATCTCCCAATCTCCACATCCAAATCCACCCAACATCACGTCATCAAACTCACTCTCAACCCTCCACATTCTTTTCCCTCTCCCTAACCCTAACCCAAATCGGTTCCTTATGCACCACGATATATTTCTTCAGCTCAAACCAATGCGCCTCCTTTCCACCCTCTCTCTGCATGTCAAAATTCCACACCAAGCGCGCAAGCACTGATCGCAATTCTGCCTGGCCGAAAGATCGTCCTAAAACAGACGCGTGAACCTAGTCCCCAGGGTTTGAGGATGTTGCGATTATCGTTGACGTATTCGTTGGGGCGGAGGCGGGAGGGGAGATAGCGATCAGGGAGGAATTGGAGAGGGTTGTGGAAATTATCCGCGCTGAGAGCCATGGCGATGGTGTTGCATGCGATGTGTGTCTGGGGGTGGGGTGGGATGGGTTAGTATGTGTGGATGGATGACTATATCAGGAGAGTTTCCTCTCTTGGAAAATGGAAGAAAAGAAAAGAAAAATACTCACACCGTCAGGAAGAAAGTATCCACAAACAGTTGCACCTCCAGGAGGTAAAACCCGAAGAAGTCCACCCGGAACAGGATTACAAATCCGCAACCCTTCACTACCCACCGCATTCAAGAATGGCAACTGCTGAAGCGCACTCAGCGTAATATCCTCATCCCTCTCAAAAATCGTTCGAACCTCCGTTTGCAATTTCCGCAGCTCCTACGGATCCTACACCAAACAATTAAGGATTCCACAAATCGTCGTGCCGGTGGTTTCGCTTCCTCCGAGAAGTAAAAGCGCGGTTGTGCTTTCGATTTCGGGCATGCTCATTCTTGATAAGTCGGGATTGTTTTGCGGGTCAAACATCACCGTCATGAAATCTCCTTCTGCTGATTCGGGACGTTGAAGTCGTCGGTGAATTTTCTCGGCTGCGTAGGTGAAAATCTTCTTGCATTTTGCGCGTGCTGGCGGTGGAATAATCACCGAGGTTATTTATCTTCTTTTCATTCTAGATACTGTGTTCTCGCATAGGTATCTCTCTGAATATAAGTATTCTTGCCATCATAATTAAATGTTAGAACTCAGGAGGATGCATCAAATTCCCATGGGTAACCTCTTTTGCTAATGCAGAGCCAGAGTCTAGAGTAAACTTCTGGCATCAGATATGAACCGAAACAACACACACAACACAAAACATGACAATATAGGAAGAATTGAGAAAGTGAAAGTCATTACGACTCAGAAGTGATGGCATGATGCTAATAGATCATAGTCCCCGATTTGTGAGCTTCAAAGTTCAGATGAGTTCGTGATGAATGAGATGAATTGACTCGAATACTACACCAGGTATCTGAATAAATTGAGATGTTATGATTTTGAGATCGGAATTGATATATGAGTTTGTGTGCATTAGATGATAAGTTTGGATACTATGATACTATATATGTACTTATTGCTACAATTTGTTGAGCAGAGCTGCTATTCAATTTCAAGGCAGTCCTCAAAACTCCCTTGTTCAACCGACATCTTCTTTCTTAAAGTCTACTTGGACATACCGATGGAACTACACAGCAAAGAACAATGTTTTAATCGCAATTATCAACACACGAAATGGCTATCCATCTCAACACATCATTGAAATCCCCTTTTCACCCTCTATCACCAACAATACCAAACCTCTAAAAAGGCAACTAGCCCTTCAACTAGAAATCAAGAAGCCATTGGTTCTTTTTCTCCCTCCCCTCGATGTAAGATACAGGATGGTTAGCTATTTTCGCTAAGAATGATAGTACAGTAGTACTAATTGTTCTATCTTTAGCGCTGTGAGACTAAAAGGCCTTTAGCGCGAATATTTGTACTGGCAGAATTGAACTAAAGGCCTCTAGTTCAAGAAATTTGTATGGGAGAGTTGAGCTACAGGCCTTAGCTCAAGAATCTGTACTGCGACTCTGAGAAATGAACTAAAAGTGTATAAACATAGCTCATAACTTCAATTCAATAGCTACTATAATATAATCCCAAGCGAATACCCAAGAGACTAGCTTTTTCAAATAGACCTTATCTAAGACCCCTATTCTCCGTCAAACCCCCCTATATTCATAACCTTATAACCTCATTTCATCATCATAAGCCTAATTATCCATATGCTGTCTCGCGAACGAACTCCTCGCTCTAAGTCTATAACCATATTTCTCCAAGATAAAAGGAATAGGAACCAACAACACAGCCAAACATGCTAATATTGTTCCCGCCCAATTATATCCCAAATTCAGAAACATTTGTTTCCCAAACAAGGGGAAACCCGCCCCGGCCAAATTTCGTATCAACCCCACGCCAGCTAAAGCACTTGCTGAAAAGACCATGTAGCTATCTTCAACATAAAGATAAGTCATCAAAATAAGTGTGTAGAAAGAATACCCAAATAAAGTGGTAGCAAGTATGGGTACAATCCAATGAATATGATATTGAGGTGGTGAAGTCCATGCGAACCAGAAGAGACTGATCGGTAGTAGAATAGCCGCAAGTTTGCTCAATTGGACTCGTGCTTCCGGTATATTTTTGAATCTTTCAGGATCGATTTCCTCTTCAGATTGTGATTCCCTTGTTCCGGCTGCACGAATTCGTCTCTGATAATGGTTTTCTTGCCATATATTGATAAACGGGCCTATACTGATGCCGACGATAAGTCCAAGAAAACAAAGACCAACGCCGATTGTACCGAAACCATATCCCATCTTCCCAAACACGAGATTGAAAGCACTGTTGAAGAGAAATGAGAGTCCGTACAAGAAACCGTTGTAGAGCGCTGCAAAGATGATCACAGGCTCGGTTGCTAGGAAGCGGAAAGGTCGAGAAAGTGTATTTTTGAACAATTGTCCCAGGGATTTACTCTGCATTTCCATGGGTACCGTGGCGACGATTCTTCCGGCAGCTTTATTTAGTCGATTTGCACGTCTTCGAAGAAGCACTGAACGTCTCGTCTCATTTCCGAAAACAAGAAGTACCACCACGAGTATCAACCAGAATCCACCACAAATCCCTAGCAAAGCCCAGAAAACTTCTCGCCAGCCATATCTTTGTGCAACGAAAGACATCAAGAAATATCCGGAAGGACTTCCACACACTGCGGCCCAGAGGAAAATACTCATCGCTGGCCCTATTTGATCTCTTGGCCAGAGATCAGCTATTGTTCCACCAAAGTTGGCAATTGTCACACTCGCAAAAAGACCTGATAGAAATCTTAAAATTAGAAACCCTTCGATATTCTGTACGAGTGCTGTTCCAAGCAGAAATAGAAGAAATGTTCCATAAGGAATGATGTATAGATAAGACCTCCCATAATATTCAGATAAAGGCGCCAATGTCATCGGTCCCAATGCTAGACCGAGAATATAGAGTGAAAGACCCAATACTCCAACTTCGGAACTGACATTGAATGACTGGGTAAATTTTTCCTGTGCTGGTGAATATCCCGATGCTCCCCAAGAGACTGTTAGGTCGATTAAAGTGATGCTACCCACGATAGACCATTTTCTCCAGAAAGAAAAGTTGCGAGGATCAGAAGGGTCATCGGATCGAAATGTCAGGACTTGTATTTCAGTATTGGTTGAGCTTGTATACCGATCAGGTTGAGATGACCGATTCATGATTATGTAGGTATTTACTCAGAAGCACCCTTTGGCCGTGAAACTCGGAGAAGTAAGGGATCTCTATCGATTTTGATGAATATGTACATGATTTGATTCCATCAGGATCTGCACATTCGATTGGAGATGTCTTTCATTTCTTTTCATAGAAAGTTGATGTTGCTCAATGATGACGTTTATGATGCAAAAAGGGAGGTCATTGCGATGATTGGATCTACTCTGTCCTGATACACCGAGCACGAAAATCATACACCAGATGAGGGGTAAGTGCATAGCATACATACCTAGGTAGGTGTGGGATACAACGATACGTACCCGGGACAGCAGGACGAAAACCCCGGCATGTCAATCTTTCGAAGAACACCTTGAAATCTAGATCGAACAGAAGTGGAGGAACAATGTTCGAGATCAAGGGGAGTTTAAATTATCATAAATCACAAACACATGGTAGATATCTTAGTTGCAGATTGAATAAAACGATTTAGCAAATTATCCTGAAGTGTATTGCTGTTTGATCCTGTTCATCTTCTCATCCTACTAGAACCGCGTTCAAAAGATGACCTAGGCATATCGGGATTAGATCTTATCCTTATCATCAAGGGATATGTTAAAGATGTCTTTCAAATTTTGGAGACTGGAGCTGATTCCAATAGAGAGAGAGAGAGCAGAGCAGACATCATGTTTGATGACCTTGAATTTGAGTCATTGACCGATTTTATCTTTATCCTTTATTATTGATTTTTTCGGATTGTCGCTTCTGCGAAGATTGATGAAGGGGCAAAGAAGTGTCTGGACCTTTATAGACGTACTAGGTATGTGAACCGGTAATATTGATACGATAAGGAAAATCGTCGAGACAACATCTATTCACAACGAAACCAAGATAAAGAGTTCATCCATTTTGCAAAAGCTACCTAAGAACAGAGTAAAGAGATAACCAGTTATTATTCTTCCCGCTTGAAGGGGTTTCAAGGTAGTGGAACAACACACGGCAAAAGGAACACTCACATCCATTGACTAGCATTATGGGGAAGTGATATGCCAAGAAATTCGGAGTGGCCGACAATCATTAACTCAAAGGGAAAAAGAACAGAATGTCCACTGGTATTGATCGTGAAGTTTATCCTTATTTCTTCTTCTATTCGGTGATCTCGATACTATGACAAGTACCGAAACTAACAAATACTATTTGGTGGAAGGAAGCCACTTCGAAAGAGTCTCTGTCCAGTCCAGATCTTCTCTTGCATCTATAGAACAAGAGCCTCATGTGTGAGCAGCCAGAGTATCGAGGTACAGTAGAATGTCATCCTATCCCATCCAGTAAATATGTATATGGTCGGTCATCTATTTCACCATCAATCGAAAAAGATCATCCATCACGAATCTTCCTTGTACCGAGTATAGAGGTTGCATTCGGTACTCATCGACCTCTTATTACATGGTAGCAATCATATTGATCGAGACCCCTGCAGCGGTATTGACTGTGTAACTAATAACACTCCGAGCTTCTTGTGGAGGAGTTGTAAGTTGACACCGTCTATTTCTTTGCTATAATCCATGTCAACGGACGGAGATTGAACCGGAAGTTGTTAATGCTCCGCTTGATCGTCAACTTTGATCCACAAAGCATTACTTCGTAAAGTAGTTAAATGAAGCCATGAGCCGGTTGTCTGGTGTGATTGTCATTTTATTGATCAATTCCATACCAAGATCGGCTTCAAATTATGACTGAAGGACGCCGACAGATACCAGGCCGATCCGAGCCTTATGAATACTCTTTCATCCCCGCCCCCGCTCCTGTCACCGACTCGGAATATCAGGGTCCTATTCAACAAAATATCATCGATACGATTGAGCATTGGAATTACGAGAATAGCTATATCGACCCTGATTTCCGATACATAGTTCCGCTACCGGTGAACACTCTGGAAAGTCAGTATCCATCCGACACATCGAGATTATCCCGTGATCCTAATAGCTTGGAACGATCCTCCGTGACCGAGGAATCTTTACTAGATCTGCTAGATGGTTCACATACCATCAACAAAGCTACAAATATAACGAAAAATCCCAAGCCCCAAGGATTACCAGAAGCGCTCAAATACTTAGCACCAGTACCTACACAAAGAGATACTTCTCAACAACCTGTCAAGACCCAATCGAGGCATCCTCAACAATCCGCAACCGATGAGCTACTGCCTCTTCGACAACCTCCTACACATTCTCGCTATCCTGAACAACAAGTCCAAAATGCACAGTCAGTATCTCATTCCCTAGGTATACAAATCCCCGGCTAATCTCTTTTATCAAGGCCGATTTCTTATCAACCTTCTGCGTCATATCCCACGACTCTGGCTGTAAATGATCCATTTCTGTACGGCGATGTTGATGTGTTTTCGCAACCATTGGAAATTCAACTAGGTCCGGTACTACCGCCCTCATTAGCTAAAGGAAAACGAAAACAATCTTTTAGCCCTTCCCCATCGCCGGATCCTAACTCATCACGTCCAAGAAGGGTCGCAAATGCTAAGCGTCGGCGTGAATTCAATTCTTCTGCTTCTCCAAAACCTTCATTTAGCTCCGAATGGTGGGAAAGTGATGCTTCACTTTGCTGGAGATGCCGCAAGCATAATTCAAACGTAAATTATACCTTTCTTTCGCAGCATCCATTGATTGACAGCGAGAAGCTCCTCTTGGTGAACCTCAACTGACTTTACTACACGACAGCACCTGATATCAGGATTTTGCGATTCTTGCATCCGAGTATCAAACTTCAATGTCGCTCCAAGCACTCAAGGCACGAGAACGGAAAATTTAGAAAGTCTAGTATTATATCTATTACCATGTTCGGCTTTCCTTTCAATCATCCTTAGAATACACAGTATCTAATCAAGTCTTAGCACATATGGAAGAAAATCTACGCGCCATTCCTCGAAATGCGCTAAAAACCAAAACTTGGCGAATGTTCTCGGCTGAGAGGGCCGAAAAGGCATTCGATCACGATTTCGACAATACAGTATTTAGAGATCACTTCGTTTTAGCACAAGAACAGGCTCGTTCAACCGGAGTTTTCGACGAGAAATACTCAGATCTAATGGCCATAGCTCAATCATACCAAGAGTCTATTCCCCAACCTGTTAGTACCTTTGTTTATATTATTTCAAGAAAGTCTTCTGACATGTTCGTATATAGAACAAATCTCTCGAAGCTTCTTGCAGAATCTTGATCGAATGTTGCGAATTATACAAATGCTTTATCACAACAACGATGCCACCAGCTCCAATTCCAGTTCTTAATCTCCTCGAAAAGATCCGCACCACACGAAGCACGATGCGTAGAGCTTTCAAAGAATTTCAGACCCTCGCACTCGCTCCCTCTGACTTTCGCTCTCGACGCGATTGGCTACCTTCATTTCTTTCCGCATGTTCCCTTGCGATATCGGCAGTTGTGTTTATAGATATGATGGTAGCGGTTCCATCACCCTACAAAGAGAGAATATGGGGCGTGGCATGGCAAGAGAGAATAACTCAAATTAGACATGGAGGATATGGAATGATGTTGGAAGTTTTGAGAGCAAACACGAAGAATATCAATCCATTGGAATTGAGTTGTTGGGATCAGGATTCTGGAATCAACACAAATTTCCAGGTTTTGAACAATGCCCATGATCCTTTTGCTGGAAATCAATACATAAACGCACAGTACAGCACCGGATACACAATGGATCCTTCCTCTAACCCACAGTTTTCCTATGGACTCGCAACACCTGCAACACAAGACTTTGTTCCTGATATTTTATACGCCAGTTTGGATTACGACCAAGCTTATTATCATAACTGGCAACAAATGCAGCTGAGAATGCAACAACAAGCAAAAGCAGAAGAAGAGAGAAGAATCTTACTAGGAGATACCTCGCCAGAAGCACTGCAAGGAATGATGGCGGTGAAATCCTGGCAGATGCGAAATTTTGAACATTTGAAGTTGGGAGAGGATATCTTCAAAAAGGATTTGTATAGACAGGCGACTATCAATCCGATTGCGGGCTTGTGGAGAATTTTTGATATGAAGTAGGGATGAGATGGGGTTTCTTGGGTATACGGAGGGAGGGAGAAAAAACCTTATGAATTAGGATAGGAGTTGGTACTTGAATTCAGATTGTGAGAGGGAAATTGAGGATTAAGATGAATTGATGGCTTACTTTATTCACTGACTTCCTTCTCAAGTATCAGGCATATGAGATATTTTTTTTTAGTCTTTAATAATGTGTACTTTTTATTAAGCTTCCACATTACCTTTACTCAGTCTTATTACTTCAGATCAGAACCTGGAAATTCTCAACTCCAAGGGTAATTATCGTGGTATTCATCTCTAAACTATTGGCACATAGATCTCGATAACTACTCCGTGCACAGCTAATAATCACTCCAATCTGTACAATTTCACAAAGCCGTGCAATGAATGATTGCAAATTTCTATAAATGTATATACGTAGAATGAGACGTTTGCCTGCACGTAAAATACAAACCAACTCGATGAATCACAGTTGTGAGATGGACCAGTATCTACATTTGTTCCATTTCGAAACATTCGTCTTCTTCTTCGTCTTCAGTTGCAGTTGGAGCAGAAATTACAGCTGAGCTTGTGAGACTTGGGGAGGGGGATGTGAGAATAGATGTTGTGGGGATAATAACAGTTTGTAGAGTACTAGCAGAGCGGAACTAGCTACTGGAAGTGTAGTTGCGATTGTCTCTTTCGAAGTGACAGAGCCCGAAACTGCCACAACGGCTGTAGAGCTCGGCGCGCTAGTCGATGTGAAAGTAGACGACATCGTCGTATTTGTAGCAGGGACCGTAGAATTCGCAGTCGGCCGAGAATTATTCCCCGCTCTCACCACATCCTCCGGATCCAAATGATAAAGCAAGGAACCCCACCCAAGCCCATCATAATGACCTGATCCCTCGCCCCACGAACCTGTTCCACCCTCGAAACCGCCCATCATGGTGATGGTGTAGTTCATGTATTCTTTTGTCCAGGGCGCATCGACGCCTTTGATTTGTGCGTAGTGCGCGTGGAGGAGTTCCCATGTGGGACGGTAGGAACCGCGGGAAATGTTACTGACGACAGTGAAGGAGACGATGCCGTTGGTGTAGGGTTCAAAGGGGACGTCGTTGTTGAGGTTGTAGCGCGCGTAGTATTCGGCACTGAGAGGTGTTAGTTTGATGATTTTATATGTCTGGGGAATGAGATAAGTACCCGAGTAAGATTTTGCTATTGTTGTAACTGTACAAATCCTCGCCTTGATTCCAGGCCTGCTGGGCAAGGACTCCGAGTAATTGGAAATCAAGACCCGTGTGTCCTTGATCACGTCCAGCTTCTTGGGGTTGTCCCATGATTTTTCCCGTCTCTGGCTCGGTAACGAGATTCGAAATACAATTGTTGATTCCACCATTTCCCGATCCAGTCTTGAAATAATCGACCGCGTAATCGAAGAGTGTGGAATTGTCTGTCAAAACCCCAAATGCCATCACAGAGGCCATATTGCAAAGTTCCCAATTAGCAAAGAAATGCTTGATATTATGTTCGGAACCCGCGCTATGGTTGAGGAAATAGAGATTCTTAGCCAAGAAAGTCCTCTCAAACATAGCTGTGAAAGTAGCCAAACCGCTCTTCGCAAAAGGAGCATAGTCACGAATGAGTTCTGCAGCATTAACCAATTCGTGACCTTGCAAACCAGCTGTAAGATATTGATCATCCACACCCTCATCATCGAAATCCTCAAACTTTTCTCCCCACGCTGTGAGAATGGCCGCTGCAGCTTCAGCATACTGCGCATCCCCCTCTATTTTCCAGCGCAATCCCAGTGCGAAAGCTGCAGCTGCATCGTGCCAGAGAAGTTGGGCGTTGGCAGTTACATCAATAGTAGTATCGCGATAAATCCGCGCGACAGCATTGCTTGTGTAGTTTGATTGACTGTAGGAAATGCTGGTGAGTTTATCCCAGGAACTTTGCCATGGATCGAGTTTTTGGCTGAGTTTGGATTGGATGCGTGTGATGTCGGTCTCAGACACGAGGAGCCCAGGATGAACGAAAGCGAATGTAGTATTTACGAATAGAAAAAGTTGGAAAAGGAGTGTGCGAGCCATCTTGGCTAGAAAAGAAGTAACTAAAAATAAAGAAGATTGCCGAATTAGGGAAAAAAAGAAGTTTAGAAACTTTTAAACATTCAAAGAATCCGTGAAGAAGTAGAAATTACAGGATTGATTCCAACATAATATGGATATGATACCCTGCAACCCCAAGACTGCAATACCGCTTGCATCTACATGAAACATCGTCAAAAACCTATAGAAGCTGGCTACCGAATATGAAATGCGGCAATTTTCTCCAGAAAAATGATGGATCTATGATCATCATCTATCACTGTGTGGCAGTATGGGAAGATCCAAGTTGGAACTTCCTGAAAAAAGTATACGAATATCAGCTTACTAAGCAGGACATCAAGGCAGCGATCTCACCCACTTTCGAAGTACTTTTTGAGGAAATTACTAGGTAGGTACTCGCCAGTGAATGTCCCTCATTGGTAAATTGGTGTTCAAACTCTAATTTGAAGGATCTCGAAGGTCTGATTGGCTAGGAGGAGGTTGTTCGTATAGATAGAGGTAGGTTTGCTGCTTTTCCACGATATCTAATGCTGACTGTGCGGAATATCTCTTACGAGTGAAGAGAATAGCATTTTGCATCAGGTATGGATTTGTGTCTAGAATTCCATCAAATGCAACATAGTAATCAGGGATAGGTTACGGCGATTAAAGTACCCCATCTGTTCATCCCGGGTGGAGACATGTCAGCCGTTGATAGGATCCTAGTTTATATTGCTAGCTTCAGAATTTGACAAAACATCGAACATCAAACTCGCGAAATGCAATGAGATTTTTGAAATGAATCTTTTTCAAAATCGGATTGAAATGCGATTTGGATATTTTAATCCTTTCAAATTATAGATCGAGAATTGGTATTCAAAAATTCATCATCAGTAAGAATTTTGAAGAAGCTATATTGATGTATTGTTTTGATATCGAATTTCGATTGAAGTGTGGATTTTTGGTGTTCGGCTTCTTCTGTTGGTTGCGAAGCCTTCCAAGACACACCTCAAATGAAGTAAAGGATTGGAAAGGATAGAGGGAGGATTTTATCTCGCGGTTGTAGTTTTTCATCATGCTAATAGTGCCGCCAGATTCAATGAGTGTTGAATTGGTTATGTAGTCGTGTTTTTTCCCGTAACTATTCAAACAGGTACGAGAGATGTCAAATCTAGAGAGGTGCAAATGTGTCACGTGATCACAGCGCCTGACCTAACCTTTTTGTTTTGTAATGAGTACCTCCTATCAAAGTGTATTTCAACCTCTCCCCTATAAGTGACTAGAGAAAGTGACGATGAAGATGATACTGAATAACATTGTATGGAAACCATTTGCTAATACCCAGCCATAGAGAATAAGGTTTACTTATATTCTTCTTGAGGAGATTACCGGTAGATACATTATTTAGAAGAACTGGGAGTTTACTGAGATAGAGTATTATCAAGTCCACTAACTGAGCTCATGTTGACCATGGTATCCTTATTCTGGACAATTTGAAGAGTAGAAGCCTTCATCATTTCCAGGGTATCCCGCATATTGATAATGAATAGTCTCTTCTCCTACGCTATCTTATCTTCTACACCTTCTCATCCTATCCTCCATTTTCAGGAAGGGTTTTTCTAACTTCTGGATTCCGAGCATGAATGTCATTATTTCATCGATATACTAGAAACAATTGGTTTGTTGATTCGTGATTATTTGTTCCCAAGATTTCAGCTTATACCATCATTCCCGTCCGTATCGATTCATCCATCTTGTCACTCTAGTCTTGGAATACTCTCATAGAATAGACTAGGACGATAGTTATAAAGTTCGATTTTAGATAGGCGCAACTGAATCGAACTTTTTATTCTTCAGAGATAAATGTTATCTACGCCCCGTCTCAGATTCCTGACTTTGAATCCAGTCGATTTCATTTGTTACATCAATCAATATATCAATAAATGGTATGCTTCGAGAAGTTTTCGAGGTTGTCGTCTCACGTGGTTTTGGCACGAAAATTACCTCGGTTACATGTCCAATAAAAAGAAGCAAAAACTCTTAGTGTGGTCTGTGGAAAAAATGTATTATATGAATATATGTTAAAACATTGACGGCACCTGCAACAAATAACAAGCATCTTTGATGGTCTAACGGTCATGATTTCCGCTTGTCATCAATTTGGCAAGTCGCGGGAGACCGGGGTTCGACTCCCCGTCAGAGAGATCTGAGCTCCTGTCTCATTCCTTTTGTGCATATTTGGGGAGCAAATTTTTTCTCCCAAGAAAGCTACATACATACAGGTTGAAGACGAAACAGTTTTTGAAAGCAATTTTATGTGATATGAATTTTTTTATGGCATCCCTTTTTTTGTCAGAAAAGTGACATTCCAGGTCGCGCGTGATTCCCGATATTACTCCGAAGCTGGTAGCCAATGACAATCTTCCGCTTGTCAATCTCACGTGTATTTTCGGTTTTTCAATAGTTTTGTTGCATATCGTAAAATTGTCGGTCACAAATTCTTGGGGTTCGACTCCCTCTCAGAGAGAGAGGGGTGGGTTTATTTGAAATTTGAATTCACTCAAATAACTATCTATCATTTACTAGATGGATTTTTTGAATTTATTTCTTAATTATTATCTACTATTTATCATTAATTACTATTTGACTTGTGAAACTTCTGTTCATATACAAGAAAGTGAAGGAGCAAAACCGAGAGTACCTGTAATTCTCTTTTCAGACTACTTTTTCAATTGTTATATCAGTATCAAACATTCATCAATCTCAACCACTTTAATTTCATTGCGTGAACAATACTTGGACCACTAAGGACATTGTGTTGAAATTTTTTCTATCCAACAAATGCAGTTTCTCTGGCAGTTCCTCTGGCAGTTTCTCTGGCCCATTTTCTTTTTTTCTCTCCCTTCAATCTAATGATATTGTTGGAACAACCGTCAGTATTACAGAAAAGGTTTACTTACCGTCTTGTAAATGCCCGAATACCACGGGAATCTGTCGGCTTTGTTCCAAGATCTCTTCGCTCGGGGTACTTAGTCAGAGAATGAGCCATTCAAGGGATTGCTGGAGTATCTGATGGTTGAGTTCCTCTGGGCTTGATAGATCTCGCACATCATGCCATGCGTGGTGGATTGTCCCTTTTATTTGACATTCTCCCAAGAAGAAAGGCACACCTATCAGTCTGGTGGCACGGCATTCATGTGACATAATCATTTTATTATTATTCTATGATCATTCTCAATGATGTTATATTGGAGCATTGGACATGTCAGAGGCAGTGTAATTTTGCTTGAATTCCAATTGTCAATTCTGCTTTAAAGCGAACTGCGCTTAAGGATTTGAGCACAGGGTTCACTTATGATCAACTGCTTCTCAGCAATGTTTTGCCTCACAAATTATAAGTTACCAACATGTTGTGATGGTGGCGTAGCATTTCATGTCAATGCTTCTGTAAGCTTGCCCCAGACAGGGCCAAGAAAGCCCTTTATCGAATGCGCAGTGGATGATACTTGTGGTAATTCGAGATTGAAGACGTATGACTTATATGTTCAAATAGAATTGTGGTTTCTGTAGACCCTCCCTCGATCGTCGAGCACAAAAGATATCACGAACGCACCAGTCATCCTATTTGGAAATCATCAATCAATCAGAAATGTGGCTCAACTCTTTACCATACTTTACGTCTTGCCTTTGTGCAATATTTGCCTTGACCATCGCTAACAAATATGATACTATCTACCCATATGTTGAATCTGGCGCTGTCCCACTGAAGCTACGCATGATATTATACATGCTCGTTGTTGCTTCGAAAAAGCTAATCTTGCAATTTCCCCGATCCATACAAACCCATTTTCGACAGAAAATCACCGACAAAAAATCCTCTAGTAGCAAGCAACTTTAAACATTACCACAGTCGCCCATCTCAACTACACCGACGCCGCAACAGACACCATCACCAACTCCGTAATCGGAGTCAATTCTCTCGGTACCTGGATCGAAAACTCACCATGAACCACCACCATCTTTATCCTCGAATTCTCCCATAGGAACACCATTGTTTCTGGCCAAAAAGATACAGGAAACTGCTATGCAACACTAGGTCAGATCTGTGTACAAGAATACTTGAGCAATGCCGCTTTGGTAAATATATCCGCGGGGTATCCACTATCACCAGCTCTGGCTATACCTACGAGTTGCGATGGTAAAATTGCGGGGATTATGGGAGTGGTATGGTTTCTTCTCGCGTGTAGTCCAACTCTCTTTTCTTCTCTGTCTAACGTATACTAGGATTCAATAAAAGCGATGCTAATGGAAACGCATACTTCTTCAGTGCATCCTGGGTGCATAATGTAAGTAACACCTCACTCTACGAAACAGCAGTTATGGAAATTTGGCCGATACTGGTTATACAGCGCAATGGAGCAAATGGAGTTCAAATGAAGAGGCTGAGGCGGTTGAACGTAAATAAGACGATGCTGGGGTACCTAATGTGGCGAGGGGATTGCAGATGTATGGATGGGCTGTGGGGGTGGTTGCTTCTGTGGGAGGACTTTGGTTTTTGTAGTTGTGGGGGAAGGTTGAGTAGCGAGTTCATGCGTCGTTTTGATGAGAACAGTTATCCAGGTCTCGTTTATGATGCCGTCAAATGGTTTGATGATTTTGAGAATTGTAAGCATCGATGACTTTGACACAAGGCTTGTGAAAACGCGATGAGAAGTTTACAATGTGTGGACCAATCAAGACTATATGGCTCAGGATCCACTAGCGTTTTCTCACGATACTTATTTATGTCCTTGAGACTTGCATGCCCATATCCATTATTAGCCAGTCTTCATGTGCCGATAGACTTCACAGTTATTTCAGACATGAATGATATATTTTGAAAAAAAAAGTTTAATCAAACCAAAAACATCACTCGATTGTTTGATTCTTTCTTCACAAAAGAAGTACAACAAATAATTCATTCAGCTCCAATGCCATAATCCCATAACGCCATCACTATTCTGTCGCCCATAAAAAACCCATGAAAGCCGTTAAATAACCCTCATCCAATACCACCACACTACCCAGCTAAACATGAAGTTTCCTGCGTCTGACAGTCACCAATATCAAACCCACTTGCATTCCCACCATTAAATGCATCCGCACATGCATTAAACTGTATATCACAACTTCTTTGTAAAGCCGCAGCTTCATTCACAAATGTATTGCCATTGACTGAGAAAGGACGAGTTGAATCTCCACTGTTGGTGACAGGTGGCGCCGCTATACCTCCTAGTGCAGAAGTTGAGGAGCCTGCGGAAGATGAAGTGGCAGGTGATGTGCTACTAAAGGCAGGTACTGATGATGATGTAATGGAAGGTACACTTGATGCGCTGGAGCCGGTAATCTTGGACGCTTTCGCTGCAGAGAAAGAAGACGAAGCTGATGCTTTCGAACTTTCGGAGGAGCTAGCCACTGGGTTGGTGTTGTCTGGACCAGCTGCGACTGCACTAGCTGCTAGAGCTGCAGCAGCTTGTCCACCGGAACCTTAAGATTGTCAGCATGGCTTTTTGTTCCATGAGCGGAAGGCTACAAAAATTTGACTTACCATTATTAGACGCAGCATTTGCAGTATTTCCAGATCCGATGACGGTAAATTTAGTACAATCATCTGCTGTACCTCGCTGGGCAACAGGCATAATCGCAGGCTGATGATTAGTTGAGGAAGCCATTGTGCACACACGATAGTTGCCAGCCGGTAAGCCTCCATTAACAGTAGCCGAAAGAAGCCCTTGTCCATTTCCAGCATCATTTATACCCTTAAAGAAGGCGAATTGAGTAGGATCCAAAGTTCCAGTTGGGTTGAGACTGGACCCCATATCCTGCACGGTTACGTGTGTATGCCCAATCACTACCTACAATAAAAAAATATGATCAGCAATGGCCTAGCAAGCAGGGGACATCAGTAGGACAATGATAAATTTAGATAACAAATGAAGGTCAGGTAGTGTGAAGTGAGAAGGCCTACTCCGGATGAGTCAAGCTGTTGTGGAGCAGAGAAGTAAGTGGAGGCCGCATTAGAAAAGGAACCTGGAGTGATGTTGGACATTTGGACAGTAATGTTGAATGTTGTATCGGATTTAATCGATGCGCTACCAGCCAAAGGGAATGTAATGATCGACGACATCATTTTGTTTTTCGCGGGAATTTGACCCATTGCTGAAAGGGAAATCAGTAGGCATTAAATTAGAGATAGAGAGGCACTCACGAATTCCATTACAAGACCCCGTTACAATCTGAAGGCCATTGGTAAGAGTTTCTCCTGCGCAAAAGTTTATGAAGTTGTTTTGTGAAGTGGCAGAAGTAGCCTGGGCCGCTTCACTACCACCAATTTTAGCGAGTCCATCACTGAATGAGCCGCTTGCGATGGCATTTTGTGCAAGGGTAAGACTGGTGTCATCGCCGCTCGTTGCCGTGGCACGTTTATAGATATCCTGGTGTCTCTTTACACTTGAACCCTCGACCAGGAAAGTTGACGTAAAGAGGGCGAGAGCTATTGGCTGAAAAAGCATTATGATTGTTAGTTGATCGCTTTTTGTGCCTTTTGATATATTCGCAATAAAGGGATGAAAGTATAAAAGATATGGTATATATATATTACAGTATGTATAAGCGACGCAGTCGTACAAGTCCTGATGAAAAGAATGAAGAAAGTACTATCAAAGCATGAAAAATAATGTAAATATCAAGAAAGAAAGAGTGCGCACAAAAAGAAGGTGAACCGAGAAGTCGAGATTAAGACTTATGATGAGAGAAGAGGTTTACATGACGGCAGCACCAACACTCATATATTTCATCTCATTGAATTTCAACTGACATGTCTGTGCCGTGAGCCGACGATGGATGGCAAGCCCAGCTTGATCTCGACCAGATTCGACGATTTCATTTGCTAGCAAGACTTGAAGTTGTCAATTGGATATGTATCAGCCTGTTTGATTCACACATCTCGATTAATGGTTTCGGCTTCCAGGAGATATGAACAGGCTGTATAACAGTTTCGTCCCAAGAAGAATCGGAGGGTAATAGGTAATGCAGGGCTATTGTAACCCAGCCTTGTGGTCTTATAGAGTGAAGATGGATTGCAGAGAGGACAATATTAGCACGGCCGTTGAGAAAGACGCAAGAGGTACGAGGACTATGACGGAAAGGCTTAGCGATGAGAAGTCCTCCATATTTTCATGGGTACTGTAGCTTGGGATGAACATGTCTCGAATGTTAAGATATGATACGGTTGTTGCAAGAGATGAAAATCTCGCGTCTGGAATTGTAACCTTAAGCAACAATAATATGATACCCCTAAACCCCAAAACTTTAGGGAAGCGTGAATGCATCAATTCATGCCACCAACATGGGCATTCAACTTATTAGCTTTTTGGATATTGTGAATGCTGACATTGTCCAGAATGTGATGATATATTCAAAATTCATGTAAGAAGTTATTAATGTCAGAATTTTGATGGTTGATGAGGACGTGAAGTATCGAAAAGCAATCGGGCCATCTTATCTCATCGCCGCGTAACCTCATCCCTGTCATTGTCTCAGAACATGTAGGTTACAGCGGGTAACATGAGACGAAGACAACAACATCTCAGGCGGGCATAGGATGAAAGGCTGCATTGGATGAGACTCATCAATTGATTGCTAAAAAACCCCCTTCAGCCTTACTCATACCGGATTGCCATTTCCATCAATACAATCTGATGAGCTTCGTCTGATCATGCCAGGCAAATATTATCTCGGAATTTTTGAACAAGGTTCACCGAAACTCAAATGTTGCTCAAGCTCGCATCAAACAGATCTAGCTTACCTTTAATTCTTGTTAGATTTCTTCCATGAACGCCGTCTTGGCAATATGGGGGAAAAAATCAGAAATACACCCATGTTTCTCGTCTCAAGAAAATGCATATCATATAAAACCCTTCCCTCTGAGATCCGATCATCTTCTTTTTGGTTGTCTCGATCTCTAGTATCTTCTCTCTCTCTTTCACTCTCTCTCACACGTTCGTTTTCGCTGTTTGTCTATTTTCCACGTCTGGAACGTCTTTCATTAAGTGTTTTTACTTCCTAATACATATTCTTCTCACATCCTTTTACTTTTCATTGTCACTTCACCGAACAAAAGCACAAAACAACAACAACCATGATGCATTTAGTACTATTTGTTGCAGTCCTCGGAGCCATGGCTGTCGTCAACGCGGCTCCAGCATCTACAACTGTAAACCCTGATGCAGTTGCGGGAACAACATGTACCGATCCTTCAACGTAAGTATTTAATGATGTAATGAGAATTTCAAGCACTGATGTGTTACCAGAACTCTTGTATCCCATGATATCAACGTGGCTCTTCTCGGAATTTGTGGAGGTATAGCAGGAACTATTCAACAAGTGAGTTAATTCCTCTATTTTGGGAGAAGAGGAGAGTGAAAAGCCTTATGGAGTTTTACCAGGATATGGCAGGATATGAGCCGCCTGGGATAAGAGGGTAGAAAGAGATGTGTATATTTCAAGTGATAACACCAAATTGGTTTGGATCATTTTCCGATCAAATTATGCTTTCTTCGGAGACAAATCACAAGATCTTTGCCATACACGCTCATCATTACAAGACGAGATGAAAAATCGAGGAACCTAAGTAGCTCATCCTTGGGTTTGAAAGAGTATGAGCGGAAGAACACTCGTCTCTACTTTAATCTCTACAACAAATTATTAACACTCCGTAAATCAGTGTGGTGGTGAGCCTACGTCAACAACCGGAGAATCGGGTACTGCTCTCTTGAAACTTAATGCTGCCACATCCGGTCAGACAATTGATATCACGAAAGGCAGATGGGAAGGATGTATGAGAGCAGCGCGAGCGGTGTGTGGAGACAGTCCTTTTACCAGTACTTGTATTGGTGGAGCTAAGGTAAATGCTGGCAACGTAGATTTCGAACTTTCTGCCGCATAATAAGGTGTTCAAGGACTTGGGACTGTGAAGAAAAGGAGACATACTGTATGATTGGTACATAGCCGACGACTTCAACTATTAATTCTGTATATGTACCCACATTCACTCTAGTCATATAGAACGAGATTGGACTAAGCGGAAGATGTGCGAACGATGATTTGAACTCCGAACTTTTGATGAAGACATCACAAATCGCATGAACATAAGTACCCTCAGCTTTCTTCTGGCATATCTCACGTGTCAAGGTTCAGGATCACTTGAGGTATAATCACGTGCTATCCACATGCATCAAATCATGTGATAAAATTTGTGGCAAGATCTTATTCGTGGGAATTTGTGAAATGAGGACAAACAAATGAACAGGGCCGCGACCACATCTAAAATACGCAGGTACGGTATATGAACTACGAAGATACGAATCCAAAATCTGTAAAAATCCTCTTGTGTCTACTTTCCAACCTCTAAAGCCAACCCTTACACATTTCGACAGCTTTCGTCCATCGCGAAAACTTCTCTTTACTTTCTTCTGGAGTTATTTTCGGATGAAATTCAGTTTTGCCTACGGTATTGATATTCTTTAATTCGTCAAAAGTTTCCCAAACCCCCACGGCAAAACCTGCAGCGATGGCGGCACCTAAGGCTGTTGTCTCCAGCATTCTTGGACGTTCAACCGGGATCGAGATAAGATCGGCTTGAATCTGAAACGGCTTTAGACATTGTCCAAGATGGAAAGAATGGTACAAGAAAACTTACTTGCATGCAGAGATCAGAATTACTCATGCCTCCATCGACAGCGAGTTCAGCAAGTTTCTTCCCACTATCTTTTTCCATCGCGTTTAATATTGCTTTCGTTTGGAAACAAGTCGCCTCCAAAGTAGCGCGAGCAATATGACCTTTTTGTGTATATGCTGTGATACCGACTATTAATTGGTCAGTACTTGAGTTAATAGATGTCGCAATGGATCTTACAAAGAGTGCCGCGAGCGTCGTCATACCAGTACGGTGCGAAGAGTCCACTGAATGCAGTCACAAAAGTGACACCGCCATTATCTTCTACAGTTTCAGCTAGCTGACTGACCTTGGCCGAAGAGTCGATGAAGCCAAGGTTATTTTGAAGAAATTTGATACTGGAGCCTGCGACCGCGATACTTCCTTCCAAAGCATATTGCGGTTTACCATCAAAGTCATACGCAACTGTACTCAAAAGCCCGTGTGTGGAAATCACAGGCTTATCTCCAACATGGTAGAGAAGGAAGCAACCTGTCCCATAGGTATTTTCCGCTCTACCTGGTGTGAAACCTTTCTGTCCGACGAGCGCCGCACTTTGATCACCTAGCACGCCCGTGATAGGGACCCCTTTCAAGATTCCTGTTGTAAGAGTGCCGAAGGATTCGCGATCCGACGAGCGGACAATTTTGGGAAGACTAGTACGTTAATGCGTACTTTAATGGCGAAAGAGCAAGAAACTTACTGAAGCTTGTCCATATCAAATCTAAAAAAATCTAAAAGTTGCTCATCATACTTGAGAGTATGCAGATTCATGAACATTGAACGCGATGCATTTGTGGGATCTGTAACGAACACATTCTTCTTTGGTCCACCATTAAGTTTATAAATAACCCAGGAATCAACAGTACCAAACGCCAGATGACCTCGAGCATATGCGTCTGCGACTTTGCCATTGTTTTCAATCAACCACAAAAGCTTACCAACAGAAGGATAAGTCGATAAAGGAAGACCGCAGAGACCCTGCAGTTGATTAGATCCAAGTCGAGCTTTCAACTTTCTGACTAATGCCTGGTTTCTGGTATCTGTCCACACTATAGCATTTGCTAGAGGTTCCCCTGTTTCGTGATCCCAGACCACTGTTGTTTCTCTTTGATTTGTGAGTCCTACGGCTTTAATCTGTCTCGCCGAATGACCTTGTTGCTCAAATTGTTTGACGGCACCTTCAATACAAACTTCTATTGAGTCGATAATTTCAAGAGGATCATGTTCGTGCCACCTTGTCAAGGTCAGCTACGAATTGTCAGTGTTGATGGATGTACAAACCCTGATTGTGGATATATCTGAGAAAACTCGACTTGATGCGATGCAACCGGCTCGCCGTCTTTGTTGAAGATCAAAAATCTTGTGCTTGTTGTACCTTGGTCTATGGAACCTATGAAAGATCCATGATTGGACACGGACACGAAGGACTCATGGCTAGAAACTGAAGTGTGGTCACCCATATTGATTATGTTACTATTCTGCAGATAAATGTGCCAAAACCTCTGGCTTTTGTAGCCACGATGGAAGAGGGTTGTATGGAGCAAGGCATCTAGAACCCCTCGCCCGGATAAAATTTCTCCATATTTTAAGCATGTGATGCTTCAACGGACGTCAAACTTATTAAATCAACCTAGCCGATTCGAATGGCTTGCACTGGAGGAGCGGGGCCAATTCCGCTAACATCTTGTGGCCGAGCAAAGTCTTATGGTCTTGGTATTAGTATTGGCCAACAAATTAACTTACTAGCGCAACGGTACGGTATCACAGTTCTCGAAATCTGCATATTGAGTGATTAATTCACTCGGACATCAGAATGTTTGATACTATCATACCATTCGATCTATGCCGTCAATATTTACAGGGATCAGGGACGAATTGAACCAACATCTTAACTAGCGGCTTAACTAGCCCAAGAACTAGGAGGAAAGTGCGATTGTGGGGGAGGGGGCACAATCCTGGTCAAAACACTCAGGGATAGACATAGCGAAATTTCCATCAGAAATGAAGGGTGACGCTTACATAGTACAGCAGATGCATGTCGATATATCGATATGTTGATGTCAAGAACTCGGACGATTACCTCCATTGAGCTTTTTCACCAAGCAAATTTCTCGCACCATGCTTGTTTTCTCGTTGCCTCGGTAGGTATCGGCACACTGCATTCTTGGACACCACCAGATGATGCCAATTGCACCTTCATTGCGACGGAATTGACCCAACAAGACTCGGGATTCTGGTATATTATTGTTTACGATTATTGTGCGCTTGGAATTCAAACCACTGATGGTGTAGGCCGAATACAAGTGAAGATGGAGTGGCAGAGCTACTGCGTTTGCTGAAGGCTTCTAGAACAAGCAAGACTAGTGAAGTTCTCGGTTCATGAGACGGCTCTTGCAACCGCCATCCACTACCCCGCAATCTCGCCATATGCAAGAGCACTGACTTTAGTGCAAAATGACCATCATTTGCAACCCACAAATGATTACCAACGCCAAAAGAACATTCGGGTCAGCGTCCCCACTCAAGTTAGATCTGCATTAAGGATGTTCCAACGGTTTTAAATCTTACGAGTCGTTATGCATATGGCGCCCCACCAAGAATTCCAACGACCTGATCCTCAAATGCTTGGGACAGTTCAAAAGTCCAGACCACCTACAACGATGATCCTAGTGGGTTTCTACCTGGGAACCGTCTGATAACTGGAAGTTAATTCTAGGACGAAATTTTGCTCAAATGTACACAGCCTTTGACATATCGCATTATGAGATAAGTCGCCAATGGTGAATTTCATGGCAAAAAATCCTTCAAGCCTTCCGAAGACAGTTCGGGTGTCCGCCAGCCATTGGCTTGGAGCCACTAGAATAGAACGCCATGCATTTGTAAAATTGGCAAATGTGTGAATGCTGGCGTTATTCTAATAACAAGGAGGTATGTATTTACAATCGCCATTCGTGCGCTTAGCCATCTAGCATAGATATCGGCAACACCGTCGTGCCTGTTCTCCTAGAACTATCTCCATGTACTGTGCCGTGAATTGGGTCTATACCATGCGGAGAAAGGTATTGATACGATGTCGAGTATCACAGAGTTATACAGTCGAGACTAGGATAAGTAAATATCTACCCGTCGGGCAGTCAAATTGACCACACCTACCTGAAAAATGAAGTTTGATTGGAAGTACCGCTTTGGAAATATTCTTGCGAATACGACCTATATACTGTCATACCATTGATTTCATCGAGGAGAATGTACAAAGAATGAATTCATCCAAAGTTGGAAAATTGAAGTCTTGTTACCTTGAATAGGCAAAATTTTGTTGATGGTGACGCTCCATACTCTTCGCTATTATTGAAGATGCCATCATAGCTCGCACTATCTTTGTCAAGATCGACGTGTGTTTGGTTTGGTCATAATAGTCTTTTGAATTACCATCGAACTTGCTTTCAACTTAGTGTGGACCGGAGGAACCAAGTTTATTTCACAGTGTGATCAACCTTAATACTCTATTGGTAATGTTGATGCGGGGTTAAGTGACCAAGACTGCGCCGTCAACCACCGTCTGGTTGCAACAAGGATAGACCGAACTTATCGATAAGGCACCCCTCTTACATTGTTTGGTGGTCACCCAGAGCTCATCATAGTATGCTGTGGTGATGCCACTTTCCATTAGTCGGCACGAAGGTGTGTTATACATGCCGTTAACATACTCACGACACATCATTTTCTTGATTATTTCCGCGTTGAGATTACTCCGATGCAGCTGAATTCACACTTATTGATACGTCAATCTCTCGGGTGATTCAAACTGAGCGACCTTGTCAGTTCTCTATCCATACGTTCCGCACTCACAAGGAAGGAGTTTGGACCATCTTGGAGGTACTTTGGTGTCTCCTTTCAAATTGGCAGTTGGGATGGCTAAGTCTTCCCTTGATAAGATTGTCCAGAACGGCAACTTGACCTCTTCACGCAACTCAGAAGCGCTAACATGGCTTATTCTTAAGTTTTTATCTGTAGATTACTGCCTCGGCATGCTAGCTTCTCAATCGCATTGCGATGGTTCCAATATTACATACTTTTTGTGCACATGTTCATTTCATTAGGGGTGGTAACTTCGGCTACAACGCGGTGTCTTCCGCCTCTAAGAATCATACAAAACTGTATTACTCAAAAACCCCAAGTTACATATAGAACAGCATCCATCTCTTTCAGGCCCATCATCATCCAAGTTGATATTCACAAAATCGCCGTTCCACGCCTTTACTTTCTCAATTCCCCAAAATGAGTTCAGATAAGCAAGGGCCGCCCATTCCTACTGTTAGCAATGACAAGCAAATGGGGATGATGGAATCCCAAAACTCCTCGCCAAACCTCTCATCACACGAGTCCACACTGAATGAAAACAACGTTCACACGGTCTCCAGTGAAGGTAGCGGTGCTTATGCAGAACATGGTCCTGGAATTGATCATAAGATCCCACAAGAGCTCGAGATACAGTCAAAGCCAGACCTTTTATGGAGTCGTATTCGACATACCATGCGAGAACCGTTCTCGGAATTCTTTGGTGTATTTATTTTGTAAGAATACACTCAAGCCTTAAGGCTCCGCGATACAGACAATCTCTTTCTTGCTCGTTCAATAGTCACTGACATTCAAATAGGATCTTGTTTGGAGATGGCGTAGTTGCGCAAGTAGTCCTTAGCTCGGGGGAGAAGGGCTCCTATCAATCAATATCTTGGGGATGGGGGTGGGTATTTGCCCTGCTCTCAACGATATATTGGCTAAAAGCTTTAATAGCATTGGAGTTATGCTTGGAGTCTATGCTTCAGGCGTTAGTGGTGCCCATATCAACCCAGCTGTGACATTCGCAAACTGCGTCTTTCGAAAATTTCCCTGGCGCAAATTCCCCATCTATATGTTGGCGCAAGTGTTGGGAGCAATGTGTGCCGCCGGCGTGGTCTATGGTATGCCATTCCCAAAATTTTATAAAGCCAACATCTAATACGCTGATCCTTATAGCAAACTATAAATCTGCCATTGATATTTTCGAAGGGGGGAATAACATTCGAACTGTGGGCCTCAACACATCATCTGCAGGCATATTTTGTACCTACCCCGCCCCTTTTATGACAAAGACAGGACAATTCTTTTCGGAGTTCATCGCAAGTACGATACTCATGTTTTGTATCTACGCTTTACAAGATAATGGTAATTTAGGTTCTGGAAATCTTACCCCACTTGGACTCTTCTTCGTGATCTTCGGTATTGGAGCTTGCTTTGGATGTAAGTTGTATTTTTTGAACTCACTCATCGCACTATATATTGCCAAGATACTAATATGCGACTATTCACCAGGGGAAACTGGTTATGCAATTAATATGGCTAGAGACTTTGGTCCAAGATTGATGAGCTACTTCCTTGGGTATGGTCACGAAGTATGGAGCGCGGGAAACTATTACTTTTGGGTACCTATGGTAGCGCCATTTTTCGGATGCTTATTTGGAGGTTGGTTGTATGGTATGTGCTTACTATCCTTCATGCTCATGCTTTTGGCGAATATTTTCTAATTAAATGGTATAGATGTCTTCATCTTCACTGGTGAGAGCCCCATCAATACTCCTTGGATGGGATTGAAGCGGTTTATGCCTGGGGGTCTCGGGAGTAAGAAAGTAGATTCCGCAGCGTGAAATGGTGAGAGAGCAGAGAAGCTTGGTACCGATGCTAATCCTCTCTGTACGTTAAAGAGAAGGACATTATTGCGTCAGATGACTGGACTGCACGCATTTAGCTAGAATCTCAAGTATTGAACCGGTGCCAACGGTAAACTTCATAGGGAAGGAAAAGGGACCGACCGGCTATTTCTGCCTTCTTATGGGCTTTCACACATCATCATACACCAAGATGTCGGGAAAATGGATAGGAATTTCTCGGCAACTCTCAATGTAACCTTAAAATTTAACTTCTTTAATCAAACAAACACTACATACCCTAACTCCCCATCTCTTTAAATGTGATAAAGTTTCGCGCCATTATATCATTAGCTATCAAATTGTTTCATCATCTGTCATCTGTTGGAACAAGACTGATCCTGATGTTTTCTTGGCCCCCCTTTAGCTTCCCGCTAAGCGCATAGCCTCACCATAATCATGATTCCGTTTATCTCATCCACATTGGCGTTTTTATTGGCATTTGCATCAAATTTACATCCACTTGCTCAAGAAATTATTATTCAAACAATGTACCCAAATAGTTCCTACAATTCACCATCCGCATTAGTCGTCAGCCAAAAGGATTCACGAGAAGTTGAAGTCACATGATTAATCGCTCACAAGGACCGTTATTAAGCGGTCATTGTAGATCTATTAATGAAAGTACGAAATTGAAGTCAACAACACCAAAGCTAGGACTAGCTCCAACGGTTTATAGTATCTTGGCTATGTGGAGATAGTGCAGAACTATAAATCTAGTGTGAAATGACAGATCGTATGGCTACAAAGATTGAGTTGGTGCGGGTCTCTAGCAGTTACTTGTCCTCACGCTTGTCGTAATGAAATACCCCTCCATACCCCGATATCAGAGGGTTTCTTTCTCCGATCCGGGAATTATTCTGGATTATTGTAGATAGGTTTATTATTGCCGATAGTAGTTTTTTTGCTGGAAGAGTGTGATTAGTGATTTGGGGTATATTCTCGCTTAGGTGTTGAGTCTTCTTAGGATGAATAGTAACCAAATTCGATTCTCTTGTTGTGTTGATTGGTTGGAAGATGGATTTATCATATATTTTGTTTTCGAGCTTAAGTCAATGGATTTTCTGGGGAAATTTGGTCATCCATTCAAGTACTTATTGATTCATAGTGAAGCTCACCAGTAGGTGTACGGACTGATGGGACACTACAAAAATTGACTTGTGAATGTATCAAATCATATATCTTAAAAAGTATTCCGATTATTTATTAGAAATAAAACAATCAAAAAGTAAATTCTAATATCAAACAATTAGAGAATGAAAATTTCGAAAGTTGAGAAGTGTCTTGTCAATCCATGCACCTACCAGTGGCTCATTTCATATCTCCATACAATTCCTGTCAGCCAATGCATACAGGCTCAGACTGTTGATAATGATTAATCATATTTGCGTAATTGTATTCCAAAATTGTAAGTTGCATTGAATCAGCTCTACAGAATCATATGAATTTGAATGGCTATGAAGTCAAATATTGACATAACCACTTATCTTTTGCCAACAATATCCCTAGAACGCCAAACCTGTGACATAGCTTTCCCTGACTTAGTAACATCAAAACAAGGCTGATGAATCACCAGAAAGCTATCATTGTTGTTATCATAAATCTGAAAGATATTATTGCTTGTTTGTTCCCCCGAGAGCACCCGTGCAGTATCATCTTTTTGTTTTCAAAACAATAACTTCCTACCTTCACTCAATTTAAGATTTCAAAAAGAAAACGCGCAGCCCACGTCAAGGCTCTCGTCACTATTATCTCACTCGCTTCAGTCGCGTCCGCAATTCGTGAACGCGAATCGCGTCCTCCCGCACTATATTACCATTCAAGTTCAAGATTTCTCTACCATACGATCCAAGTCATGAAAACGGGCTACTAAGTGCTATCCTCAAGATCAACTCTCCATCATTCCCAATAAATACACTGAAAGAGATCCCGCTCGAGCAACGCAACCCACAAGACTACGCAGACTCAATGCAGAATCCTGTAAAATGCTGTTTATTGCAGCACAAACACGTATTAATGATCCCCGTTACAAAGGTTCAAAACTCGCATCTATCTACTTGTAAACATGTTTCTTATTCACATTTTACCTTCTCAAATTCTTCGTTGAGATATTCATCATTCCAAGATCTTGTGCAAACCACGCACATGATATGAGGATAACCATATAGATCCTCCCCAAAAGCTGGGCAGTAGATTGTATTCTACACGCGCTCCTGAATTCTCGAAGTTCTTGGTAGCGCAACGAACGAACTCATCGGAAACATCAAGAGTATGGCCAAAAATGTCAATAGTTCCGGTTGTAGACTGTCCAGAATCATCTGTCAATCTCAAGTTACCTAAGCTTGATTAATCGCTCAAGGTATACAAATCCCTGGGGACTGTTGGATGGTTTGATATGGGACGTGAAACGCCCAAACACAACTGCCAAAAACAGGCGGATGTCGAAAAATGTCACATCAATTCTCGATTGTCCTAGCGATCTCGACTCATAGGATCACGGATACCATCATGTGTCACAAAGTATGAATGAAGGAATCCCCTAATTACTGAAAGTAATACCCTCATTTAATTTGTTTCTGTGGCCAGGGATCAAGTGTAATCTGGGCCTGCTTACGCGGAGGTCATGCATTGGAGTAAGTTCTTGGATCTTGAGCCTCAGTGATCTTTCGGTGAAATTCGTAAAATGGGAATGGCGGTATACCAAGATGTCCCTCCACCAACGCATATCATCTTGCTCCAAATTGGGAGGATTCGGAGATAATTGGGTCTATCATGAGACTTCTAGGTGAGCTGCTGACGGAGAACTGCATTGAGTCAACATCAGATAAAACAGAAGTAGGGACAGCAAGTTGATGAGGTAGAGAGTACGGCTCGGGCCCAGAAATGGAATCTAAGTTTTAATAGCTATGCTAACCCTTACCTCAGAACTGTTAGAGTGAAAAGAGAAAACACAAGTTGCAAGCATCTGAATCTTTGGAGTAGGGCATTCGTCGGTAGGTTCGATATCCAGCGGACTTTACCTAACGTTGAATCTCAACTCATGGCAAGGGAAAGTACCTTGAACTGTCCAGAGAGGATTGTACAGAGGCCGTAATTGAGTTCCAGTGTAAAATAGAGGAGAAGAAAATGAATCATGTCAAGTGGCTTCCTTCAATAGATCACTTTGAAGTTTACGTGTCCCTTCAGAAGTTTACTCTTGTTACAAAGGTATAAATTCATTCATTTGATTGGATGAATCCAGGTGCTCCTGAGAACCAAGCATTAGCTATTGGCAAAGCTACATTTGATTGGTTCCTGAAGACCTAGCCCTAACTATCTTTCTCTTCTGCTCAAACGTAGTAATAGTCAACTAAATTAACTAGATTAACGTCACGTCGATCCTACGAGAATTTTTTATTTTATCGAAAACTTCACAACTTCTCTGATCATACATTCAGTCACTTCATACAAATTTCTAGGAACCTATCGACAAAATGGATATCTGGGAGTTTGTCTACCTCACAATGAAGGAGGTCGGTCTTGCCGGAAGCATGCTTCGTGCTCCAAATTACAGGGGAGTTCGAATTTATCATACCAGAAGATGTAAGTTACCTTCCCTTTACAGTATGCATATGTTATTTCATCAGCAGCTAACATGATTATCACACAGGCAACCGCTATTATGCGCTCTTTCCCGATGGTAGTCAATTATATTCCAGCACTGGTGGAATCGGAGAAACCGAATTCAAGATCCCTCCCAGCGATCAGTTGACACCAGAACGTCAAAAGCGCATCCTTGAGCAAATAGCACAGCGAGTTCGAAGAGAAAATGCATCGGTTCAGCGACTACAAAGGTACATCCGAAGAGACGAGCGACAGAATGCCGAATCGTGGGCCAAACATTTCGCTGACGCTGCTACTCCTGTCGATTAAAAGCTTAGACGACGCCTCCTCGTGAGATGTCAGGGAGCGGCATTCGTCGTAATCAGCGATCAATACCATGCCGCTTCGACGAAATCAATCGCGTTGCCAGGAACGAAAACCGCACTCCAAGAATAAACTGCGGACCAAATCGTCTATGATAGCTGGTACATGAATGATCAGGGCTTCATCCCTCCAAGATGAGCCTGAAGGACCAACCATCTAAGAAGATGTAACAAGCGCGGATGAAGGAGTATTTCTAAGCGATTCGAATTTACAAAGAGGAGATCTATGATCGGAAGTTAGCATTTTCTATGAAAGCATCTACTATCATCTCTACAGGAACTATAAGAATGACATTTCGCTTAAAGAAGATTTGGACGATTGGGATGGCTACATGATAATGATTGCGTTTCGGCACGAACTCGAGATGATGATGTTAGGAATGAATTTCAAGGGTGGTCTTTCATGATATCAATGGCGCAAATTGAATACCTTATGTATCTGTTTCGATGAATGGCCGATGTATTATCTTGGAAAAGGATGGTGAGATAGTGTCGGAACAGTTGGGATTTAGAACGGAGACAAGTATAGCGAATACATTAAATTGAACTCCTCGGATGAAATTGAATCCATTTTACGCTTTAACATAGGTATTCACAATTGCCAGTATCATCTTTGATGCAGGATCCATTCCTAGTTGAATTTTATTTCCCGAATCGACAAACAGCTTCACAATCAGTGACAGTCATCCTGCATACCAACCTCCTTTTCTGCCGTGGTATTTCTCTCAAAATTTCAATGTATCACTATCGTCTTATTGTATTCTTTGCACAGTTCCATGTGTACTATCGTCCCACAGAATCCTGAGAGATGGATTATGTGCTGTCCTCATGCCTATACTTTCCTCCCGAAGCTCTTGCTTGATAAATGGATTACCTCAAAATCTCATCTGAATCAGTTCTCATTCTCTGTAATTCTTCAGCTGCGGTTCCATTGAAACAACTTCTTCATCATCGCTTTTCAAATAATCCATCGACTTATCCAATTTTTTATTGTAAATCACAGCTCTATCAAGTACTATACGTCGCGATCCCGAAGGGCCGAAGAGGGGAGGATAGTGCACAGATGTCCATACTCTGTAGTGACCATGGCATGGGACAATCGACTTACAACCCAAGTTTTGGTCATCGAATTGAGAAGCATTATGAATGAGATAGTTATGGCGGACAGACACATACGTAATCACACTGTCGAGGAGTTTACTCTGGTTAGAAGTTAGTATGATGTGAAGCTTGTACAACGTTTGGATCATTAACTGGAAAGACTCATGATCACTGCCTTAAGCGAGATGAGTGACTTGTCTTTTTCTGCCGGATTCACCAGCTAAGCAGTACAGATGAAATGTGTAAACAAAAGATATGATTACACAATCTGCCCTCTGATACTGCAAGCATTATTTCTATGGTGGTAAGATTCAATACAGCTTTCTTCCTGTCCGAGACTTAAGCTCACCTACTTTTGAATCTTCTAATTATGGGATAAACTTTTGTTCTGATCGTCGTGCCTTCCTAGTACCATGGCCATAAGCCAAAGGTGGAGTGAAAAATTGTCTTATAATAGGCGCTGGAATTTTTCCAACTTTCTGATGCTAGAATGCTCACTTGTGAGCAACGACCATGCCATTAATATCTAGATTCAAAAAGGTGATAGGCCGCCACCAGAACATTGAGATCGTACAAACCCCGAGATATCTACAGGCCCAGACAAGCACCTTCCTAGTTTTTGGGTTGCTATGCAACGACAGCAGCAAGGTAAGTGCGATACCATGAGGCTAGATGGACTCGCTTCAGCATCTTCGAAAGCTGATTGTTTGTCTCAACCATACACTCACAAATATTGCATCAAATATTTTTCGTTCAAGATATTTTTAAGACGCATTCTTAGAAGTACAGTAATCCATTCCTGTCAAAGCTTTTGATATTGTGTCAGCACTCAACCCAAACTTCAACAAGTATGGCAAGCAGCCTATTGACCCCTGTCCAGCACATCTCACCTCCAAAGCGGCGCCAGCCAACCAAATTAAAGGCTGATCTCGAGTGTATTTTCTCAACCTTCGAACTGGAAGAGCACTCGAATTGTTATTGCAGACATACTTTTGGGAGTTCGTCATCCTTCCTTCTTCTACATTTTTGAGTTAAAACCTGACGATTCATCAGCGGGGCACCACTATACTCAATACAACGACGGCGGAGAGTTGTACATTGATGGCGATGGGTTCGGTATCTATGCTGACATAACGGGGAATCGTTCCCTTTCAATTCGCACCCAAAAGGAGCAGGCATCAATCAGGCAGAGAATTCGACAGGAAATAAGGGACGCCTCGGAGCTCGAATGGTTGAAGTACAAAGTTCGAGACTTCTTCGCCGAACGAGCAGTAAGAGAACTCGGAATACTCACGCTCGGAAAGCGTTCCGCGCAATTTTCAATGAATTGAAAGCAAAAGAAGAGGCGTGAGGAAGTGTCATACTTCTTTTATCACTCAAAGAACTCTTATTACTGAACAGAATACGCCCGGAAGCCTTCTGTACCTCATATTCAATCTAACCAGACGAAAGTTTAGGTTACGAGGATATAGTTAATGCAGGTATAAGCGGTTGGGATAGATAGTGGAGAAACTAGAAGACAATGATTTGTGTCCAAGCTAAGGACAGACAACTAGATCGATGTTTTGGCTCAGCGAAGTATTATCTTGGTATTCTACCCTAGCGGCAGCTTCTGATAATATCACTGATAACAAAGCTCATTGATTCTGCCCATGACCTTTTGACTAGCTGTTCACTCAAGAGTGTTGATGTGTTACGTGTATGCCGATGTTGACTTCATTTATTCCATTATCTTCATTGAACGGTGCACGTGAAATATACGGTAAACCATCATCGAAAGGGGAATCTTAGCGGCAACAACGGTGAGCATATAAAGAATCTCCAGGATATAAAAGACTTTGTAGATAGTAGTGATGGAAGTTACGCTAAGACTTTCATATGTTTTCCAAACCTGAGCTTGATACCTATGAACTAGTCAGCGTGCATGCAAAATATCAATTATGCATTGTCCACAATTGTGGTTTGAAGTAGACTCACTGTTGCAAGAATCATAAGCCCATCATCGATAACATATAGTACCTTTCTACGAGCCTTGATATATCTCGAGATTGCAGTACAAACATTAGCCAGCCAATATACCGCACTACATGCTGCTATATTGGTAGCTTGAGCATTTTCCAGTGGGGGGTGTAAGGATGCATTCATTGTTTTAATTAAAAAATAATATAGTGAAAGTTAATGCTATCTGGGAGGATGTCGAGGGCAGATGAGAGTTTTGAGAAGCGAAAAAGTAATTCAAGTAGCCATAAAGCATACGAAGCGCAACGAATGTGCCTTACTCAGAGAGTATAGGCTTCTTGTAAATTAATACGCTTCGCTGATCTGATCTTGCCTTGCCCATGATATGAGAGGCTGAGTATGCAAGTTGGGTAGCACTGCAGTTCTACATAGCCGGATTCAAAGCCGGCCCCCACGAATAGTCGACTACGACTATTGGATGGGCGAAAGATTCCTAGTGAACTCTTCGTCCACGAGTTTGCAGAAAAAAAAAAGGTTTATGTATAATGAATTGCTTCTGACAAAGTGAATATGAAAGGGTTTCCCCCAATGCAAAAAAATCCTGCTCGGCTCTGTAAATAGTGGACAATTATGATGTGAATATATTGCAATAGTGCGGCTCCTCAAATCAAACTCTTTCAGAATGAAGCAAACTGACTTACACCTACATTTCCACTAGTCTTAAATGTTGAGCCAGTTTCTATGTTAAAATAATTGCTTGGTACCTTTCCCAATGATTTCCTGATGCTTGGAGTTGGAATTCTACCGTATCTATCTCAAACGATACGTTGTGGTGTAGTGATGATCTACAGCCGACAGGCATAGCCATCACTATCTTGAAGCGGGAGACCTTTGATTTGCCAAATCTGTGTTTTTGCTTTCTTTCAGCCTGTTCACGATTGATCAATTGAATATCTGGGTTGGCTGAGGAGAGAATGTCGACTCGCACAGTGTCCTCAAGATTGCAGGCAAGTTTGGGGACCATACTTCCAATATTTCATGAGTACTCATGACAACGGCCATGAGGAAATTTGCATGGAACAAAAAAGTATAGTATACAGGGCAACTTTCCTGAATACTGTGACGCTGCAAATGGGGTATCAATATTAAAACCATCTTCAACATATTTCCATCACTTCCCACCGCGCGCCTCAGGGTTCTCTGTTTCTGTGTCCGGAAAAAATTCTGCGTCCGTTCCCGATTGATTGTCCCCCTCCATTTTCTTTTCCGTTGCTTCCTTTCCACTTCTTACGATAAAATACTTTCCGCCCCCGAATTCAACCTTTTCAGTCGCAGTCCCAGTCACATCCCACTCTTCTACACCTTGTGTCTCTATCGCAATCCCCGGCTGCCTTCTCGGTCTTTTGTTTCTTCCTTTATATTCCTCTTTCTTCAATGCTTCTTGGATTTCCTTAGTTTGCAATCCAATGGACTCATGCGCTTCTGCCTCCAACGTCTCATCCCTAATACTCCTTAGTGGCTCAATGCCCTCTGTATTGACCTTCTGAATATCCCTCAAAAAGTGCAATTGTAAATGTAGTGTATCTAGTAATTTCCTTTCTTCTTCTGGTGTTTTGGGAAGAGGAAGTGCGGAGAGTCGACATAAATGATGAAGTTGTTTGACGGTAATTTCTTCCGCAGGCTTCTCATTTGGAGATGGTAAAAGAGATCGAACGGACCAAGTGGGTTTTGATAAGAGCTCATCGATATTTGTCTTTCGGTGAGAAAGATCCACGTTTATTCGAGCATATACTCGGCGGACTGGGACTTGTTGATCTTCCGGCTTGGGGGTCAGAGGTGTTGTTATTTTACTTCCGTGAAGCTTTACACTCCGCGGCACAAAGCGACCCGTGCTACTTCCTGATTCGGGTGATGAGTTTCCACCTACTGCAGATGTCTCTCGAGGGGCTTCTGAAGTACTGTATGTTCGAGGAAGGGAAATTTGAGCGTATGTGTATCTTGTGGTAAAAAAGGAGTGCCGCAGCGATGCGCGACAACGCAAACATGTAGACCTCGACATTTTGCGATCAATTAGGTGATATCGTTGTGTTTCATGAAAAGCATCGATTGTTTACATTTTACATTGTAAAAAGTTCCCATGCGTTCCCCAGAAGTACGCTAGTGTGAATCACAGGCGGGGCAAGGCTATGTCAGAGCGCTAGGACTAGAAACAAACAACCCTTGCAAGAGTTGTCTTCAAAACCACGAACACATGTCAACTCTAACAACTCATTAATACGTACAACTCTTGATTAAACTCATTCATTGATAATTTTTGCACGAGACATATATTGCACAAAAGAATATCACACAGAAAATCGCAATCATGGCACAAGATCCTCGCACTCTAATGCAAAAGGTACCAACCCCACCATCTGCTACTCGATAAGCTTCATATTGACCATTTCCCAAGGCAGAAAAAGCAGTTGCAGGTGCTTCTGGTGGCTTCAGTCTTTTCGGTGGACGACAAGAGAAGTGGGAAAATGCTGCTGAATTATATAACCAAGCTGCGAATGCGTTCCGCATGCAAAAGCAAAGTAATACTTTCCCAAGTCTTTGCACCTTTAGATTTATACTGATACCCGTTTTACAGACAAGGAAGCCGGACAAGCCTTCGAGCGCGCTGCCGATATCCAAACCAACAAATTGAACGAACCGGATGATGCTGCCAATACGCTCACAGAAGCCTTCAAGGTATACAAAAAGGGAGAACCACTAGATGCGGCTCGATGCTTAGACGTTGCGATCAATCATTACACATCGAAAGGAAACTTCAGGAGAGCTGCCACACATAAGCAGAATTTGGCAGAAGTATATGAGATGGAGATTGGGGATATGAAGAAGGCGATTGAAAGTTATGAATTAGCCGCCAGTTGGTTCGAGGCCGATAATGCTGAGGCGTGAGTTTTGACCTCTATTTCTGACACCTATGTTTTGGTGATAGAGATGAACATATACTGATATATTGACAGACTGGCCAATAAACTTTATCTCAAGGTCGCCGATATTGCCGCTCTCGATGGCGACTATTACAAAGCCATCGAACATTTCGAGAAAGTAGCCGCATCATCCGTCTCGAACAATCTCATGAAATGGTCGGTAAAGGATTATTTCCTCAAGGCCGGTCTGTGTCATCTAGCTGTCGGCGATACAGTGGCCACCGGGCGAGCTTTCGAAAAGTACAGAGACATGGATCCAACATTCGCAAGCACAAGGGAACACCAATTATTAATCGACCTTGCCGAGGCCGTTGATGCAGGCGACCAAGAACAATTCGCCGACAAATTATTCCAGTATGATCAAATGAGCAAGTTGGACAAGTGGAAGACAACAATTTTGTTGAAAATCAAGGGTGCGATTGAGGAGAAGGGTGATGATTTCTCATGATCAATACTCTGTTCAATTAGAGTTCGCTCTTGCAGTTTGGCGTTTGGGTTTTGGGTGATATCTTTTGAGTTAGCCGCGGAGAAATATATTGTCATGGTCTTAAGCTTTGGCTAAACAAATATCAGTACGAAAATGATTAGTCTGTATACAATTGTTCGAATCCAATTTTTAGGTCAGTGCTTGAGATACGACATGTTTTTGACTGAAGTCATGTTTTCTGGTGAACTATTTCTATAGTATATCCAGGTTGATGGAATGAGATATGATATAGATGATGAAGAGTGAAGGAAAGGGGGAGGAATAAGATTTGCCAACAGTAGATACAGTGGAGTGAAGTCAAATGTTGATCAAGGAATTGATGAAATGATGATTCATGCATAAACAATAAAACATTCAAAACGCCAATCATAAAAATGAAAATAAATATACGTTCCAAACATCATCCATCATATATCTAATCCCTCGAATCTATCTTCGATGAACCAAACAGTATAAAAACATCTCCAGCTCAATTGACATGCAACTTCTCCACATCCTCCGGCAACTTCAACTCCTCATTTTTCCTACTCACCTCACTCTCCAATTTCCTCGCCTCATCCTCTAAATCCGCATCTCCTCCCTCATCCCCCTTCCTCTCCATCTCCATCTTCTCCCTCTCATCCAACAACTCCAACGTCTCCTCCTCCTTCGCCACCTCTTCCACATCAATATCCTCCCATCCAATCTTTTCCAAAATGGTCCCGACAAGATACTGATACCTGAGATGTCCACTAACCATCTCACTCACATCTACATTTTCCACCCCTTTCACATCTTGCGCGGGTTGCAGACCCGCAACGCCGAATTGGATGCTACTGGTGCGGTAGAGAAAAGCGAGGATGTAGTCGTTTTCGGAATAGACGTTGACGAGACGTCCGGAGACGACGCTGCGCATTGCGCGCCAGGCGGCGGCGTCGGAGGGAGTGGGGGCGCCGATTAGGACGGCGGATCTTTGAAGCATTAGGAGATATTTTATTGAGTGGGGGGGGGGGGGGGCGTGAGTGAGATGTATAGGATTTAGGGGGGAACTTACTCGACTAAACCGAACGCTCGACGTTCAGCTAGACTCATCAAACATGAATAGATTAATCTAGCTCCCAAACTATAACCAATGAGAGTAACTGGTCGTTCTCCCTGCGCCTTATTAATAAGTGCATCAGCAAGAACCAAGCCCGCTTTATCCGCGCGATTTTTCGCGACGGAGAATGGATTGTCGACGACTTTAGAGATTTTTAATAGACCAAGGGGCCACAGAGCGGTCATCAGACTCGCGAAGATGGTGCGAGCGATGATTTCTTTCTTGGCGAGAGACCAGGCTGCACTTTTGACTACCGATTCTAGGGATGTTCCGAGTTTGGATAGGGCTTCGAGTTCGTATCGGAGAGCGAATACTTCGCTTTGATGGCCGAGGACACGCCATGGAGTGATAACATCTTCTTTCTGGGTCAACCATCCGCTAACCCCTATTGTGACTCTCAACCTTCGGTCTTTTGCTGCCATTTCCTTGACAGATTTCTGATATGGTGATCCCCTCAGCGGCAGAAATGCAAAATCCGAAACCTCCTTCGCGTACGAATCCATCATTTTTCCCGTCATACTCGCACCATAAGCACCAAAAAGACTTCCAACAATAACTCCACTTTCCGCCAGCGCTCCCAGCAAGCCTGCAGCGGTCGTTGCACCAAGACCGAGCCCTCCCATTACAGTGCCCAGAGCGCCTGCAACTAGTGGAGCGGCAAGACCACCTGTGACTCCGACTATCGCGGCGCCTGCAACACCGGCAAGTCCGACTTTCCATCTTCGAGATACTTTGTTCTCTTCGCTTCTCTTTTGGGTTTCTTCATTGCCGGACATTTTCTTGGCGGCTTCTAGGAGTCCCTGTGCGACTTTCACTTCTGTCTCCGCCAAAGTGTGAAGGGGAAGATGGAGAGATGATGCTATATGCAGTAAGAGAATACGGGAATGCGCCGTGTAGTGCTCTAATGAAAGGAGCAGCAATAGCATGGCGTGTAGGAGCATTACTCTTTTCTCCTCTTGTAACGAATAAAGAGCAGTAGACGTCGGTGGATAAAGCTCTACTAAAGCCGCATCTGCTTCCACAACATTGGTAGTTTGTTCTAAGAGAGTTAATCATCAATTTACCTCAATCCAGGTAGAAGCTTGAAGCAATCATTAGAGGTACATACTAACAACCTTTGTTTTTGATTCCGCATCAGGGGTAGCATTTGCGCTGGCCTTTTTCTTCTGCTCTTCGGTAACTTCTTTGGGGTTATTAACAACCGAACCAATCCTCGATATCACATTTTCCTGCCATTCCTGGAAAAACTTCAGAGCATCACGCTTCAGCTCCAGCATTTTAGGAGCCGATAATTCCTTTTCTCTCTTCTCTCTCAGATTCCGAGCTTTTTCCTCTTCTTCAGATTCTTCTTTCGATTGACTATCATCAGTATTAGGATTCTTATCTCCAATTTCCAAAGCTTTGCTTGAAGTTTCTCCTGTGGTAATCGAGGCGTCAAAAGTATTACTGATTTGCTTTTGCATGACTTCTGTAATATTGGCAACAAGAAGTGTTAGATCAACACGTTCCTCTGTTTCCAACATTGTACTAAGATCATGTTCATGATCTTTGGAAGACTCTGATTTCGATGACCAGGGAGCCATGATTATTGATTAGGTTTGCAAATATTAAGGGGAAAGTGTCGTCGCATTTGTTTACCACTTGGTCGTTGAGCATCTAGGGTTGTCGATTGACGCCGATGACATAATTTCTTATCTTATCGCAAACGCGACTACTGAATGACGTAGTAATTTTCGCAACTGCGTAGCAATATAAATCTGATTCAACTAGATATTTATAAATTCAGATTCCAAAATGTCGGGATATCATTATTTGCACAACTATTGTAGCTTTAGAACCAGTAGGAGTGCTCCAGGCTCTTGTCGTGAACATTTGATATGTATTTCATTTCTCTCTCTCTCTTCAATCGACAATGCTTGGTTTTAAGACTGCATGATGGTGCCTATTTAGAAACCTCGCTGCAAAAACCTCCCAGAACACTCGGCTTTATCATAGAGATTAGCTAATGAAGCATTGGAACTCTGATGAATTGATCCTTTAAATCTCGACCTTGTCCTCGATAATCTTATCCATCATCATACTCAATGGCCCTTTCTTAACCATCAAACTAAGTACTTCATAGAGCGCATCTGCCGCTGCCATGGTAGTGTGTTCCGCATTCGTATCATACGCTGGGGCTACTTCGACAATATCTGCAGCAATCAAGTTGATACCCTCCAATCCTCTTAAGATGGTTCTCAGTTCTCTAGTAGACCATCCTCCTGTTTCCGGAGTTCCTGTTGCAGGAGCAACTTTTAGGAGATTAGCATTTGGGCTTATAGGACAAGGGCCAATGATTGATAGGCTGACTTACAGGCAGGGTCAAGGGTATCGATATCAATAGATAGGTAAACAGGTCTTTCAAGTCCGACACGCTCTCGGATTTTCTTGATGATACCATCCATACCAATCGTGTCGATTTCTCTCGCTTCAACAATTTCAAAACCGCAGTACCCATCATTCTCATAGTCGCTGGGACCACTCAGAGTAGTTCTGATACCAGCATGGATATTTGTATCATTTGCAAGCAAACCCTCTTGTGCAGCATGGTAGAAGTAAGTACCATGATTGATGGAAGCAACTTTCGATGGACTTCCACCAAATACCTTTGGTTTCCAGGTATCAAGATGGGAATCAAAATGGATGACGGAAACGGGACCATATGCCCGGTTGATGGAGCGGAGGAGAGGGAGAGTAATTGTATGATCTCCACCTAAGGTGATAACTCTTGGGAGAGTTTTGCCATTTTTGGCAGGTCCAAGTTTCTTGGCATCGGTTGCGGGGGCACGCGAGAGAATAGAGTTATGGCCTTCTTCAATTTGATGAAGGGCCCACGTATTATCGTAGCTAAGATGAAGTCTGTTTTAACGACATAATTATAGTAATTGGTGAATAGGCAGACATACGATGTGACAGGAATATCTCCACAGTCAATTACTGTTGCCCAACTATTGAAAGGGTTGGTGGCTAGAGGAACATTGTATCCTCCACTGGGTAAAACGAACATGTGAGTCTACGCATATCTAGAGACGTATACTAGCAAACATCTCAAAGGTATACGTACTAAAGATTCAAACGTCTTGAGCCTTGTCTAATCCCCGATGGACCGAATCGAGCTCCCGGTCGATAGGAAGTTCCGGTGTCAAATGGAGCTCCTGCAAGCAAATCAGTATGCATACGATTCCTCGAGACATTGAAACCTTGCAAGGAGTCAAGACGTACCAATAAACGCAATGTCATATTTCACATCATCTGTTGCTAAGCATGGAGAATATGGCAATCTACCAAAGGTTGAGATGCCCGAAAACACCGAATCGGCCTGATTTTTATTAGCTAGCTCTCAGAGATTGCCTCCCGTGGAACATACTTGAGTTCCTCCATCTCCCGGTAAAGTGTTATACCAAAGTGATTTGTGTGGTCCAGCAATTGGAAGTTGATTTTCATGGTCGCCATGCGCCAGTGCACTTGCACATAATGCAGCAACAGTGAGGATGTTAGTCAACATTATGAGTGATAAAAGTTCACAATTGATAAGAATGAGAAGAAAATAGGAAATTCAGAGGCTTCCATGAGTTTTTATAGACATTTTGCGCTGGCGAAAACTCCAATGCCTTGTAGATCAACACATCAATTATCATAGACCAATTGGCCTGATGCCTATGTATGGCCTTATCCCGTCAAGGGTCGGTAGATAAATGCTAATCAATCGCATAATGGTTATCTTGCCGGCAACATACATGATAGCAATCATGAATAATGAAAATCAGTGCTGATGGATAATGCTTTCATATTCTCGTTAGGTAAACCGGCGCCAGCGGCCAGCCAGAGCAAATGATGGCTGGATGAAGAGCATGTGGAATCTAGAAGATGGTTCCCATGGAAATCTGCATGATGCAAAGATAAACGATTTTGGTGTAACTGTGATAGGAAGTCCATCGTAGATTGTGATGCGGTGAATAACAGAATGAAGTCTTGATTAATTGGATAGAGCTCCTTCGATGTGGAAAGAATTTGTATAGATCATGAAGATCACAACGTTCGGTTTCAAGGTACCTAGGTAGACAAAACCGTGTTATCGGATTATTGTAGTGAGGTAATAGATAGAGAATGATAAGAAAGTTGGAGCTTTATCACAAGGAGGGGTAAGAAATCCCCAGAAAGCGGCATTTGGGTTTGGGGTAGAGGGCCTGAGGCACCAAGGTATGCGCCTGCATTTCCTTGAAATATCGACAGGAATTGCATATGTGCTCTCTGTGATATATTTTCACGTTCTGTTGAGGAAACAAATCGATGAACAAACTTACATTACGTAATCAATCGTTTAAACAATTGATAGAATATATAGCAAAAGATTCTGAAAGGAGTACCGGAGTGCAAAAACAAGGCGAGCAGTCGTCAACCACTAGGTGGACGATTAATAATACTACAAGGAGAGAAGCCTTCATATCATGATAATTGGACTGGTAAATGATACGATGCAAGATCATATAAGTTATTAAAAGCAGCATCAAGTTATTAAGTAATCCAAGTGACGTACGCTGTACTTCTGCTAATGATACACGTGGTGCACTCGGTACGCGAGATTCTGCGGCTGACTCCGTTTCTGGGCCGGTCCTTTTGGCTCAAGTCAATGGGAAGCGAACCATGTTTGAGCTTTTTCTGCACCTCAACGGCGCTGTCTGTCTGATTGTCTGATTGTCTGTATGTCCGTCTGTCCAGCTGGACAATGAGAACCTTTGACCCAAATAGATACGTGGGCAACCATTACTTAATTTTTGCCCTTCTCTTTTTCATGATTGAAATCGTGTAGAGCAATTTAATGAAACATTCTTGTAAACGGAGATGAAGATATAATCGACGATTTTAGTTGAAATCTTGGTGAGCTTATCTACCCAGGTAGGTAGTAGACAGATCGATCATCGTTCATCTGAAGGGGGAGGAATTTTATACTTCCTTGGAAGCGGGCTAGAAGGCCAACGGATCAATTACAAGCGAGGGGTAAAAGTATGTTAGTCCTACCCAAGTATATATAGCCCAAGCAAAGAAGGTTCAACATTAATAAAAGGCAAAACTTTCATACCAGCCATCTTTTTTCCTTTTCCTTTTGCTCCTTATCCTTCTCCCGAATAGATTTGAGCGTGAAGCTTTCCGTAGGGAGACATGATGCAATGCGTAAGGAAGTCAGAAAAAGAGCTTCGTAAAAAAAATCTTGTTTAGCCATTAAATTCCCTTCCTATCACATAAACTGAATTCTTTGCATCAATATGCATGATGGATCTTTATTCGTCAATCTAGAATTGGTGGTCGGTTGCATATGAATGCACGAGGGTATATCGTCCTTCTTCGTCCTTTGGAAAAAATAAATAATGCTTGTTTTCGTATGGCATCTTGATACTTTGATTCGTTGATTGAAAAGAATGACGGCTTGCAATGATTCATAAAGGAAGTATCGCCATATTATATTGTATGGGGATAACCTGGAAGAGAAGAAGAAAAAAGGCCAAGTTGTTGTACAGACCTGCTTATACCCAACGCTTGATGTACACCTGTACTCTGTACTTACTAGATGTAGTCTGTATGTAGTGAAGTGAATCACTTCTGCCGTTGGCTTTGACAGTTGGAGATACACAATTACGGTGCAGGCAGGATTCAGACCTCACTCTCACTCAGTGCAGCACGCACGTACTAGAATCCCCCACCCTGCCAACCAATTGACGCGCTGAAGGACCTCAAGTAGCTACCCAAAACTTTATCACGATTCAGTAATTCACGAGGATTCGCGACATCCTGCGTATCTGACATACCGGGTACTCATACATGCCAGGTAGTACTCTGGATACTTACACTCTCACACACACACACACACACACACACACACAAACACACATCTACAGCAATAAACACTGCGACGTAAGAAATCTTGGGAACATGATAAAGTTGACGAATAATATCTCGCTCCTTCACTTCTCCACTTCTCCATTCATCCATCTAGAATCGGACAACGTTGACTGTTTCGATTTCTGCTTCTTTTCCTCTTCTTGTTAGGCACCTCGCATTGCCATCTGTCATTGATTCAATTCGAACGTTTACTTTTCTGCACCTAAACACACACGCAGCTATCCACTCCGCTCCACTCCATCCATTCCTTTTGCCTTTCTCGATATTATACTGTTACCCTCGAATCCATTACATATTCACTTCTATCAGTCCCAAATGCACTCAACATCTCAGAGTGTATGATTGTTTCAATTGGATTGGAGAATTGAAAGCTTGCCTTCCCATCAGAGAGGGCTTCGTGGAGCATAATCTGACCCATAATCCGCAACTTACAACCTGCAATCTGTACTGGATTCGAATCTTGGTCCCAAGTGTATCACCAATATCCAATAAAATCTACACATCTTTTGATCCTCTTCAGTCGAGACTGGATCGACACGATTTTACGAATTTCCTTTTTCTCCATTCAATCATCAATTTCTCGCGTTTTTAATCAAGTGTACCACAATAATAATTCACCTCCATCACCCACCATTACCACCACTACCACCACTACCACCACTACCACCACTACCACCACTACCACCATTCACATCTCTCACCACCCAGCCTAATTTATGCCATCTGCCAACTTGCGATACTGCACGAAGCCGTTACCACAAGGACTACCTTTATGCAACTTACCGAACCTTCTCGCTATGAGAACAATAATCTGTTGAAATAAGAATAAACTCGAAAACTAACACAAGCTTTTCCCGGAATTATTTTCTTTTCAAGAGGCCCCATTTTTATTCAACTTTATGCTCATCACACAGACGACGAACTGGCTCAGGATGCCGTCCCGGGAGCTGGGAAGCTCTTCTGAAGCTCCAAACAGCGCTCAAAGTGTTGGAACAACTTTATTGAAAAGGCATAAAATCCTACCTCATCCAAGAGAAGTCCGTCCTTCCGATTTGTCGTCTCAATCACAAACATTCAAAGCTCGCGATAGAAGTGCAGAAGCAGAATCAACGCCGTCACAAAATTCCGAGAATACAAATCCGCGTATGTTGAAGCATACTTCGAAAAGGATTGGCGCTCCCCTACTTCCGCCAACTCCACCAGCGCATTCGCGACAATCATCTGGCACTAGCAGTATTCTTGTTATACCTGCGCCAAATTCCGAGGTCCAGTCTGTGAAAGAATCTAGTGTAGAATCAAAACCCACCACGCCAACAATTCAAAAAAGTCCACCCACTCCCGATGTCACACCTCCACGCGCAATGCCACCATTGGCATTCCGTCCAGCATTAGCAAACTCGCGGTATCCCTCTTCGCGAACAGATTCCTTCAGAACAGCGCGGGAAATTTTATATTCGTCAGACGAGGACGAAACATCCACAGTTCGACCACGAATCCCCTCTGCAAACCCATCAGAGGCAGCAGTATTACAAATTCCACGTAAAGAAATTGGGCTGGGCTTGGGTTTAGAATCCGACAACGAGGGTTCTGCGACACCAAAGGCAAAGGAACTATCATTATTAGAGCAAGAATTTAGCGGTTTTGATGGAGAATGGGCTACCTCTCAAGGAGAAATAAGCGAAGTGGAACGGGAATGGGATGATAATCTCATGAGGAATGTAGTAGTTAGGAAACGCAGAGAGAGGAATGCGAGCTTTGACGAAGGAGGTGCGAACGACGAAGTAGGGGAAGATCATTTGATTTCACCGACAGAAGCCACGAAGATTGTTCGAAGATTACCTTTACAAGAGGACTTTGAAAGCCGCCGGCTGGAGGAAGATAAGGTGGAGCCTACGTCAAAAGGTGGCACATGGCCTAGAGTACGGAAAGACACCACAGAATCTCCCGCATTATCAGATACAAGAAGATTTTCTACTATGTCTGGTCGCTCAACCACATCTACAGTCGTTGAAGCGTTTGTCGTTGATGTGCCGCCCTCCCGAATGAGAACCCTCCGCCATACCAAAAAGCAGATTGGGTTGAGGGATTTTAGTTCAACTGAATCAACGATAAGCTCCGCAACACCATCTGAGAAATCGAGTGAACGACATCATCGTCTATTGCACAAAGCCGATCGAATACCTGAACGACACAATGGAAGTTCGGCATCGAATGCTACCCCTAGCATCGCTTCGAGTCACAAATCGCGCAGAAAGATCATACGTGAGGGTGGAGTACCTGTTGTGGTCATTCCAGATCGCATGTCTTCGGCAAAGTCCTCTAAACCTCCATCTCTACGTTCAACAAGTAGTCGACAAACTAAAAGGAGTAACTCCCTAAAGTCGGCTCCTTTGTCACAATCTTCGAGAACTAATGAGCCTGGATATTTTGATATCATGCGACCCACCAACAAACGTACAATGTCAGAATCTGCAGGATCGAGTAACTCTGTACATACTATCGATTATCCTCCAAGTATCCCAACTCGAAGATCTTCACTTTCCGCTCCAACGAGCCGAAACACTTCGAGAGCTGGTTCATTGACTGCGGAGAGTCTCAAAGCTCACAATATGCTTCAGGAAAAACATTCTTTAAAGATAGAAATAGTAGAAGCGTCAAAGCCTATTGTCTCGGAGAAAGAGATTGACCCACAACATGCTCGTTCAAGCATAGATCATAATCGATTAAGTATTGATCATCCTGACGAACGTCAATTTCATGCACGGCGATCTACACAAGCTACACCATTTTCACAAGCGTCATATGAAACAGCAGGTACTGCAGCAACAACCGCTGAAATTTCGCAGGCTATGGCAGTGTCGATGGTGCCACATCAAAACAAGTCATGGACAATGATACATGGGGAATCCGAGCCATCACCTCCCACTTTGAGACGATTGATTACACAGCCAACTGTTGAGGTGAATGGTGAAGCTAATAACGGTCCTACAACTCCTCAAAATCTACATACAATGGATGGAGTTATCTCACCGTTGCGAAATCCTCGGGCCCCGCCTGAACCACCGGCGATCAAATTTATTCCTCCAACTCCATCTGATATGTCGCCTGGAGCAGCAGAAGAACGTCAATTAGGGTTTGACTTCGATACTCGAATGGACGAAGATGATGATGATCGACCATCATCGTCAGACAAATTCAGACGTAACTTCTCTCTTCGTCGTGCTTTTACCAACCGACGTTATTCAGACGTTGTAATACCAGAAACTGGTTTGTTAAAACGCACATTTTCACTGAGTGGTCGTCGCAAAGATATTTCAACCCAAACCTCGAAACCAGAGGCGAATCCTTCTACACTTTATCCATCAGTTCTCGATCAGCCCGCTGATGATAGCAAGTTACACCCATTCTGGAGACCGGCAAATTTCTGGGACGATCTAGAAGAGAATGATAACGATTCAGGTGACGAGGAAGATTATTTCCCTGAATATCACAGTCCAGGGAATAGACGTGTGATATCAAAACGTGGCCTTGGTGGGAAATTAAAACGTACATTTGCGATCCTCCCGTTATCTTATGGTGATGAGGATTACATTCAAGCCCCGTTAGATCGAAAGACAATGCGAAGGTCTCCTAGTGGCAATGCTTTAAGAGTTGTAAAGCAAAGAAGCAATAACACATTAAGACGAGAGGCAGACCAGAGAGTTCTTCGTGAAGCCAAGCCTGGAGAGTTCGGTCATGGCTTCAAAGAGGGGAATGGTGGTCGCATTCACACAATTCCTGGATTAGGTTTAAGGATTGAATATGTGGGTTTGAAAGGACTAGGGAAAAAACTCAGTGAAAGAAGAAGAGAACAGAGAAATGCAAAGTTGCGAGCCACTATCAGTGGGCCCCGGGGATTGAGAAACGGGGTTGATGAGGTCTTGGAATCAAGAAGCGCAGAGTCACACAATTTGATTTGAAAAGGCAGAGAAGTGAATGACGCAGTATGAGGATGGATATACCCGGTGGGATTAACGATTGAATGACTTGATAGAATTGGGCGAACGAAAATACCGGCGCATCTGGACAATTTCTTGGACAACGTGGGATTACCACCACATATGGATGAAAGCAACAAATTTACGACCAACACATGTATTATGAAGGAAAGATTTGATGATTTTTTTTGCCAGCTTTTACTTTTGCTTTTCTACATGTACTATTCTATTCTGTATCTGCTGTGTGTTCATTTTTCTTCGCGATGCGTTTCCTCTCCATGTTCCTTTTCAACGATGATGCATCAAGCAGGCTTGGATGTTTCGTCTGTTATCTCTTTCTTATGAGTTGATTGGCGATCGAATGGATAAAGTTATGGATGATGGATACTCTAGGACCACTTCGTTCTTTGGATGGCTGATGATAAAAGATTTACTCCATTGTTTTCAACTTGGTACTTTTCTAGTCAAGTTTTTCTATTTATGCTCAAGCTCATAGTCTGCTTTTGTTTTACTCCTATTTTAACGATGGAAGCATCTCTTGAATTCAGAAATCTGTTATCTTTCATGGTAGGTACAGCTATAAGTAAAAAATGAAGGTGGTGTCTTTACATATGCTGGCTGGAGGTAGGAGATATTGGTCGGGCGTGGTATCAAAATCTTTGATGGAGGGGTAAAACGAACGAGTTGTGGTTGGAAGAGGTTTGAATGAGCTACGTGATGAGAGATGCATGTGCAAATGTTATGACTCAAAATTAAAATCCTTAGATTATGAAATGGAATGAATACATAAAATAATATACAAAATTTATTGATCAAATTGAGGCTTGAAATGTGAATGTCACAAGATTTGAAGCGAAAATTCAACGACACTCATGCTAGTGAGAGCTAGCGGCTGCATTCCGCGAAATAGTTTCTCCACCTCTTTAAAAATTATCTCGCAAAAGCTCAGCTTAAGAAAATGAACAACATAAAAGTTTACACCACACATTCAAAGAAGCTTCACTGCACATACACAATCCTGTAATTCATTGTGCTGTTTCATTGGATGCATTATCAATGGTCAACTAATCGCAAATTTATATCTTGAGAAACGAAATAAACCTCTCGGGCCAGAATCAACGAATTGATCGGTGTATCGCATCATTGATTCTACATCGAGGCGCACCTTGCTGTCGCATAGGTTAATCTTTTGAAGAGCTGATTATACGAGAGGAGGAAAGAAAGAAGCACAATCAAAATGGTTCAAGGCGCACTCAAATCGACAAAGAGCGCATTGGCGGGCGGGAATCGATCGAATGGGGCGGGGAAAAAAGCGGCGTTGGGTCCGAAGAAGGGACAGAGAGTTATCAAGGCGAAGAAGGACGGGTTGAGGAGGAGTGAGGTTTTGAGGAAGGTTGGTTGTTTCTTTTGTTGTTTTCTTGGTTGGTGGGGAGAGAAGGAGGGAAGAGGGGAAGAGAAGATAGAGGGGGGAAAAGGAGAAATATGATGACGCACTTACATATGCATGGCTTTCCTAGTGGTCTCCTCGAAAGAGTTGAGACTTCTTTGACGAGTTTAAGTACCTGTCTGATTTCTACACTAATGATTGTTGCTTCAAAGATGCAACGATATTGGGAGGTGGAGAGAAAAAAGATCTCAAAAGATATCGGGAAAGAATCTCAGCTAACCAGTTTTCTCTTGATAGAAACATTCAGCAGGTCTCACAGCCATGACGGAAAAGACACTCGGTGCGAAAGCTGGTCATCTGGAGTTGTTGGGAGTAGGAAAGAAGAGTAAAGGGAAGGATGGGAAGAACGCTGGAGAGACCAAGGGGAAGGGAAATGCGGGTGCAACGATTCATGGGGGAGAGAAGGGAGGAACCAGGAAATTTGGTTAGAGAGTCGTGGTGCCGTATTGAGGAAAGGACAGAGGACGATGATGGGATTGAGAATGAACGAGGATTTTATTTAATTAATATTGGTATGGATTTTGATCGGCGCTTTTGGGGGGGTATTGGCGTATGAGGGGTAGCGATGGGCTAGGGTCATGAAACGTGGGATTGGAGATGTATTCAAATCATGAAGGTTTATACATACATGTTTATGCACGGATTGAAAGAGAGATCAGATATATCTCATGAATACACATATACATCGTAATGAAAGGCAGGCTTTACTTCTTCCCAGGAATATGTATAATGTGTCACTCAAAGCCTATCTACTTTGAAGAAATACATTCGCTTTTCTTTGCTGCATTATAGCAATACAACATGATAGCGCGTGGACGAAATGATTTGGAGGGGTCAATAATCAAGATTGCCACTACTAGATGAATATGGAGATGGAGATGGAGATGGAGTGGGGATGAAATAAAATGCAATGGCGTGCTGTAAATCCTAGATTGGTAAACCAATAGTTATGATGACTAGCTATTAAGTCTGTTGGAGAGAGGGTTTGCATTATGAAACGGATTGAAAGTTGGGATGTTGAGGCAGGAGGAGGATAACGAAGATTATGATGATGGTAATGGTGATTCATTGGGAGAGAGTTGTTGTGAGGGGTTGAGATGAGTTGTGGTGGGATGGGTTGTGATATGGGATAGGAGCGTGAATATTCAAGTAATGAGTGTATTCATTCAGAGGAGGGAGGTGTATAGGCTAAATGATCTTTTAGAGGAGGGGAAGGGGTGGATCTCGTTTAATAAGGGGGCGGAGTGAAATTAGGAACCAGTAGCTTTTTTATTTCTTTGTCGGTTATGGAGTTGAGTGTCTAATCACTTTCGTCTTTATGGATTTCTATGAATCTCTTGGTATCTTTGGGATGTGAATAGGAACACGAATATGATGGGTAAAGTGAATATGGATTCAAGATGAACTGAAGCTCGCTTTGGTGTGAATTAGAGAAGGAGATATGAATACGTAGGTAAACTCAGTTGATTCCTGTACCAAAATATTTGTATTAGAACATATTCACGGGAATTCAGGTGAAACTGACACAGTACAGTACATCTGAATATGTACTCGATATCATAATCCCCCCAACAAGGTAGATCATACTCCCAGCACCCAAATCATCACGAAACGGATATACTATACCCCCATATCCCTATACACGGTCCGCTAAATATGAATAAGAACCATGATATCAAGAATATGAATCAACACATTCCAAACTTAGTACAGTGCCGAATTCACCACATCACCATCAACATATGCATCCTAATCACAAATACATTTCCACCCAATCACCTAATCACCCAGTCTCATACCGTACCGCACCAAGAAGACCACAAGGTAGGGAATTGGAGATATAAAAGTCCTTCAATTTCCTCCTTTCAATACTTTCAACCCTCCTCCATCACATTCCAAGAATCTTTTCAACAATCCACATTCAAATCCCAAATCTTCAGGAAAATATATCAGAAAATCAAAAATGACAATCCACAACCCAAACCCAAACCCAAACCCCGCACAAAATATCTACAATGCACCCACAAACCCCCAATACGCAATTCAGAGCGGTAATCGTAATCGTATATGTACGATTCCGGTTCTGTTGAGTCAAGGACAAGGTCAGCTTCAGGGATCTGCGGGTACGGGAGGTACGGGAGGTACAGGAGGAGGACAGACGGGAAGTGTGCAGAATGGTAATGGTGGTGGTAGTGGAGGTATTGTGTCGGATTCGGGAGGTAGGAGTGCGAGTGCGAGGGCGGCTTCGGGACAGAGTGCTGCGAGGGGGGGGAAGTCAGGGTCGAAATATGACTACTGGAGGTGGAGGTGGTGGAAGCGGAAATAGGAGTGGAGCGAGGGCTTCTCAGCATGTGAGTGCATCGGGAATGCATGCTCAGGCTCAAGGTCAAGGTCAAGGTCGAGCTCAACATCTACAAACTCCAGTTAATTATGTGCATCCTCTTGTTCATCCGCAAGCTCATCGTCCGCAAGCTCATCATCCTCAACCTCATCATCCTCAAATTCATCATCCTCAACCTCATCATCCACACCCCCATAACAGAATAAACTACATCCATCCTCTTGTCGGTGATATCTTCGGTCCACACGCACCCCATATTCCTCGCGCAGGAGGTCTATTATCTCAACTCTCTCCCTACGTTCCTCGCACAAATCTCGGTGGAAATAGACCTATTTATGGACCGCCAATGCAAGGACTAGGTCTACCGCATCCATTTGGGTATCCTCAGATGGGAAATATGAATCCACGAGGAATGGGAATGGGAATGGGGCTTGGAAATGGAAATGGAATTGGGGTGATGAATGTGATTGACTATGGGTGGGATAGTAGATGGGATGCGGGGAGTGGTGGAGATAGGGGATGTGGAGGTGGAAGTGGTCTAAGAGGTGGTAGGGGTAGGAGAAGAAGATAAGGTGGAGTTTGAGGAGGGGGTGTGTGAAGGGACTGTGGTGTTATGCTGGGGAGTCTGGTGAAGATGGAGTTGATGTTGGCAATCGGGAAATTGTGATAATGGAGAAGTTGGCGTTGGGGAAACGCGGGTTGATGGGTGTGATGGTCCAACATTTTTAAGGTTATGGAGTTTAGCTTACAAGATGGTTTGATGTTTCTTCTCTGAAAGTTTCTGTGGAGTCTCTTGTTGTGAGTCTGATAGTGATTGTGCGTCTTGCTGTTCGTTGGTCAAGTTTGCATCTTTGTCTGGTTGTTCTACCTTGAAGTGGATCTTGTTCTTTTGGTTCGGCTGAGGTTGCGCTTAGGAGAAGAATAATTTAACGTGGAGAAGGCTACGTCGCTAGGGACCAGCCAAATATTCATATTTAACATGATTAGACCTGAGTTGCGATTCAGTCTGATATATCAAAAAGCTCAGACGAGATACATGAAATGCCAATTTAAGATTTATGAATGATATCCACACGAGTAAAGCATGAATATGAATGATTAATTGATCATCGTCCAATATCCTTGAACATTGCATGAATTCTGAAGGCAAGCGAAAGCCACAGACCATGAATATTTTGCAAGCAGAATGGAGAAGATATCTCTGCCTAGCGCGGAATCATTGAGAATAGGATAAAATTTCTGGATTCGACTGAATGTATGCAAGACCAGTACTTATAGCTTGCGAGCAGCCAAGAGAAATTCGTGACCATCACGTAGACGCATTTCACAACTTTTGGATCTCGAACTGCTCCAAAGTGCAATACAAATGTCACGGTAGATGATCTTGAGATTGTACTGTATTTATTCTGATAACCGCTTCCAACATCCAACGCTGAAGTATTGATCTATTACGCACAATAAACTGAAAGCAAAAGGGAAAATACATGAGGAACAAAGAAGTTAAGAGATATTCAGTGTAACGACAGTGTCAACGGAAACTGATGAATATTCGAACAATATGAAGCTTTGTGTTATATCAGACGGTACACTGAAGTGTGATGATATAAGGAAGAGGAGGCTCGCTCAGCCCGGGCTCAGTAGATAGCAAGCCTTCTGGAACGGGATTCGATATTTCCCGAACTTTGCAGTTTTTACAACTCTTTCTATTTCTATCTTGTCCGTTGTATGGTCGAATCCAACTGCGAAGTATTGCCAGCCAATTGGGCATGTTATTGTTCGGTGACTTATCTAGAAATACCGAGTTAACACCAAGCTCATTCGAAACACTATGGGGTTAATGGGGAGCAGTGACTTACGATCTTGATTTCTACCATTTTGGTGTCGCTCGGACTGCGATGGACCATATGGCGAACGTCCAGGAGCGTAGTAAACATCAGACTGATTTTGTGGTGTTGATGAAGTTGGCACTTGAGATGACAGCGGAGTTGAAACCGATACTGTTGAATGGGGTCTATGTAATGTGCTTGGGAACACATCAGAAGCATAATTGCTAGCATGTAGCCCCAATCTATCCATTAGTCTATAATAAGATCCCTCGTCCAACCTGTATTCTGAAGCTGATGTGTTATGACCTCCAAAGGCTTTGAATCTATCTACTGTCTGAACATAGACGTGTGGCAAGCGTAGTTTGGAGTGTTTTGCCAGTTCTATGAGTCTATGATGAGGGCTTCTGACGAGCTGCATCGATCGTTCTCTCGTCCCAAGGATTGGGATTGTCAAGCCAATAACGGGACCGAAATCTGGCAGGATGTGATATGCCATTGCCGGGAGGAAAGTAGTGACCGATAGGCGAGTACTGTGTACCCTCTTGATCAGGACGAATTGGGTTACCAGTCATCTAGTAAGCATTAATAAATGAAAGAAGATTGTTGAGGGATTAAGGGCTACCAACTGCGACATAGAGAATCCTATCACCGTTTTTTCGGAGGACAATGATGGGATGTTTTTGGCCTGTAATATCCTGGCGACAATTCGATGGACACCTGCCCAGATCTGGGTGCAGGTCTCGGTGATCCGATAATCTGTTCCATTCGCATGTAATTCCTGGAAATTTCTTTTGAACGTCATGGCGAGGGCGAAGGATACAACCTACGTGGATATCTTCTGCGCATAAAGACATTGCGACGGGACAGAAAAAGTTGGAGCCAAAGGTTGCACAAACTGAAGGATAGACGACCTTGAAGAGATGTATGGACTTAATGATAATAAGCTAGGCACCTTATATAAGACGATTGTGAAGTTGAGTTGGGAGATTGAGAACTTGTCGTGGCCCTTCTTATACATCAACAGTCATGGCTGGCGCCCAACAAGGTGAATCAATTCAATAGCGATTGCGATATCATGACTTCAATGATGGATGTGTTGCACACTTGTGCTTGCACTTTTCTAGAAATACTTTGTTGTATTAAACATAACTGAAATGCAAATAAAGGAATTGTTTTGATCGAACACATGGAGCACCCACCACCACCGCCAACAAGTCTAAGAAGATCAATGAATCTCGTTTCATAGAATATTGGAACGCATTGAGATGAGAACTATCTAGAATGGCCTTGGAGTGGTTTTGATTCACGTATAGATCATGTCTTGGGCGGTTCTTTGAAGAAAATAATAATTCGAAAGTCGCAAGTCGCAAGTTCAGAAAGACAAACCTAGAACTTAGCACAGCAAGAACCTAAATTTAGCCGGTGACGAACCATGACCTCAGAGAACCATCTGTGGTTCATTTCAATCATCACCACAAACAGAAATATAAGAGCAACACCAAGAAATCATTCCATTTTTGAAAGTTCATCGCAATTGAGATCAGTCAACTTTCTTACTTATTCGGATGATAATATCTGACGCAACAATCCCAATACTCACCACAACGGCAAACAGAAAGTTTGAGATTCTACAGCAAGCAAGCCAAACAAAAGGGATCAAACCAAGTTGCTGGTATGACAGACCACCATATCTCCGCTATTCATTCATCGAATGAAGACTATGAATTACCTCTTCGACCTGTCAAATTCCCTCTTATTCTTCCTGCCCATGCACCCCATTTTCCCGATCAAGGATGGTCCACCATATCTTTCTCGCCCACAGACCCTTTCCACATTTCATCTCAGAAGCTTCTGCAAGCAAGTAAATCCTTCTTTGATCTTCCGCTTGAGTACAAGTCTCAGTTTCTTACTGGGAAGGGTACTGAGGAAGGATGGAATCGTGTGGAAGGCGAGAAGGAATTTATCACTCTACGTGAGATCAATACCACACCTCCCGAATTGTTGGAAACTGTGAAAGAATTCTGGGATATTACTGGGGATGTTTTGAACAAGATATTGGGCGAAATTGCTAGTAGCTTGGGCATGAAGAAAGAGTTGCTCACAAGGTATTCTGAGCCATGTCTCAAGCTCCATCATGAAAAAACAGCAACTATGATCAGATTGTTCAGGTATGAAAGTAATGGAATAGAAGGGAAGGTCGTTTCAGAGCGTATGTCATCGTTATCTCATTCGAAACAAAAGTATCAAGAAGCTAACTTTGTTAGCACATCGTGACCTCGGTCTCTTGAGTCTATCAATCAGTGATGCTCCTGGTCTGGAAGTTTTGGACATGCAATCCAAAAAGTCGTTCGCAATTGAACGATCATTCGAGGGGAGAGATATAGGAACTTTACTCGTGGGGAGGGAGCTAAATTTCTTAAGCAATAACAGATATCAGGCTGGCGGCCACTCAGTTCGTATGTATTCAAAAACTGTGACCAGGCACGAGCCAGATGAAAAGGAGAATGAAGATAAACGAGAGATGTCGGCAAGGAAATATTATAGATACTCGATAGTTTTTGTACTTCGGGGTCATGAAGATGTGTCCATTGATACGGATGAATTAAGAACACCGATTACGGGACGATGGAAGAAGCCAATGAAGGGATTGAAGATGGAGAATCTATATCGGCGCTTCATGAGTAAACATGTCAATATTAATGTGGAAATGGAGGAGAGGCAAAAGCAGAAGGAGCGGTTGCATGAGAAGAAGGCGAACATGATGAAAGGTCAATAAGGCGAAGATCATCATTTGAGGGTTTGTAGAGACGCGTTTACAAAACATGATGAGATGATGATACTCATAAGGGTAACTGAGGTCATGCAATTGACTGGAATAGTGCTCGAGCTACTGGAGAACTGAACATTACACTTTCAGGAGAGACAATTTTTGTACAATGTAGTACAGCAACTTCACTATTTAACTCGGTCCACAAGAAGGATATCGCTACAATGAGATTCGAAGTTGTTTACACAACATAATTTCGGAATGTAGTTCTCTAGAGTCATAATTCGTTGTAGGATTGGGCCGAGTCTGCACACAAATACTTACCAGAAGTTGTTCACGAGCTAGTCAAGACGTATTAATCCCAATAAAACGCATTCTAGGGGTTCCTGTCGCTGCGCTCTGCGGAAAAGGCGGTGATTAGAACAAGAATGAGTAGAAAGGTAGGTGAGCTGGGGCAGGTCAAAACAAGCGGGGGGGGGGGGGGGGGGGGGAAATGGCGGGAAAAGCGGATCTATTTCTAAGGATGTAGAAGCTGACTAAGTAGGTTACCCCTCATTCCACTCGGCTTGTGCTTCCCCAGCTTTTTCCAATCAAGGCAATCATCAGCTTCGTGCTACTACTCGAGCGAGTACAGGATTCCCGAAACACTTCGTTTTCTCTCTAGCTAGGTTCGCAAGACTAACCAGGCTGAGGTTGTACTCTTCATACACATACCCGCCATTCTCATCTTAATCATGCAAAGAGAGTTGCTTCCTCTTCTACCTCATTACACTGCAAGCTAGATCCAGAGTACCGGGAATTTGAGGATGACAATGGTGAGCAACCTTTGATGAAAACCCCCGATATCTACCAGTCGTTATTAACATGAATGTCATCCACGTGTAGTCTGACAATAATCCGCCAATAGTCAAATTCACAACAGGAGTTAGTGATCGTGTTCAACTTGGACAAGGGACAACCTTTTTGCTCGGGAAGAAGGATCCATCAGTACAGCATCTCATCGACCACGTCCTCGAACACGGCTATGTTATCCTCCCTAACATATTCACGCCCGAGCAAGTAGAGATAGCAAATTCCGAAGTGGCACGACTTGAAACACTTGACGCTGGGCCTGCTGCAATTGCTGGTCGAAACTATTTTGAGGGTTTCAAGACTGGAAGAGTATATGCTCTCGCAGACAAATCCAGAGCGTTTGACCAGTTTCCAATACACCCCACTGTTTTGGCATTGAACGATTACTTCCTCCAACCTAATTATTTAATTACTAGTCTGCATACTGTGGTGATCTATCCTGGACAAACTGCGCAGGCTATACATTGTGATGATGGATTGATCGCACTGCCAAGACCAAGGCCATTGATCGGTGTTGTATGTTATGCTTAGGCTCTTTTCTACATTGTATGAATCGGGAAGGAAAGGCTCACAACCTGAATAGGGCACCATGGTTTCATTCGATGATTTCACTGCCGACAACGGTGCAACTACTGTAATTCCAGGGTCGCATTTATGGTCGGACGACCGTATACCAACCCGAGAAGAAATGATTCCGGTAATAATGCCAGCAGGCAGCATGGTCTATTTTCTCAATACTCTTTGGCATTCGGGTGGAGCGAATACCTCAAATAGAGCTCGGCGCAGTATTACAGTTCAGTATTGTCAACCCTGGATACGGACATTTGAAAATATGACAATTGCGATGGGCTGGGATGATTTAGACAAGGTTCCAGAGGAACTCTTGAGATTGATGGGATTCTCTACGCATGATTTCATGGGCTATGTAGATGGTCGTTCGCCCCGAGCCGGCGTGGAGATGCGAAAGAAGAGAATGATTGAGCGAGCTCTCAAGGAGAGAGATGAACAGCGTGGCTCGAAACTCTAGAGCTCCACTGAATTACCGCAGTTATATGTTGTGACATCGGTCATTGGTCTCCTGGCGATTTGCTATATGCTTTGATTGCGAATTTTGACGTTCGTGCGACCCTGCCATCACAGATGAGCATCTATCACGATCGCTATAGACAAACTCTCCTATTTTATTATTACTGAACTTTGTCTTTTTCACAATCTCTTTAATTTCCTTTCAACGAATATTATTTGAAGTTCCGTAGGTAGCGTGTAAGTTAGAGCGATGCAAGTTTTTGCTAATCAACAATCAAGACCAAGTATGTTGAAGACTGGTTGTATCTCGATTGAAGTTCAGGGTCTTGTGATATATTTGGCTTTGAAAATTCACTAGAAATCTCGAGTATTTCTCCTTGAAACATCATAGCATCATGACTGTGATCAATCATCGTTACACCCAAGCCTGCTCCTCTTTCATGAAATAGTGTTACATTGTTTTGCGCCAAATGTCACTCGGTCATACTTTCCATTCATTTCTCGTCTTTATCTGTACGTCTGAAACACGGCAATCCGCATACATCAAACTCGGTGACTGTCTTGGGATACTTGGGAAGATTGAGAACTTCGTAGTGTTTAATTATACAACCCTCCGGATGTTAAACTTTACAAGTGTTGAGCTTTAATATGGTTTTGATTTCCACAATTCCAAGCTGCCTTTTGCGAATTCGTAAGTCTTGGCTCGGTATATGGAATTTAAGATAAGCTACTGAATATATCTTCATAATGTGTAGTGATCACTAATGCTGCCTCAGAATCCTTAACTGTCTGATGCGTATTGCTTATCAGTCTCTGTAATGGAACGTGACTTGGTAGAGACAATGCTAATGTACTAAAGGGGTGACCAAGCGAGAGGTTTTGTTCCAAGTTCCCATGGTTTAGATTCAACAACAAAATCTGTCTTCGCCGACCCAAAAGATATTATTTTCGAAAGAGGTGCAATGCAATATGGATTCAAAAATCCTTGTACAATATCTAATATTTATATCATACAACAGTCTCTAATATGAAAGTTTAGGGCTAGCGAAATTGAACTCAACGATAAGAGCTTTCAGCTCCTTTGACGTGGTCAATATGATCTAGAGGTACTTACTTGCTTTTGAGGATTGTGGAAATCATTAACTAATAAGGAATAATAAAACTATAGCTTTGAATATAAGATCGATGCCGATTTGGTTGAATTGTAAGAGTACCAAGCTATTTGGGCCTCGGCGACGGGTGAAATATGTGAATAATGAAGATGTATAAAACTGAACTTGATACTTGGGCATATATAACTAAAGGGAATATTAAAATATTGAAAGACAGTGGAGTCCAGAATTGTGGAGTGTTGTACATCAGTCATATCCTTATCGATGCACGTCAGACGAAGTTTTGCCGAATGGAGAAAGGGCGAGCTACCTATTAAATACACATGGCGTCTTTTCAACCCCTCATTTTACCCCGCATAGAGAGCTAGCTACTCGGACATCCGACTTAAACTTGAACATGATATTGAAATACAACACAATCTTGAGCAACTTTGAGGAATAACACATCGATCCAATTCCCCTGGCGCCTTAAACGAGTCCAGAATCATACAGAGGACTTTACTGCTTAGGCATAAATTACATTCAATCAGTCAAACTACTAAACACCAAAACCTGGCTAGTATGTCGACCGAACAACGAGACCCCCTTCCAAATGGTCTTCCAAATCTTCAACGTCTCATAACAACCACCGATCCAAATGGCAAAGCCATTCTCGAACCCAGCATATCTCCCAAATCCGTCTGGCAACCAATCCAAAACAACGACATGGCTTTTTTCCTCGCATACACTACCCATCAATTCCCAGCCTCCCTTTCCCATGCCCCCTCATCCCAAAACTTCACATCCACTACACCCATCGACATAGCTTCCTACACATCAGATCTCTCTTCACCCCCCGGTCTCTCCATCTCTACAGGAACCGTCGTTCGCTTTGTGGATTTTGCGCCGGGTTACACATGTCCAATGCATAAAACTGTGAGTTTGGATTATGGGGTTGTGTTGGAGGGAACGATTGAACTGGTGTTGGATTCGGGAGAGAAGAAAATTATGCAGAGGGGTGATGTTTGTGTTCAGCGGGCGACAAATCATGCTTGGAGAAATGCGACGGAGGGGGAGGGTTGGGCGAGAATGATGTTTGTGCTGACGGCTGTGGAGAAGGGGGTTGGGATTGAGGAGGCGGGGATTGATGGTATGAAGGAGTTGAGGAAGAGTACTTAAGTGATACAGGTTATGAATGTCTACCCTTGGGGAATTTGTTGCATTTCTTTCGTGCCTGGAGACGAAGATTATTGAATGGCAAGAATGAGACTGGTCTAACTAACATCAACCATTAGATACAGTTCCATGAAATAATTTCAGATGTTGCAGAATCCATGTATTTGCGCTTCAGTCAATGAAGAAACAGCAGTATCATAAACCTTGATTTCTCAAGTGAGCTGAAAGCCGAGAACTCATATATGTCTGGTTTCCAAGATCTTTCTCATTCTCCATGCTCCTCTCACCATTCATTCCTTATGCAGCTCTCCTCTCTTTTCCACTGATCAAGTAAACACCCGCTCTAACATCCACCAACGGATCACCACTAACATCAATACCCTCTACCCTGGGTACCGGATCAAAAATAATATGTTTCTGCTCTTTCTCATTTTCCTCCAATAATCCCTCAACCCTAACCCGTCCCAATTCCACAACCTTTCTCTCTTCCGGCCAATGCACCGTCGCATCATCCGTCACATCTCCCTCCTCCGCAATCTGCACTTCCAATTTAAACTCCGTCGCACCCTTTTCCAATCTCGCTTTAATCTCTTCCGTTAGATAATTCTCCCCTAAACTCTTTTTCTGCTCCTCACTCGCAATCTCCACACCCTCCACAGGAACAATCCTATATCTCACAAAAGTTTCCTTCCCATCCGAAGCAATAAACTTAAAAGCATTAACCCCCCAATAATTCTCCCTCGCCCAACTCGTCGGCGCCGGCTTCGGCGCCGTAACAAAAGCCAACGCCTTCGGATGCGCATCGAGGAATTTCTCAATCGGTTTCGGACTCTCGACTCCCTCTCCACTACTCGCTGCAGCTTTTAGGAATTCGAGAAATTCATCCCCGGTACGCGTCGGGAAAAAAGGTGTGGAGTGCGCAACGATATCCGTATGTTTATGTTTCTCGACATCGAGAATAAAACGGATGGCGATACCGCGGGGATCTGCGTTGGCATCGAAATCGGGGATCGAGGGGATCCCGGTGGAGTTGGAGAAGCGGATCCAGATGGGGGTGCTGGGGGAGGTGAAGTGAGGAGCGCTGGAGAGTGTGCGTGCCGTTGGAGTGGGGATGAAGGTTCCGGTTAGGAGGAGTCCTTTTGCGTGGGCTGGAGGGAGTTAGCTAGGGATTCGGTTGGGGAATGGATAGGTGATGAGGTGGGTGGGTGGTTTACCGGGGCGTTTGCCGGCATGTTTGCCAAACATGGATTGGAGTTGATGGACTAGTTCTTCACTTGTTTTGACGACTGCGGGGTCGGATGGGACAGGCATGGTTGCGATTTATTAACTTTCTGATAAATTTATTTGTTTTTCGATATAACTTTGAGGATTGGTGGTATTGACTGTTTTGCAAATGGAATAAGATTCGAAAGTGAGTTTCAGGTAGGGACAAAGGATTCCTCCTACACTTTATACGTTTGCATCTCCCTCTCGAGTGAATACCACGCCGCAAAATCCCAAATCCTTCTAGGAATGTTGATGTGTTAACACAATTCATGATGTGTTTTGATTCTGGAATTTGGAATAACCCCTCTATCCGGGACCCGAATACTAGCTGTCATTGGACGACGTTGTACAATTGAGGTTGATTGTTTATCAGTAAGTTGTTAGTGGTTCACCTTTCGTGTAGGAATACCATGAATAACCAATTAAATACGTTTGGCGTGCGGTATGATGATTAGTTAATATAAAGGTGGCGGCTTACTGGATCCAACTGTTGGTATCACATATCATATCACATCTCGTGTACGCGGGTCCCGTTCACGCTAGCGCTCGCGAGAAGTTGTCAAATGCTTGAATTAAAACTGCTAAATATTGGATTACTCATTATATAAGATGCAATTTGGGTAAGAGATTATGAACATATTCAGTCGTGTTTACTTCCGGGTTCCGAACTTCCAATCACTTCCGTTCGATTGTTTAGAGTGTGATTTTGATGGTGGATGCGACGCTGGGTACACCTGCAGAAGTCATGGCCCAGAACATCCAGTATCCTGGGAGCGCAATTCCTGCATCATTTGGGATGGTAAACGTGTAAGTGTTGTTGCCACTTGCTGTAATAGGCGTGAGTGCAATGCGTCGCTGATCGGTGTTAACAGTGTGAGTCGCTGATCCAAATCGAGTGATTGAGAAATTGGTTACAGCGGTGTTGGTTACGATTGTGAGTGTTCCACCGATGGCAACAGTAGGAGTGGCTAAGGAGATAACGGGTCTCGTTGCGGCGGTTCCATCGGCGTTGAAAAGATATGCTGGACTGTATATTTGTGCATCGGCATGGTTTGTGGCACAGCTTGATCCACAAAGTCCTCCGCCTCCTGTGAAAACTCTTCCATCAAGCATTAAAAGAGCCATACTGTGGTATGTTCTTGCGATATCATGCGGAGGTAAGATTGTAAAATTTTGTGTTGTAGGATCCCACAATTCTGGTGTCAATACTGCATCTGTGTCTGTGAATGGAACTGCATATGGTTGGCCTCCTACCACAAAGATCTTCCCGTTTGGTAGTACAACACCGTTTGCGAAAGATCGTTTGTATGTCATTGATGTCAGAGCTTGGACTGTAGGCTTCACATTAGGATTTCCGATTGTGATCAGATGAACACTGTTAGTCGCAGCCGAATTCTGATAGCTAGGAGATCCACCGGCCGTGAAGATTTTTCCGGCGACTGCATCATACATGACTGCATTTCCACACATGGAGTCTGTATCGGAAGCGCGAAGGCCTGCAGCGACTTGAGATCCAGTACCAGTCGTTCCGTACCAGTTCATTGCTTTACTCGGACCAGCTTGGAATACAGATCCATTCTTCCAAGCAAATAGCCATGCATGATTATCAGTACGAAAGGCCCCTTGTGCATCAGCAGTCAGCATTGGTTTGACTGGGCAGCCTGATAGTAGGGACCATGTGTTGGTGCTTGGATCATAAATCTCTCCATTCTTTCCACCATAGCCACCACTCCAAGATCCGCCGATGTTGAAGACCTTTCCTGTTGATGTTGTAGTGGTCGATTGGTAGCCGCGAGGAAGTTTCATAACGGGTCCTGCTACCCACTGATCGGTAGTAGAGTCATAAATGCTCGTCTTATTTGCAGTATCTCCTCCTGTGACAATGGCGCGTCCATCAAACATCAAAGACATACCGGGGCAGAACATATCATGCTGCGTGTTAGAAACATTCGCTGAAGATATGGCACCGGTTGCAGGATTGTACACTGCTGAAATAGTGTAGCCATGTAAACCTATTTGAAAAGCCAGAGGACTGTATGCTGCATAAGTCCATATGTTTCCTGTGGAATACTCTATAAAACCAGCAACTGGAACAAGTGGCATATTAATCACTGGACCCCATTCTCCCACGCCCCCAACAGCAGTAGGAGCGACTGAGAAACCGAATTCTGCTGCGTTAGTCCAACTACCACGATTTCCAGCTTCGGTGGTAGCATTTAAGCGGAAATATCGAGCTTGTGTATTTTGAAACCCTACAGTCTTCTTGGTAGCGTCGTCTTGGAAAGTGGAAGTCGCAACTGTTGACCAAGTCTCGTTATCTGTACTGACAGCCAATGAGTAGGCACCGATGTTTCCATTGCGTTTACCATCCTGCCTTGGTGTATAGGTAAATGCATTGAGAACTTGTGCAGAGCCTGTGTCAAGATAGATGATGTGTGGCAAGGGAACAAGAACAGGGCTGTATTCGCTGTGCCAGAATGTGCTGGAGTTTCCATCAACAGCATATGAAGCTGGATTTGTAGCTTGGGAACTCGATACCCCAATGCTCATTGCTGCTTGCACAGTCTGCGTCACTGGCAGCAAGAGAAAAGACCATAGTGCGAGCATATTGGTGCTCGGAAGGTACAGTGCAATATTTTTGAGGACAAGACCTTATAGAATGTGAGTATGATCCACGTTGTGTCGTTGATATTGGGTAAATGACGTACAATGAAGTTACTCAAGTAAAACAGCCTGATTTGAAACTCCAAGATCATCATTCCCGTTCTTTAATAGTAGGATGAAGCGGGGAAGTGAAATAAGCTTACCTCCGCATTTTGAAGGCGATGAGATAGATATCTGGGGCCCCTGCAACGGCGGCGTTGCCCGCATTAGCTTATCGATATGGGGTTTTCAGAACCCCCATTTTTATCCCGTATGAAAATTCAATATTTTCAGATTCCCATGTCTGAAGGTAGATACGCGAGTGGTTAATATATAAATAAGCTCGGTACACGGAATACTTTAGCGCGGCTCTCATCCATCTCTATGCAGACTTTGATTGAAAAGGAAGCTCTCAGCTTGGGAAACTTGTTTGTAGAAAAGGCCAATGTGTCATCGCAATACTATGAGCGAATCATATTGTTGCTTACCCAAACCGTTTACGGCCGTGAGACTCTTGGTTGCCAATAGAATCCTTGATCACATGTCTATAGGTTGTATTAGACTCGGTGGCTTCTTCTTCCAAACAAATTCGTTACACAGATTTCTGGCCATTGGTGCAATGTCACAACTGATTGTTATCATGCAGATGATTACTACCAACTAATGCACTCAGTCTAGTCTTAGCAGGTCCCAGGATTTGTTTATCGGTAGCAGATGTGTCAAATATATGCCAACCCAATGGTTCGACGCCACAATAACCATTCTTCACCTGTGCTTCCGAATACGATACCGACACATGCATAACATGGGCAGCTTCCCTCAGTTGTCCTCCCTTTTCAGGAGATAAATCCGAATCCAGTGAGAACTCTGCTGGCATCAGCTGAAATCTGACTGAAGAATGCTGACAACCATAACAAATCTGACAATATATAGATTATCATGGTGCAAATTCCTACCACGAGGGACTCGTTAGAGAAATGATCGACATCGATATCCAAGGAATTTGATTACTGCTTCGAAACTATTGATATATCTATTGGATTGTGCAGAAACTCGGAGAAAATTCCGTGTTTTGTTTTCAATTGTGGTGTACGACTTTTGAAGAAACATGATCCGACGGTTGTCTTCCGGGAGCCTAGATCAAGGCAGCACGCTCCATCTTTCGAACCATTAGGAAAACGGTAAAAGAACAATTGGTCCTTTGAGCATGAAAGATCGCAGACATAATGTACAGGATGATCTCGACGGCGGGCAGCCAGCTGGCCATGGATCTTGTTCGGCTGGCCGAAAGAAAAAAAACCTTGCATATTGCCCAGCCGGCGAAAGACTTTGACCTGCTGTATTGAGACCCGTTCACATATTTATATTGGAAATCCCACAGTATCCATGTTGACCCCCAGCCTGCTCCGCTAAGCTTGCGAAGTCCACAATGAACACAACAATCTACGAGCGTCGTAAAAGTGTAATTTCTGAGAACATCACATGTAATCGATGTGCATTATCTAGATTCTAGAAGATAACTTTGCAGACATAGCACCGTATCTGCCTCTTCTTATATCAGCAACCATTCATCATTTATTTGGAGAGGTAGGAGATCTTAAGCTGGAGCCTGGAGGTGAATGAGTTAGCCTTGAATCCGTTGCAGTATCTTGAACCATAAAATTCGGAGTATTCTCTCCGTTTATGTCCGATAACGCTATTCAAATGCAAGTGAAATCGGCATGTATTTGGTAATGAGGTGACCAGAAACCCATTAAACATCCATAGATTAGGGTGGCTATGATGATACTGGAAGAATCAGTCGCCAGATCGATACTTAGTAGGATACGAGAATAGGCTGAAGGTAGAAAATTTCTCTTCACAGGTATAATTTCATTTTCTTGAGCGGGAACAGGGGCGCGATAGAATCAGGAATAGAAGGCGAGGACGTGGAGGTACACGCGATTGATACTGACGATGTCGCAGACGTAGATAAAGCAGATGAAGATGATGTGGGTTTGGCTGATTGAATCGATGGAGCTGAAGTTGTCAGATTGGTGCTGGCAGTTATAAGCTCTCGGTCGCTCGTGGTAGTAGTGGTGGAAAGAGATGTGATTTTCATCAAGTCAAGACCGACGAACTTGTTGTAAAGCCAGAAGTGTGAACAGTGACCGATACTGATGAAGCTGTGTATACTAAAATACCTGTGCAGCAAACAGAGACTGTAGGCGAAACAATATCATAGCCGAGCAGTGCCGCGGCTATGAAGGTATGATAAGCTTCATGTTTCTTTATTAATTAACTCAAATTACAACTCAAAAGTGCTCTTGTCGTGTGTATTTTCCTCTACAAGTATCTCATTTGAATCTTAATTTCACTCATAGAAAAATGCTGCCTTGCCTTGCTGCCGACCACTAAGCTGAAGAATGTGGCAATCTGGCCTGCTAATATAGCAACATAGCTGCATGGAGATTTTCTCAAACCCTTCACATCAAGCAACGAAAGTAAAACAGCAGTGGATTAAAAAAGCGTTCTCCTTACAGTCTTGAAAGGTAGACTTGGAATGGTATTTTTCAGTTGCCTGATGAGAACTTTTCTTTACGACCTTTCCACTATGGAGCGCAATTGTACTAATCGCCATCGAATTCATGAAACTAGAAATTTCTTAGGTTTGAGCCACTTCTGAGACTCGATAGCAGGCTTGCAATTGATAAAGATAACAATGCAACTTGACATAATGCTGTATGGGATATTACTGGATCATGACGTCTTAAAGCAAAGAAGATATAATAAAAGGGTCGAAATGAATTTAAGCTTGATTGAAACGAGCATCTTCTTGAAATCTGCTATGATTAAAAACAAATAAAATCATTTGTAGAGCTTGGCAGTATGGATGGTATATGGCAATGGCCTGAATAAACCCATATCGGATCGCGGATTTGGCCTGGCCGCAGGTTCACGGGATCGAGATCTAGGCCAAAACGGCCAAACCTGGGCAAATTTAATAACTTATCGATTAGAAAGTTTGCTGCGTTGAAGGCGGCTCTCGAAATTCGGAAACTCCAAATCTTTAGTTTAAGCGCGGTCAAGCATTGAAGTCTTGTGGATTGTAACTTCCAGCTGAGAAAGCTAAGGACTTTAACTTCCCAAGGTATCTCAATCAGCCCACCCTTCAGGTAATTGTTACCTTTGATGTGCGCAGGGTCTGGGGAAAATCATGCGCGTGCAATGAACTCTGGTGATACTACATGCAGTGGTGTAGAGAAGCTAGATATGAACTCGGAAAAGGAAGAACAAACCCACATCACCTTGACGTTCCAGCAGAAAACACTCTTCCAAGCTTTCATAATGAACACCTTGGAAGTTGACCCAAGCCCACTCCTGAAACCCAATCCTGTTCATGTTTGAAGAGAGCAGTTTCAATACAGCCAACATCCACGGAGGTAAAGCTACCACACAAGATAACCTCCATTGAATTTTTGGCATGTGTACCTTCGCAACTGTAGAACAGAACGTGAAGCTATTCCACTGAATCAAGGAATTATCCGCAACTGAGGATAGTCATAATAAAAACTTACCTAGTCCTTTGAGATGTACATATTTTCGTCATTCGGCCCCAAACATATGAGATTGCATCTCTCCCTCTCCCTTTCCCTCTCGCCCTCTCACCTTTTTTTGCCATGATCTATCTCCTCGTCGCAATATCTCCAAGCTTCATGATAGAAACGATTGATTAAATTATGGAAGCCAAGATTACTAAAAGATTTCTATCACTGGGAGATAGACATATTGCGAGTGGTAACAAGTGGGAGAAGTCCATGATTTGAGGTTTGTTTTGTTTCTTTAACAATTTTGTTCCTTTACCCGGGCTGGGTAAACTTCGGCACGGCCAGTGGTAACCATACCTATGGTGGTACTAACACATTAATAGAATGGTTCGTACCCCTGACCGACACCCTAGCATTTTTGTGGTCACAGCATCTACTAAGTTAGCTATCTACTATATCACCCCAAGATCTCTTTTTTGGCCCAAACACCCATTTACACGTAGGTAAAGCTTCCTTAATTATTACATCCTTTTACTCGAGCGTTCTATGAGATACACTTTACCTTCATAAAGTCAACGCGATTATGGTAATTTGCCGTGTTATGGGTAATATAAATATTGATAGAGATGATTGAGAGCCAATGAGCCTCACATGCATCTAATCCGACCAAAAACTGTTCAACACGACATAAATCCGTTCGAGTGTCATGTTATGTAGTGATACTTGATATGGACTGTCGTACGCTGTGAGATGTAAGTTTTGAGATGATGATCGATGCAAAGTCTTTCAATTTGGTCCTCCAATGTTAAGGGAAGGAACAAACGGGAGGCGATGCTTTCTCTATTTGAAATCGGGGAAAATATCATACTTAAAATACAAGCAGGCACCTGCCCTTATCGATATGCTGTGCAATTACTGTCTGTTTCTTTCTCAGCTTACATCTCAGTTACAACCTATCTACAAAAGACAGACGTGGATTCTTCTATATAAAGAATCTGCAATTCAAGTCAATTCAAGTCAACCCTTTCACATTTTCTTCACATTCTGACACTACTCTCTGTATACGAGATCAAAATACGGACAGCCATGATTCTAAACTATATTTACAGTCCATCTGTGACACTATTTGTAGCATTCGTGAGTTGAAACTATTGTTCTTTGGATTTACTTGATTTTGCTAACTCACAATAGCTTGTCACTTTCGTAGCTGCCTCTAATGATGCTTTTCGAAACGAACTTACTACTTCACAGGCTCTGCCAGGCACTTGGGTATCTCAAGGATGCTATGTAGATGTTGGTCGGACATTGTTTGAAGGAGAGTACATTGACAACACAAATATGACAGATGAATCGTGTATTTCATATTGTACCTCTGAGAGCCTCAACTATGCCGGAACAGAGTATGCCTCAGAATGCTGTAGGTTGCTTCCCGACTTCCAAATTTTCGATATACAAACACTAAAATTTCATCCAGATTGTGGCAATAGTCTTGCAGCTGGAGCTGGACGTGCGCCAGCTTCAGACTGTAGCATGAAGTGCCCCGGAAATACTACCGAGTTTTGTGGTAAGTCTAATTGTCTTATTGGTTTTATTGTTCTCAAGCCTTTCTATGCAGGGCTAACTCGTTGATTTTGCAGGTGGTCCAAATAGATTGAATCTTTTCTGGAACGGTAAAAGTCCACCTCAAACTAACCCTGGTTCTGGACTATGGAGCTTTACCGGGTGCTATACGTTAGTTGTCTACCTAATAAATGACTACCATAGGATCTGACAGATGGCAGAGAAGGTCAAACGGGCCGACTTTTAATATATCAAGTTATAGCTTCTCCCATGACGGTTGATATTTGTACAGCGGCATGTCAAGAACAAGGCTATTCATTAGCTGGAGTTGAATATGCTGATGAATGCTGTACGTATATGATAACACCACGCAAAACGTCTTCTCTTCTGGAAGCTCACCATATTTTAGGGTGTGGAAATCAATTGTCTAACGGAGGAGCTCTCGCACCGGAGGGTGTTAATGGCTGTTCTGCATTGTGTGCAGGCAACTCTTCAGAGTTTTGTGGTGGGACCAATCGACTGGATGTATATGATTTTAACAATACTGTTATTGTCACCGCGCCATTTACTACAACCACAGTTGGAACAGCACCTTCTCCCACGGGTTCCCCATCGATTCAACAAACAGTTGGTGTATATAACTACTTCGGGTGTCAGACTGAAGCTACAAGCGCTCGAGCACTTGCTTCTAAGGCTTCTGATAGTGGAAACATAACACTAGAGTCATGCGAAGCAAGCTGCATTGGTTACACCTATTTTGGAACCGAATATGGACGAGAGTGTCCGTCACCCTTCCGAAATTTTCAACAAAATAACTAACTAATAACAATGACAGGCTATTGTGGTAACACGTTTTCCGCCGGCTCTGTGTCAGCTCCAAATACAGACTGTAACTTTCCTTGTGCGGGAAATGGATCAGAATTCTGCGGTGCTTCCGGAAGATTGACCGTGTATTTGCTAAATAATACTCTAAGCTCCGCAGCTCCTCTTTCCACCTCGTCCACAGTTGTGACAGATCTTCCTACTGGATGGGTCTATAGTGGCTGCTGGGTTGATGGAGCGCAAGGTCGTGTTCTCACGTATCAGCAACCTGACAATCAGAATCTTACTGTCGAGTCTTGTGTTGCGGCATGCTCCGGACTAAATTACATTGTCGCAGGCATGGAGTATAGCTCTGAATGTTTCTGTGATAATCTTGTCGGAAATGGAGGTGTTCTTGCAATTTCACCTGCTGATTGTAACATGCCGTGCAGTGGTAATTCAAGCGAGATATGCGGTGCTGGAAATCGATTGTCCGTCTACTCCTTTGGCAATGTACAAACATCTCAGCTTGCAACTGTTCAGCAAAGGAATTTACCTGGTGATTGGAACTATAAAGGGTGCCTCGAGTCAGTTGCCTATTAATAGCTATCAGATTTCATGCAGGCTGATAGAGTAAAACTTTAGAGATAACATAGGAGGCGTTAGAACGTTCCCCTATCAAATAATCACTTCAAATAATACCGCACCAAATTGTCTTTCGCAGTGTCAAGAATTCGGCTATAATGCAGCTGGCCTCGAGTACGGCTCCCAATGCTGTAAGTCATGATTGCTTTCCCCAAATATCACGTACATTGACATAATCTTCAGTTTGTGGCGACGTGGAGAATGTTGTAACGGCTGGAGCATCATTGATGAGTGAATCTAACTGCCAGGTTGTCTGCTCTGGTAATTCTTCTACTATATGCGGCGGAGATAGTCTCTTATCTTATTACTCATGGGATGGACCGGCGCTCTACAACTGGTCATTTCCAGTGGGCCCAAGTGCTGGTGAACACTCATTCCTTATAGGTGGTGTATGCATACCATTGATGACGTCCCAAATGATTACTGGCAAGGTGACATTCGTTGAAAAGTTCGGGACGGGCGAGCCAAACTCGACAGGCGCATATGAGTTAGATCTTTCAGCAATCGATAATTTTACCCTGGCATGGAGACCAATGCATGTTAAAACTGATGTCTTTTGCTCCGCAGGACTTATTCTTCCGGATATTGCTGGGAGACAGATAGATGTGGGAGGGGTAAGAGCAAATCTTCTCAATAATTCACGAATTGTGGTGCACCCATTGTACACTTTGTTTCTGTGTAACATCTCAAGATCTCAGCTCAGCTTGTCACGCGGTTTTTTCTTACGCTACTTCTGAAACTAATATCATGATGCTGATATTTGTGAGTCTTAGTGGTCCGGTGAATCAACATACGGTGTGAGACTTTACTAGCCGGATGGATCCCTTAATCTCTGGGGAACCAATGACTGGCAAGAAAATGTGAACGAGGTGCGCCTTCTTGTTGCTCGGTGGTACCCCACGGCAATGATTATGGTGCGTCTAACTATCTCCCCGCTTTGAAGTAGCATTTACTAATACCATTACAAGGCAAGTGGCTCAATCTTGATCGTCGGTGGCGAAGAAGGATCGAATGCCCCCGCATCTCCAAGCTTAGGGTTACTCCCTCCAACGGGTGCTCCAGTTCTTAATCTAGACTTTCTTGCTCGTACAGACCCCAATAATCTGTATCCGTTCTTGGCCGTTATTCCATCAGGTATTTTTGTTGCATACTATAATGAAGCAAGAATTCTCGATGAAGTCACATTTGAGACTATCAAGACACTGCCTAACATTCCCGGTGCTGTAAATGATCCGAATGGTGGACGAAACTATCCTCTCGAGGGAGCCATGGTTTTACTACCTCAGTTTTACCCTTATACGGATTCCATCGGAGTGCTCATCTGTGGCGGTTCCACACCTGGGGGCGGCTTCGCCATCGATAATTGTGTTTCTATGCAACCTGAAGCTGAGAATGCTACTTGGGTGATTGAAAGAATGGTGAGGCTTTTTCTTTTCTTTGCACCATGATCAATTGTGCCATCTTAATGATGAGTTTGAACTGCTTTCTGGGTATGATACTAGTCGTCTCCAGATGGGAAGTTGGTTTCACGAGCACATGAAGTACAGCAAGTGTTTTCGGCAATCTTGGGCTCGAGATGATCATTACGGTGATATCGCAGCGGTTGACTAACATATTTTAGCCCTCACGTCGTGTAATGCCATGTTTGGCCTCTCTTCCAGATGGTACAACACTCATCCTGAATGGCGCACATCATGGTTTCGCCGGATTCGGACTCGGCTCAGACCCTAATTTCAACGCTGTCCTATACGACCCCCGCCTACCCATAAACTCACGCATGAGGATAATGGCCAATACGTCAGTCGCCCGTCTTTACCATTCCGAAGCAATTCTTCTTCTCGATGGACGAGTGATGGTGTCCGGATCTGATCCACAAGACAATGTTCATCCAGAAGAATATCGAGTTGAGGTATTCACGCCTCCTTATCTTCTCTCCGGTCTTCCTCGTCCAATTTTTGACATGAACAACACGGATTGGTCTTATTCGCAAATTGTTCCTTTCACGATTACTTCCAACTTTACTTCAACTGCAAATCTCAAATTTTCCATCCTTGACTCCGTCGTGAGCACGCATGGTAATTCTATGGGTCAACGAACACTTTTTCCTCAATTGGCCTGTGGATTTAATAATACTTGTACAGTTACTGCGCCTCCAGATGCACATATTTGTCCGCCAGGCTGGTATATGGTATTTGTCCTCGATGGACCCACTCCGTCTGTTGGGGCATGGGTAAGAATTGGTGGGGATCCAGCGCAATTGGGGAATTGGCCCAATGCTTCTGGTTTTGATATTCCAGGACTTTGATTTATATTTGGTACTGCAATGTTCAGTCGAAGAGATTTGTGAAGTGATGGTATATTTTTTGAAAAGCTGTTGATTTGCTTCACAGGCGGTCATTTCTATCATGAGCGATCATGTATGATTTTTGCTACATTCATTATTGCATTTGCTTTAACCTTGGCTCTTTGTCCATGAATGCCCCTTTGCTTTTCATTTTCGCCCCACACGAAATGGCGGTGTTGTGAACCTGTATATTTAATCAGGATGTGTGCCATATCATCATATGGGCCACTTTAGAAATGCATCAAAATCGAGCTTTTTTTAATATTTATATTTTAATAATTAATTAATTATTAATTATTATTTTTTGAAAGAAAAAGTTATCAAAAATCACAATTAATTTTTTTTATTTAATATTTAGGTTTTTTTTTCTAAACAATTTATTTTCGTTTGAAATTATTATACTTTATGTTACAAAACCTCTTTTTCTTTAATAACTTTAATAATAAGTAGAATTTCTAAAGAAAAAAAATTGGTTTATAGATTTTTTTTGAATGATTTTATTGGCTAGTAAAGAAAGTGCATGGCTACGTACAGACGAATTTTGTATGCAAAATGAAGTGGCCCATATAATGAAATGGTCTATATGTAATTGAAAGGAATTGTTGGTATCATTGAATCTCTCGAACCGAATTAACATTTCACATCCACATTTCTTGCGTTCGGATGAAGTACCGTACATGATTGAGATGAAGTTTAGCAAAAGCCGAGCCGGTCAAATTTCGGGTCGCTTAAAGATTTCTTTTGGATTGGATTGGCAAAGTATGGATTTCATCTTATATTCAGAGCCCAGGAACCTGAATTGGGAAGAAGTCTTCTTTCATCGCGTGCTCGTCGGGAGTGGGATGCCCCGCATTGCGGGGTACGGATCATCCCAGTAGAGCTTTCGGGGCGGGGAATCTTGGGGTTATAACTTATGATGAAATGGGATTGGGACTCCGTACTCGAATATATAATGAGTGGAGAGCATTCATGATTCTGCCTCACTTCTTCCTCTTGTTTCGTTTTGTTCTCGTTGATATGTTTGTGTGCTTATCTTAGTTTGGCTGTTGGATTCACGATATCCGGTTTGTTTCTCCGTGTCTGAAGTAGATACTTCTGGCTATTTGCCTTTCGCATTTGACGGAACGATTTTTCATCTCATAAAGGCTTTTTAGTTCCGCCAGATCCCGGCAAGATGTTCAATCCTATCTTGACCAAGCTGCTTCTTTCGTTGCCATTACTCACATTCGGAACTGTCGCAGCGAGTGCACCTCGAAGTGTCAACAATACCTCATCCCCAACGGTTAGTGTTTTAAACGGTACATACTATGGTACCTATCTTCCAACATACGATGAAGATATTTTCCTAGGTATTCCCTTCGCCCAGCCACCCGTTGGAGCACTCCGTTTCAATCCGCCTCAATCTCTCAATACCACCTGGGATACTCCGCGCAATGCCACGGAGTATTCTCCTGAGTGCATCGGCTACAGTTCCGATAATTGGGTCTTGGGAAACATCATCTCAGAAGACTGTTTAACATTAAATGTCGTGCGTCCTAGTGGTATTTCTCCAGATGCAAATCTGCCCGTAGCAGTCTGGATTCATGGAGGTGGTAATACCGCAGGTGGAGCCATGGATCCCCGATACAATCTTTCATTTATTGTTGCACAATCGGTGGAAGCTGAAACTCCTATTATTGCTGTGAGTATCCAATACCGAGTTTCTGGGTGGGGATTCCTATTCGGAAAGGAAGTTCTCGATGCCGGAAGTGCGAATCTCGGATTCAGAGATCAGAGATTGGCGCTTCATTGGGTGCAAGAGAATATTGGATTTTTCGGTGGCGATAAGAAAAAAGTTACGCTATGGGGAGAAAGTGCCGGTGCGACGGGTGTCAGTTTGCAACTGATCGCTTATGGCGGGAGAGATGATGGATTATTCAGAGGTGCTATTACCCAGAGTGGAAGTCCAGTTGCGGCCAAACGTCTGAGTATTGAGGCTTGGCAACCGGTTTATAATAATATTACCATTGCGGCGGGTTGCTCTAATGCGAGTGATACGCTTGATTGTCTGCGTACTGTGCCGACGGATCAGCTGAGCGCGATCTTTAATAGCTCCGTAACAGCGTCCGCAAGCTGGGGTATCCAGATTGACAACGACTTTGTGCAGAAATCTGCTACCGCGCAACTCCTCGCTGGAGAATTCGTCAAAGTACCTCTTCTCACCGGAAGAAACTTCGACGAGGGAACTCAGTATGCTACAAAGGAAATCAACACCACCGCTCAATTTCTAAGTATGGTTCAATCATCGGGTCTCGACAACGCCACTACAAACACAATCGCAGCATTGTATCCCGATATTCCCGCGGTGGGAATCCCAGCCGCGCTCGTGGGCCGTCCATCACCCAGCGAAGCATCCCTGGGCGTACAGTGGAAACGCTCAGCGGCTTACGCGGGAGATTTGCAACAACATGCGCCGCGACGCCTCATGACCCAATCGTGGGCAAAATACAACGTGAGCAGTTTTTCCTATCGCTGGAATGTATTGGTCAATGGAGTGAAACTCTCATACGGCGCTACCCATTTCCAAGAGGTAGCGTTTGTGTTTAACAATACTGGAGGAGTCGGATACGAGACTGTTGTTTCCCAAAATCCGTTCGAGGGCGAACCGGAAACGTTTGATCAGTTGGCGGTTATGATGAGTGGCATGTGGATTAGTTTTATTGTGCACGGGGATCCGAATACAGGGAAACTGAGTAATGTTTCTTGGCCGAAATATTCGCTTGAGGATCCGAAGAATTTCGTCTTTGATGTTAATAAGACGGGTTTGGCGTATGTGGAGCCGGATTATTATAGGGCGGCCGAGATTCAGTATATTTCAGAGCGTCTTGTTACGGGGTATGGAAGATAGATGGGGAGGGGATGAGTTCGGATTTCGAATGTGGGGCTGGCTGTTTGTGGGCTTGGAATCGAGAGTTAAGATAATAGTGCGTCGATGCCAGCTTGAGATGGTCAGCTTGAGCCTTGAGAGGAGATGTAAGAAGTTATAGAGATGGCCTCCTGGGATTGAATCGGTTGTATGATAGTAGTTACTTCATGACCTAATGCTAGAACACAAAATGTAATGATTTTATAAAGCTGCATAAGATGATGTCGAAGAGCTAATATTTGTATCTCGCATCCGAAAACGTGAATTGATTGATATAATCGTCTTCTTTCCTCGGTGCAAGCTACAAACTCTCCGTCCCATTTTTTAAATTCTCGGTTGGCATCCGGACTCGAAGAAGGGAGCATCGGGTACTATTAAATGACTTTTCATTTCTGATCATCGAAGTATCCAGTAATCTATCCAAAAGGCGAGACCAGACAATCTTTCCAATACGCAAACCCGAGGGAAATATCTAAGTAGTAACAGTAATAATCGCAACACCATAAGCAGCAACATTGAAAGTCCATCCCGCAGCCACACTTCCACTCACCGTACTTGTAACCGGCTGCAAAGTAACATTCAACGGATAATTGCTCGCACCAGGGGGGCCCGTCAAAGAAACCAATTTAGCACTCGAACTAGCACCTGATGCGCCGGGAATATCCACCGTAACATTGTGAGTCGCAGTACCATAATTGGCAATCTTAACATAGTATGTTCCAGCGGACGTACTACTTGCGACCCAATACAGAGGACCAAACCCAACATCAGAAGTAACGGGAAGAATCGTTTCGCCACGATGAATAGAGAACATTTGTTGAACGTAATAACTTGCGCTGCCGGTGAGAGATCCAGGATCGGCATTCAGACCAGCGAGATCAGGTGACCATTCGGCCATGTCGAAATGTTCAAATAGAGGAGCGTATGAAGCCATCTTGACGATATCGGAGTTTCGTTCCATGCCGATCATATAGACTGCTTCGGAAACTGCGCCTTGGATTGTTGACCAGTAGGTAGTAGCGCCACTATTGTCAGTTGTGCTGGCGTATTCACCGACAAAAATCCCTGGGCCGTCACGAGGTTTATTGTCGAACTCGTTGAAAAGGGAAACAAATCCATTTGGCGAGAGGTAGTGATGAGTATCAGTCCAAACACCGGCTGGAATTGGATCTGGAAGACAAGATGCTTGGGATGTTGAGGCTATGACTGTGATATCAGGGTAAGCCGCATGAATTGCGTTGTAGATATCTGTGAATCGTGAAGCGTATGTACTGCAACCTGCGCTTAGATTGTCCTCGTTCCCGACCTCAATAAAGGGAATATTATATGGTGCAGCATGGCCGTAAGATTCACGAAGTGCACCCCATGTCGTTGATGTAGATCCAAGAAGGAATTCAAGCTCATCCAGGATGTCATCGACATAGGGTGTAAGAGCTGCACCGGATACAACGCCACCTCCTTCGAGGGAAAGACCTGACCAGACGGCTAATACTGGTATCATATTTGTATCCGAGATGAATTGAAGATATTCCATCAACCCTGAGAGATTGTCAGTTAAGCAATGCTGACTCGACCAGAAGACAAAATACCTAAAGCATCTGTATTTGGATAACCCCAATCACCTTGCCTTCCTGGTCGATTTTGAACTGGACCAATGGTTTCATTCCATTTCCATCTGTTACCTGGCGACGAACCTTCTCTGTTCAATGTTAGCTTATAGATTTAGATGTTTTCCATTTGAGACTTTTATCTTACATGTTGTTTCCACCTGGAAAGCGGAAGAAAGAAGGTTCGAGTGCCTGAAGAAAGGATCCCACATCATTTCTGATACCGTTGTAACTGCAAGAAGTCAATATCACTCCACAACCATATGTATTAATTTTATCATACCGCTGGTGAAATGTGACTGGAAAAAGTTGAGGTAGACCAAAGTTTAGCGCACTGCCGGCAACTTTAGCTCCATCAAATGTTAATTTCCAAACATTATTACCATCTGGAGCCTGTGTGGAGTGGTATGTAGTCTCATAGTAAGTGAAAGAAGTGGCCACACTATTGACTGTGATGGTCTTGGTAGCATATACTTTTCCACTTGCGACACCGACAAGAGATAATGTAACTGATCCAGAGTATGAACCCTTCATCCAGAAGTAGTTTGCATAAGTATCGTCATTCACAGGGACACCAAGGTATCCAGCATTCGAAAAGCCAACTTGTCCAGTTGTTCCAGATGGAACGGAAACTCTCAAGGATCTTGGGAGCGCTGAGGTGAGAGGATTGGCAGTGTCAACTGTGAGATTTGTGCCACCAACAGCAGCATAAGCTGTTAATCCAGGATTTGTTCCTTGGAATCCATTGTTTCGTAGCAACTGACCATGTATACCGCCATCACCTATAGAATTTTAGCTTAAATAACACAGTCTTCGTCATCTTGGAAATATACCGGAGTTATTTATATCCTGGAAATCAGTTAGCTCAAAGTTTTCTCCGTAATTTGGGTAGGATCTTCGAGAGTAGCAGACAGGAGATCACAAATGAAATTGCTGAAATCTTGGATAAAGCTGAATATAGAAAAAGAGATGAATATTAAAGGCGTCTTTGAATCGAGCCTGAGGGTTTCTTGTTGCCAGACTGCAGTCCGGTTTGCTAGATTGCTTGAATTTGAACAGCTTACCTCAAACATGAGACCGTAAAGAATAGGGCTGGATGCATTGCCACCAGTTGTGGATACTGTGAGAGTAGCAGCATCTACTGAATGAAAGACCAAGAGAAAAGCGACTGCTAGAGCCCTAGACAGGCTTTTGAAGCCCATGATTGATGAAGATATATTTTCCAATGATTGGACAATCCGACATTTTGTGGAAGGGATGTATATATATAAAGATGAATCAAAGACCTACTAACATTTCCCCTCACTTACTGTGATAGTTTTTCCGACAAGTACACCAAAAAAGGTGGGTAATTGGCAACCTGGCCCTATGTCATTCAAGGATGTTATCATCAATTTGCTTTTGATGCCAATCACAAACTCGATGATGATATATATGCAGATTCTGCAATCCACGGTGTTTATTTAATCTTATTCGAAGTGACACCTAGTAGTATGGGAGTGTGGTGTTCATTGGAGCGCAAGAACGATTCGATCTTCGTCAGAGCTATTGCAATACAACTAGCATTAAACTTGGCATCAAACTTTGAACTGCCGGGCGCGGAAGTAGATTTTACCCCTCATGGAGTAATCGAGATTTGTAAATAAAAAAGATACGTGTGATGCCAATTTTAGATCGGGTTGTCTTGTCTCGGGTCTTGGTACCTGTGGAACGCACTTGAATGGCTCGCATACCCCGCCTAGCTGCTCAGGCCTGTACCTGCCTACAATATGAGAGATCTTGGTTCAATGTTGATTCAACGTTCAATCAAAAATCCAAAGTAGGTCGGTTCTCTTGGAAGATACCTGTACCCATGCTGTTCTAATTCTCCGCAACATGAATAATGAATATCTTCGAAAATTCTCAGTAGTTCCAGCAACAATCTTCAGAATTCGTGACTGCACGAACACAATATACACCGACCAAAAAACGACGACTGTCAACATCAAAAATAGAAGAATAATTGGGTCCTTGAAAGCTACCCCGCACAGCTGTATGTCGCTGCTAAATATTAATTGAGCGAACATGCTTTATCTGGGGTCAAACCTGCAGTTCTAACTTTTCCATGCGCCGTCCTGGTCCTTACGAGGAGATGCAATTTAGTTGCATGTGAGATGATGCCCCAAATGGAAGGTAGAATTCATCCGGTTGACAACATATCTCGGCAATCAGATAACCTTCTTCCACGAATATCCCGAGATCTGAGTGTTGTTCATCACTTGACTTGTCTCGGCTCTTTATGATTCCGCGGTTGGAACTTTCAGGAGATGTTCTCTTCCCTCCCTTCAAGAGTATCCACAACTTGTGCAGACCGTACTTTCGACAGGACTGCAAGCTCTTTCTATTAGGAGCAGGAAAAGAGTTCTTTGACGTTAGTATTTGCGCCGTGCATAGCGATGCGGTGCGATTCTTCATGACATTGACAATATTGAATTCAATGACTGAAAGATTTGGTGGTGCCAAATTCCAAACTGACTTTTTTCAAAGTAGGAATGGTTAAGGAATGCTATGGATCTAATGTTTGTTATATCTCGATCCACTAAAATCGCACTATGCATGCGGCAACTCTGCGGCCGCCGCTCCCTTTGCTTGCTCATATACCAACCAATTCCGACATGTACTGACAAATGCTTAACCATCCAATTCCATCAATTCTTGCAAAAGGTTTCACATGATCAAAATGATCGCATAATCAAACTTTATATCCACAAAGCGTAGGAATATTCTCTGAGAATATTCCTGCGCAGAAGGGAACACGTAAGGAGAAACGGGTCTGTGATGCTCGTATGAGTGGATCGCCTGGGATGCTTTCCCCCTTGATTTTGGAGTCCGAAGACAAGGTTGAGGTGAAGCAGCCTGGATTTTTGGACTCTCCATGTACAATTGGACAGCAACTAGAATCTCAAGGTTGGGCACCTGCACACGGATTCCGGACATTTCAAATCATCGGAAATCCGTAATTGATGGCAGGTATATAAGAGTTGGTGTTGCTATTACATGTTTAATTCGCAGTCCATGTCCGCTTTCTTTTCTGAATCTTTCATTAAGAATCACCTCTTACATATCACATATCACGAAAATCCGAAAGAGATCTTTAAATTATGGCTACTCTGGAACAGCAATTCGAGGCAGCAACCTCAGCTCGAGAGATCCCTGGTGTTGTCCTTCTTGCCAGTAATGCCGATGGTAAGACTCTTTTCCTTCGCATATTCATCCATCTCAAACGCTCTAGAATACTGAAAAGTAGTAGGAACGTTCAAATACGAAAAGGCAATTGGCCCTGCAACTCCAAACTCTCAAATTGAGCTTGACTCGACTTTTGTCTTGGCATCATGCACGAAGCTAGTAACTTCTATCGCGGGTTTGCGGTGCGTAGAACAGGGACAGATTGGTCTTGACGATGATCTGTCTCCCGTCTTGACAGAGTTCAAAGACATCCAAATCATTGAGGGCTTTGAAACTGGAGCAGATGGAAAGGAAATTCCCATTCTCAAGCCAGCTAAGAACAAGATCACTTTAAGGTAGGCGGCACGATGTATAGACACCCATAAATTCAAAGTCATTGACAAAAAACATATAGACATTTGCTTTCGCATACATCGGGAGTCGGCTACGATAGTGTTGCACCAGAGCTCGTCAGATTCCGCGCCTCTCAGGGTATCAACTCCGTTCATACTCATAACACCGATATGTTAAAGACTATCACTCTCCCACTTTTGTTCGAGCCCGGTACATCTTGGGCTTACGGTTACAGTCTCGAATGGGTATCTCTTCTTGTGACTCGTCTCAATAACGGCCAATCATTGGAAGACTACGCTCAAACCCACATTTTCAACCCCCTCAATATTAATGACATAACATTCCATCGTGACCGCAACCCACATGTTCAAGAAAAACTCGTGAAAATGACTCTTCGTAGTGGATTAGATAATTCCACATCAGTCTTCCCGTTGCCAGGCAAAGGCAACGGGAAAATAGAATGGACTGATGAACTTCTGTGTATCATTGAACAAAGAGATTGTTTTGGAGGCCATGGACTTGCCGGATCCGCAAGTTCGTATCTCAAAATCCTGACATCTCTTCTGCGCGACGATGAGATTCTACTCAAGAAGTCCACCACGGCGGAAATGTTCAAACCGCAGATCTCAGAAAATGCGGTAAAGAATATGTGTGATAATTTTGTGGCCGCAGATTTCCTCCAGGGAACATTTTCTAGTCAACCCCCGGGGCGAAAATTGAACCATGGACTGGGTGGATTACTCATAGAAGAAGACGTCGAGGGAAGCAAGAAGAAAGGTACCTTGACTTGGAGTGGTATGCCGAATTTGTTGTGGAGTATCGATAAACAGACGGGGTTGGCTTGTCTCTATGCTAGCAACATATTGCCTTTTGGGGATCCAAAGAGTCATGAGATGCAACAGCTGTTTGAGAAAGAGATGTATAAGAGATTTGGCGAGTTTCAAAAGACGTTGAAGTGAGGTGGGTCAAGGATTTGCTTTAGATTCTCGCTTGTATCTTCGTTTGGTGTTTGAGTATCTGGTCCTCCTTATCCAATCCGTACAAATCACTGCTTCAGGTTCTCGAATGCGTTTTCGTTGTGTTTTCGAATTTCTAGTTCCTATTATCCAATCTGCTGGAAATCATTGAATACCTGTATACTCATGCATCTCTTTCGATAACATGCATCCGAGATTACTCAAAGTTTGTACGCTCTTCATGGGCCATTCGCCGTTATACACAAACATTTGCCGAAAAAATATGAAAGCTAGAGTCGTGACGTGCGAGTCCGACACAACTAAAGAAATCCAGACCCTAAGGGTGAAAACTTCAATCAAGAGACTTGCTCCAAAAACCATCACTTTTCTCCTCCAATTCTTCTCCAATTCTCCCCCCAACAATCCTCACAAAGCATCCCCCCTCCCCACCACCCTCACCGTACCCAACAATCCAATCACCTTCCTTACTCTCTAACCCCACTACCTTCCCCAAAAGATGCCAGCCCACCACCTATCCCACAAAGACCTACTCCCTAACGCACCTCATCCGATTCAGATCCGACGACATAAATCTGCGGCTCCAAAAACTCTTTCATAAGTCTCACCCGCCAAACCACCACCCCTCATTTCATTCTCATCCTGTTCCCATCCCCGTGTCCCCAAATACAGAAACAGAAACCAAAGGGCGCGCCAAGCCTCATCCTCATCATCACCACTTAATCCCCGATCTCCCAGAAACTTTGGCTGCAAATATATATCTCTATTCAAAAACAACTGGTGAATATCGATTTCCAGATACGAGATTTGAACTCTGGCGAGGAATGTGATGATTAAGTGTGTCCAGGGCTGTGATTTTCCGCGTTAGCATGAAGTAAGTTATGTATGTATCAGAATATCAAGTGCACGGTTATTGCTTGTTATTATCATGACTCACACTGGGGGGTGAATAAATGGTAGCCGATACCTGCTGCCCGGCCTAATTTGTCCATCTTCGACATCTTATTGCGCAGCAAGATTTCACCCCTGCCGGATATCCCATTGAGATTCGCGAAACTGTATCTGATCTATACAGCAACATTTCCCAAAACTCCGATGCCATTTCCCCTCGTTTAGAATTGCGAGAATTCTCAAAACTCATCTGCGGGTGATGAACGAAGAAAATGCATTTAAAAAAGAATAATGACTTGAATCATGCGATATCAGTGCCTCTAATGGCCCACGACTCCATCTATCCTTCCAATGACTTTCCAGAGAAGTCACCATCCGAAAACGACTTCCCGGTCAACAAACGAGACAATGATATTGACACCGAGCAAGCCTACCCCATAACACGTACCGAGATAGAAGCTCCTCCAGACGACGGTTACGGCTGGATCTACGTACTCTGTGTATTTTTGATCAATGCCCACATGTGGGGAATCAATAGCGTAAGACCTCTTCGTCTTCAGACAACGCTCCATTTACTGATTCAATATCATAATAACCAGTCCTACGGAATCTTTCCCGCTCACTACCTAGAAACCAACACATTCCCAGGAGCCAGCGATTTAGATTTCGCATTTGTAGGCGGTCTTTCCCTCAGCATGGCCCAATTTATCGCGCCCGTTGCCACAATCACCACGCGAGAATGGGGGGCTCGGACCACCTTAACAATAGGAATTATATTGCAAACCGCAGCATTATTAGGCGCGTCATGGTCGACTGAAATTTGGCAGTTATTTTTGAGCCAGGGCGTGTGTTTTGGTTTTGAGATGGGAATGCAGTTTAGTGCTACTGTTGGTATGATCCCTCAGTGGTCTGATCGTCGGCGCTCTCTTGCAAATGGTATTTGGACGACGCGGTCGGGAATTAGAGGGCTCATACATTCGTTGGCTTCCAGCGCGCTCATTCAGAGATGGGGTACTGGTTGGGCGTGTCGAGTTCTGGCTATAGCATCAGCTTTTTCGTGTGGCTTTTCAACTATCATCATAAAAGATCGAAACAAGGCCATTGGAGCTGTTCAAATAGCCTCTCATACCAGTCTTCTGAAAAGACCAGAGTTTTTACTCACTTTATCCTGGGGCAGTTTGAGCGTCTTGGGTTATGTGGCTCTTGTTTCTCAATACCCGCCTACGCAAACACGGTGGGCCTTACCGTATCTCAAGGGTCGATTCTTGGTGCTATGTTTAATCTTGGAGGAGGCCTTGGCGGACCCGTTATAGGGTACGTTGGCGATGACGTTGGATGAAATAACTCCGCACTTGTTTGTACATTCTTGGCCGGTCTTTTTTCTCTTGTAGTCTGGATCTTTGCCAAAAGTTTTGGAGTACTGATCTTCTATGCTTTGATTGGTGGTGCTGTTTCTGCAACCTTTACCACTACCGTTGCTTCGGTGACCGCTGAAGTTGTGGGGTTACAACTCTTACCATCTGCTCTGTCCATATTCTAGGTTTCGGTGGTCATGCCGAGCACATTTACCGAGCCAATTGCACTTTGGTTGCGAACCAACAATGGAACGAATTTTCTGCGTGCCCAGATATCCACTGGCTTTATGTATATGGGAGCAACAGTTTCCCTTTGGCTTGTGCGAGCATGGAAGATATCAGAGTTGCAAAAGACTGGCATGATGATGCTGTCAATCATGAAGCCAAGGTCAAGGAGCAAAAATTCTGTGCCTCGAGACCCCATGGTGGCCCAGAAAGTGAGCAGAGTTACTAGCGTGATAAGCAAGGCAAAGTCTGCGAAGAACTTGTTCAAAATGGTAAAAGTATAAATCTTGGTGAATTTGAGAAGATACCATGGTATAAAATTTGGAAACGATCTATTCATATAAAGGCTTGAAAATCTACCAGATAAGAATTTCGTGAATGTCCACTCATTCATTACCTCGATCTATTTTTCCTGCGGATATTGACGAGGGTCCTTGAACCCTCTACTATCAACATGATGAAAGAGAGCAAAAGAGACTATCTCGCCAATAAAAGGAGAACATACCACTATGAATAGTGTTGTGTATCTCGATGATGTATGGTTTCGACAACGTACGAATATCGCTTGTACAACTGTAAATACAATTCTAGTCGACATGGTTCCTGGGGATTACCAAAAAACCTGAGAATGGTCAAGATCTGTACGGTGAAACAACGATCTAAAGCGAATGTGGGCAATGAATTGGGAGTTATAGAGATTTTGAGCATGTTGAGAAGCTTCCTTATCGGCGCTGGCCGGACGAGAAGAGCCTCTTTAACCAGTTCATCTGTCATTCGTAATACAGATTATAGCAAGAGCTAGACGTTTTCTTGATATAGGAAAGATTAAAATCTGGGATCAACCAATCGCGTGTGCGAATAAAATTCACGAACGATTTCGCTCACTAAAATTCACGAAATTTTATGTGATTTTATGTTCTATGAGTAAAGAAACTTTACGTCACTCTTGTTTCCCCAAAGGACTGAGCAGCCAACTCAATTCCTCCGCTTTTTCGGAAGTCACAAGTTCTTTCAATCCCTCGGGAGATAAAAAATCATGATCACAATACTCAAACCCAGGAACAACAGTCTCGCTGATCAAAAGCCCATCACTGGCTTGGCCACCTTGGACATCTGGTAACAAGTAGGATGCCTTGTATTTCCCACCATCTACAATCCATTGTAACTTTTCGCCAGCAGCAACATTCTGGCCAACAATGAATGTCTCGATCCTCTTTTCCGAACCCTCTTCATCAGCGTGTATCAAAACATATCTGCCTCGGCCTTTGTGTAGTGTATGAACCGTTCTCCCCTTATTCCGATGAAAGCCACCTTGCGGACCATGCGGCGTAAGCAGATAGAAGATACTAGTCGATGAATTTCGCACGGTGGGATCAAAGCCAGGTCTTTGGGGCGCAAGATCTGTAGTGGAGGATTTATCGGAGCCGAATGGTGAGGGAATGACGTCTGGGGCACGATCTGTTTCGGCAAAGAAGCCGCCCTCGATGTGTGGGAGAAGATTGAGTGCTTTGATGACTTCTTGAATTTGTGGGGATGAGTCGGGTTCCGAGGAAGGATAAAAGCTAGGCTTTAAAAGTTGATAAGTTGAACCCATTGTGAAGAGATATGAATGCTAGAAGTCAAATAGTGTTATTGTTATGTATTAGGGACTGTAAATACCTAAGGAACAACGACGATTCGAGGGGAATTGAGGGGAATTGAGGGAACTGAGGGGTTTTGATCGCCCCTCTCCCTTTCCCGTAGATTCTTCCATTGGGCATAAGGTTAGTGGACCGTGATGAAAAGTAAGCACTATGTCATTGGAGATCGCCGATATTGATAATCGCGTAATAAGTGACAAGATTTCATTCTTATCTCGGCCCTCGACTCATGAAGCGCCAGTAAGCAAGATTTACCACCATGCTGACATGATTGGATTGCATAGCCGTTAGATTACTTTCATCCGTTGCATCGCATGTTGGAATTCTGCGGATGAATCTAACCGGAATGAGATGGATGATCAACAGATGGAAATCATAATTTCGGGTCGAGGAAATATTGATTTTCGATAGTTAACTATATCTTATTACCCAATCCTTACAGACGTATATATTTGAGGGAAAAAACATAGGTAGGTAGGTAGGTAGTAAAGGGCCGTAGTAAGAGTGTGATGATGGTTTGTGAAATTCAATAAGAAGAAAGCTTCCAACCCATGAAGGATGAAGGATTTATGAGTGTGACAGGACTCCTGTATTAAGCTTTTCCATCCTTTTGGAAATCAAATCGAACGATGATTTGTCGACTTTATGATTGCTGCATACCTACCTAGTACCTAGTCAATACCTACTGGGGGGGGAGTGCTAGGTTACGGTTGTCTCGTAGTCCATAGAGAAGCCGTGAATTGATGTCTTTGACGACAGAATGCCAATATCAGGCAATAAGGCATCCCAAAACTCACAGAGTACCTGAAAAGTCCCATGCTCGAGCCATGTTGGTTGCAGATTGGTTGCAGACCCCCCCCAGGAGATATTATTAGGAACAATAGTTACTTTTAACTAGTTAATGGATTTCCATCTTTCCATCTTTCCATATTTCTGTATTTCTGACAAATGAGGACCTTCATCCGAAGCTCTGACTTTCTTCTTGGTCTATCTAATTCTCTCGCTCAATCAAACTCACTCAACTCCCTCACTATTCTGTCTGTTTCCCTTTTCCCATCCATCTACCACCTACCCAGTACGAAGTAGTCATTTATTCTCCTTTCTCCAATCTTTCCATCTCTTCCAAAGCTTCTCATACGATACGTTCTCCAATTCTCCATAACTCATCTCATCATCTCATACCTTATTTCCCAACTCTCCACTTCTGCTGCTTTCATCCACTTTAGCAGCCGGCATTGCGTGAAACTAAATAAGAAACACGACCTTAATCAGCCATTTTTCCTCATTTAACGATTTCACGACGGGAGGAAAAAGCAACTCACGACTTCTTGTACATTCAACTGTATGTCTTTGTATAAACCTGTAATTATACCGAAGAAGTACATTCTCCATTTGTCGAGATAACTTTCCTTGACCAACCAACTACTTACTTCAATTCAATTCAATTCAATCTCATTCTGTCCATTTCTCCCTCGACTTGACATCCAATACAACTTTATTAATAATTACTTTCTTGCAATCATATCATGTCGGGAATTTTAAGCAAGCGACAGCTTGCGCGGAATGAGCAGGCGCTTCAGGAACTTGTGAAATTGCCAGGAAACAATGTTTGCGCAGACTGCCAGGCCAGGAATCCAGGTAAGCATCCAAGATCTATATTGGCCTCAACATGCACTAATTCAAAGATGTAGGATGGGCAAGTTGGAGTGTAAGTCAATATCGATCACTGGCGCACGATTCGTTGAACGAAGAGTAATTACGTTCCGACAACAACTGACTCTGAAATAGCTGGGAATATTCTTATGCATGCGTTGCGCGGCCTTACACCGAAAGCTGGGAACACATATTACAAAGGTTAAATCATTGAGTATGGATTCATGGTCGAAAGATCAAGTAGATGTGCGTTGACAAGTAATCTATCTTGGTATATTTCTAATGGTTTGATAGCATATGAAGAAGACTGGAAATGTCGCGTCAAATCGAATCTACAATCCTAAAAATACTCGACCTCCGATTCCCATTGACGCCGATGAAGCAGATTCGGCCATGGAACGATTTATACGACAGAAATATGCCAACGGACCGCCAGCCCAGAGACGGAATAATACTGGTAGTTCGAGCTCAGACGATCATCCTCCACCGCTACCTCCCAAAAATGGGACCAAATTCGGCTTCAGATCGGCTTCTTCGATTTTCCCCCTATCCTCAAAGGCGAAAAAAGACAATGCAGATGCGCAGGCAGAATTTGATGACTATAGCCAAGCGCCATCGCCTCCGAGAAAGAATAAGCATTCAAGAATATTTGGAACTTCCCTTGACGCAACGGATGATCTCGAGTCGAAGTTGGTGAAGTTGCGAGACATGGGGTTCAGGGACGAGAAGAGAAATACGGCCGTGCTAAAAGGCTTGGGTGGAAATTTGGAGAAAGCTATTGAAACTCTAGTTCGACTGGGCGAAGGTGGTTCCAGTGCAAGAACGGCATCGTCTATAAATTCTTCTGGGCCGCGAACCCCAGCTAGTCCACCCGGTCTATCATTTGAGCGACCTCGAGCAACTAGTCCCAGTATATCATCGGCCTCAAACAACCCATTTGATAGACTTGATAATCCAGTATTTCTTCAGACACAGTCTACACAATCTACTGGTTCAATGGCACATGGGCAAAATCAGATAATGGAAGGAAATCCATATCAAAATATTGCGAGCACAAATCCATTCGGATTAATGCCGTCACAGTCACAACTCAATCTTAGCCAAGCCTTTCAAAACATGTCAGTGTCTTCGTCACAGCCTCTTTTCCCTCACCACACAGGGGGGCTTCCTGGTTCTCAACCCCCACCAGTGCAACAATTATATCAGCAATCTATGACACCCCCTGTTCCATCCTTACCACAACACCATTATGCTCCAGTCACATACGAAAATCCAGGTCAACAGCCTCAATCACAGCAAATGGATCGAAATAACTTGAACACTAATCCATTCATGCAACAAGCATCACCGCAACCGGTCGTCAATACAAATCTTCAGTCGAACCCCTATATGCAACAATCGGTGATGAAACAACCTCTATTCGCAAGTCCAGTCACTCAAACACCACAACAGCAGTATCCTTCCGGGAGCTACAACATGGGAATGCAGAATCCTCCACAGCAAATGAATCCTTTCTTTAACCAGGCGAGTCAACAACAACAACAACAAGCACAACAACAGCAGGCACAACAACAGCAACAACAAAGGTCGCAATTGCAGTATGGATACCAGCAACAACAGCAACCGCAATCACAATACCAACAGCCTCAAGTCCAACCCCAGCAAGCTCAGTATGATCAATATAGACAGCAAACCTACCCTATGATGCCACAGCAGACTGGTCGATTAGTTGATAAGCGCAGTATTTTGGATCTTTACAATTATCCTCAATTAGCGCCTACTCAGATTCAGCAACAGCAACAACCAGAACCTATGCAACACCAGGCACCTCAAGTCGTAGAAATGCCCCAGCCCAATGGACAAATGCCAGGCGGCAGTAATAACCCCTTCATGTCCAACGTAGCGGCAGCACCGACTTCGGCCAACGGATCTGGTAGGCAAATCAGTCGGGAGAGTATGATGATAGATGCAGGGAGTTGGCAAAATGGAAGACATAGTCCAGATGCATGGGGACAAATTAGTGGGAGGCGGTAAATAGAGGAGAAACGTAACTTTTATAGCGAGAATAAATCATTCTTGACCTAGGAACAAGTTATCAAGAAACCATGAAATGAAATCCGAACACCGCAGTAAAAGACGATTCTTTTCCAAGACGATATATCATGTGTAGTCTTCGTGCTATTGTATTTTCTTCCCGCATGTCAGCAAATACGGTGAAAGCTTGCTAACAAATGAAACCTCCGGATCTCACGTAAAAAGGCTAGGCGGCTCCTCTACCCCGCCTCCAGCCCCGCAAAATGCACACGGCTTCTAGAAACTTGGTTTTCGTGGGCCATTATTCGATTTTTACGGGTTCCTAAACCTCTTTGTTCGATATGCAGAGGAGAGAAATGATGGTTTTTACTAATGAACCAATGGAGACTTGAAACTTTTGATAATGATTGGTCCTATGGGAGGCACGTCATCATGAGCTTGAAAAAAGGCTTTTATATATTTGGTTGAATGTCGCGGCTTTCAACACTTCATCTCTACTCCGTATGAATTCAAGACTGATATTCTCCCATTGAACCCCAATTGATAACCCGCATATCTCATCATGAGCTTCAATACGGTAACGTCAATACTTCTTTGTTTCCTCGGAAACATATGGCTGCTCCCTTTGAGTGTATCTGGTACCACAGACTTCTCTGTAAATGCGGGATTGTCGACCTGGAATCAAAGTGATTGGTCCTTGACTACTACTACATATATTCCGGGACAATATCAATCCAGATTGTCTCTTGCCAATGGGTATATTGGTGCTTCTCTTGCAGCAGCAGGTATGACGACTAATTGAGAGAATCTGCTATTAGTTCTTATTTATAACTGTCCTCCAGGTCCATTCTTTGAAAAAGATGTCAATCAAACAGATGCAAATGGTATATTACCTTCCAACGGGTGGCCATTATTCGACGATAGAATTTCCTTCTCTACCATTTCCGGATTCTATGATGTAGAACCAGCGAAAGTCCCTCCTCAAGGGACTAATTATCCTTGGTTGAACCAGTATGGCTGGGAGTCCTTCATCAGTGGAATTCCACATCCAACGGGGATTATTTTCTCCTTCGGATCTAATTTCCTGGATGCAACGGCTAGCAACACCTCAATATCAAATTTTACTTCCAAAATTTCATTCCGGACTGGTGTGGCGGAATGGAACTATATATGGTCCCCAAATCAGAATTCTACCTTTAATGTTTCGTATGCTGCATTTTTCAGTAGGGAAAGACCGAATGTCGTGGCCGTCAAATCTACTATCATCTCCTCCACAGATTCCGAAGGGCAGGTTACAGACTTGCTAGATGGTCAAAGTGCCCTTCGATCCACTCTATCTTCCAAAGGATTAGATGATAATGGGACCACCATTTATTCAGCAGTAAATCCTAATAATCTTCCGGATATCACAGGATTTGTTGTTTCTGGTGTCAACTTTACGAACAATTACACAGATACTTCCTCGAGAAGCAATGCCAGTGGAGCATACGTAAGCTCGGCAAATGATACAACAATTGGACAATCTTTCAACATTAGCCTGAAAGCTGGAGAAACTGCCGTTTTCTACAAGTATGTCGGAATAGCTTCGACAGATAAATTTAGCGATGCTGAAAGTGCAGCTCGAGAAGCTCAAAGGTCAGCACAGGAGTCTGGATGGGACACCCTACTAGCGGAACATATTGCAGCTTGGGCCACGATCCTGACAGCAGACTCCGTCGACGATTTCGCAGATCCAGTCACAGGAGAATTACCAGATGATCCCAACGTTCAGGCACTCCACATTGCTTCAGTTGCAAATACCTATTATCTTCTCCAAAATTTACAACCCGATGGGAGCGGGTTGAATGATAACAGCATTTCAGTTGGAGGATTATATTCCGACTCGTATGCTGGCTTGGTATTTTGGGATGCTGATTATTGGATGGCACCCGGGCTCAACCTGGCATTTCCAGAATGGAGTAAGCAAATTAGCAATTTCCGAATTAAGCAGCACAATCAATCTTTGGCAAATGCAGCATTCAACAACTATCCCAATGGAAGCTCGCTTTACTCTTGGACTACTGGAAGATACGGAAATTGTACGGGTACAGGTCCTTGCGTCGACTATGAATATCATCTCAACTATGACATCGCGTTCAATTTGATGCAGGAATACAATATCACTAATAACAAGACTTGGTTCGATAATGGACCTAAACAAATTATTGAGAGTACTGCTATTATGACAGGGCATTTACTGATGTATAACGAAACCACACAATCATATTGGATATACAATATGACTGATCCAGATGAATATGCTAACAACAAGGACAACGGAGCATTTACTGTAGCTTCTGCTGCGACTCTTTTAGAATTGGCAAACGATTTGAGAATTTCTCAGGGCTTAGAAGCCAATTCAACTTGGCAACAGCAACAACAAAATATTGAATTTCCATCTGCAGCCTCCAACATCACATTAGAATATCAAACGATGAACAATAGTGTTGCTGTCAAACAAGCTGACGTGGTTTTATTGACTTACCCCTTGGATTTCAATCAAAATTATACTGAAGCAGATAAATTATTAGACTTAGATTATGTATGTATCCTTCCCCTTTTGTTAATTGTGATCTTACTTACATGAACTCAAGTATGCAAATAAGCAATCGCCTGACGGACCGGCTATGACTTATTCTATTTTTGCTATTGATGCAAACGCTTTGTCTCAATCTGGGTGCTCTGCGTACACTTACACTTTGAATGGGTTTCTTCCATATCTCCGAGCACCCTGGTTTCAATTTTCGGAGCAAGCTGTTGACGATGTCACATTGAATGGAGGAACTAACCCAGCATTTCCATTTTTGACTGGGCACGGAGGAGCCGATCAGGTCGTACCCTTTGGTTATCTAGGTATTCGAACAGACCAACCAACTCTCTTTTTTAACCCTTCACTTCCTCCTCAGATCTCCCACATCAAAGTTCGCACCTTTCACTATGCGGGAGCAACTCTCTCGGCTAGCATGAACACTACCCACACAAACATCACTCGTTTCCCTTCTACCAAACTTAGCGATCTTTACCAAAACACTACGCTCCCCTTTGTGGTCGGAACACCCGGTTCTGCCGCCTCGAATACAACATCCTACAGCATTGCGATAAATGAAACCCTCACTATTCCCAACCGTCTCTACTTCCAAAAATTGACCAAACCTAACAATCTCCTCCAATGCTTGCCCGTAACCTCCAATGACCCATACTCAGCCGGACAATTCCCCGTCGCAGCAATCGACGGCGCATCATCAACTTCCTGGCAACCATCCACAAATGAATCCTCTTCCCTTCTCATAAACAGTACTTCCATCTCTGCATCCCCTATCTGGAGCATCTACTTTAACTGGGGTCTTCGACCTCCCCTCCGCGCCTCCATCTTTTTCGGAAACGAAACTACAGATGAAGGTCAGATATTTGGAAACGAATGGTCAATTGATATCGAGGATATCTCTCCAAGTCTTCCATATGCGCCGAGTAATGCAACGCAAACTTCGAATACGGAAAGTGTGGTTCCGGTGGTGGGAAATGAAACGAGGTTGGTGGTAGAGGGTGGCGCGTGGAGTGGGAAGTATGTGAGGTTGGTGGTGGAGGGGTGTTGGGAAAACGATGGGAAGGGCGCGACGGTGGGGGAGTTTGTTGTTGTGGGAGGTTAGAGGGGGGGTTGGATTGAATAATAGGCTTATACAAGTGATATGATATGATGTAATGAATGAGATATCTTGATAATGCCCACGATCTTGCTGAGAACTTGCTACCTTGTGGTGACGGAGATCTATTTATGAGGGGTGTGACCTGATTCTAAGAAGAGTAATCTCTAAAACTTTATTTCAGTTAGCTGAATGCGTGATCTCAAGCGTGATTTTATTTCTACGAGATGAGAGATGATCGAAAAAGATTCTACTTTCACAAGATTCGATCAAGAACAAGATAATCACCGCCGCAAACTCAGCATTTAGACCACCCTTCCTGAACAAATACTCACTGAATTTTTTTCTTACTTCACAGCTCCCATGAATGGTATTCTTTCTGAATATCCCTCTGCAGGCCTAAACAAGAAGATCAAGTCATTTCCATTAGGGGGATGAAAGTATGCAAATGTCACTATGCCACTAATTTCACTAATTTCACCATACCAGGACTTTTCTCTCAAATACTACGAGTCTGCGAGATGGCAAAGAAATGGAAATATAAATATCTCAGGTGGAATGTGATGTTGAGCTTTAATTAATTAGAGCATTGGTGAGTGTGAGTGTCTACATGAGCTAGAGATCTACGAGATTAGGAGAAGTAGGCGGGTGACGGAAATATGGCGAGTTTGTACAGAAATTGAGAGGATATGGGATGATGGACTTGAGGGGATAATAGTATTTTAGGAGAGAGTGAGCTTGAATACATGTATGATGTCGGTGGGATCGACTATAGTATAGTGCGGTAGTGGAAGAAAGTTCAAGTACCGAGTCGTTGTGAGGAGACATTGATGAAATAATATTTTATGCTGAGGATATGGTCTTTCACCATGTTCTGGAGAAAGCACGTTGGAGTGTGATCCGATGAGTCGAACTCACTGGGCTAGAACCGGATCACAGTATCCGCTTGATACGGTGATACATAAGCTGCAGCATCACTTCGTTATTAATGTGGATTTGTATTAATATGGACTTCTATCAATGAATTGTGTCTTGCTTATGAAAGTGGAGGAAGTGGCTATATTTTCCAGAAAAGTATTTGAATTCCTATTTTCTTTCAGTCTGCTATTTCATATCTTCAATACTAGTCGAATGGCTTGTATTTGACACTTCGAACTTCTATGAAAATCTTAACCCTTCGATCAAAAAATCGTGAAGTCCATTAGGAGCCTTCTTTTGCAGGCTCATCTTGGGCCACATCAACCTTGGAAGGCATCTCTTCCGAGGTACTGCTGGAGATTTTCTCGCTCTCTTCTGGTTTCCTGCCCCAGACAACGTATATCTTATTGTAAGCGTGAAAATTTCGATTCGGGATAGATTTTCGAACATTCACCAAATACACCTGTCAGTCATCCCTATTAGCCAACTAAAACGCAAAAGAGCAATTCGGTGGAGTAAACTAACCTCAATTTGTTCTTGCTTCCAATCTAAGATGCGAGAAAATAAAGCCATACTAAAGCTCGATAAGCACGCAAGCCAATTCTCTTCAGACATCTCCCCAAGGTTTTGTAAGTGCTTGTCTTTAGACCAAGGATTAACTGGCAATTTGAACACTTTTTCTCGCACGTCCACAAATCCAGCTGCTTCGTACCAGTTCTTGAGGTTTTTGGCAATATTCATTGATCTACCGGCTTTGATTGCCGCTTTTTCGACAAACCCTATCCACTCTAAGAATGGCCAGGTTTCAGGCATCGATTCATCGTCACAATATGGAGTGAATAGAAGCTCTTGACTCTCCATATAGCCTCCTGGTTTCGTGTAATGGAATCCTCTTTTTATGATGGTTTCAAAATCTTTGAAGCATCCTAGTAACACCCGAGTGTGAATGTAATCAAAGTGGTTGGACGGCAGTACCCAATCGTCATCGCTAGCATCATCGATATAGAAATGAACGTTTTCTGGAACAGATACCGGTTGGATTGGAGAGAGATCAGTGGCTTGGACTTCCGCCTTTGGAAAGGTATCGCCCATTTCAATTGCCCATTGACCTGTACCGGTACCAATATCTAGAATGTAGCGAGGGTCGGATAGAGGAGCGAAGAAGTTGCGACCCGAGAAAGCACATTTTAGCATATCGAATTGTGCTTCAAGTCTGTCTTGCTCATTGACGTCATTTGGGAAGTGGTATGCTAGTAGGCTAGTTAGCTATTGACGAAAAAGCTAAATTGGACATCAGTACTTCCTGGACGATAGCCATGATATGTTCTGCCATTTTCTTCGGGAAAATCCACAACACTGCTTGTCAAAGATTTGGATGATGATCTGGATACGGAGTTAGCGTTCTCGGAGCTATTCCAGCAAGGCAGCTCGCACGAACCCATCGTTAGACTCAGGAGTTTCGGTTGATTGTGTATCGCGCTCGCGGCGGGAATCTGCATTCATGTTTGCACCTGGAGATTTACATCCTAGCTGTGCCTCGATATTTTCTGCATGTTGTGGTTGAGTCGCTGTTGAGGGAAGAGCACATTGTCCAGGTTCTTGATACTTAGACATGTTTGTGCGTGTCGAAAAGATCTAACCGTGAGAGATGCAAAAGGGGCGGACCCAAATCCTCGGGTTTGTTTAGTGTATTTGGTACGTTTAATTCTACGGGGAGAAGTTTTGTGGAATTTTGTATGGCTACTGAGTGCTTGCTTCTCCTGCAAGTAGGCATGACTACCGCAGCAGGTTGAGAGTTCGCATTGCTTCTGCTGGTTGAAATCTTCGTGCTCAACTCTCTACAATGGTTGGCCAAAACAAAGCCAACATAAGACAGCATGGCAATTTGCCCGCAGGTTTTCGACAATCATGTTATACATGTTGGTAGTTTTGTAGCCCTATTTCATCTATCTCTTTCGCGAATCTAAATTCCGCCATAGTGGTCTGACTCAATGCCGGGAGTCAATTCAACCTTCGGAATCCATGTGTTGGGATGCGTTAGCCAGATGCATGGGAGCCCAGCCTACTGGTTGGTATTTCGTTTGTTGTTGCATGCAGCTTGGCGTACGGAACTCGTGCCAGCTACGGATAAATGCATTCGGCCTGGACCAACAAATTGTTGGAGCTGCAACATTTATGTAATGGGCCACGACACTAGCAGTCATGGTTGTCCGCACCTTGTGGCCTCCCGAATATTTTCAATAGTGATAAAATAATATGCATGTTGTCAAATGAGGAAGTGGTTTCCAACAACAAGCATTCAATTTCGTTTGATGATCATGCGTATACCCGCCTGGGTTCAACTGGGCTCCATATCTAGATGAGTGGCCAAAGGAGGAAGTTCCATCACCCGACGACATGGCAATGGGAACCGAGACCTACATGCTTTCTGTCTTCCTAGTCATACATAAAGAGCTGTATAACCACTCGTGTTTGATTCCGACCCAGTCCAGGTCTCGACAAGACTTTAGTTGCGGGAGGAAGTACCCTTTGTGCAAAGTGAAGAAGGTTACCTCCGACTCCTCGGATTCTTTTCATCTACCGTTGAATACCGGTAGCTTTCTCTTGTCATTCATTGTTACGAAGAAGACTTGATCAATGACACAGGAGGATGGCACGCGCCAGAGTTTCGTTGCAGGACACATAATGCAACATTTCAAACAATCCTCAATTGGTTCCAATCCTGTGAATGCCTCACACCTTTCAATTAATTCGTAAGACACAATCATGTTCGACTTGTAAACCGGTCCAGGGTTTGATGGTGCAATAAACCTAAGCTCAAGGCATGAATGTTAACGAGGAGTGGTGTACTCCGCAGGTTGAGACGTTGAATACCCGTGTGGCGCAACAATGTGGCTGCACTCGGTGTGGCATCAAGTCTCTCCACCTGAAAGAGGGGCGACTGAGGATTTGACCTAAAATGGAAATCTACACATTTTGAGGCAGGAGTTTGCGATCATCAATTGAAAAGGTCATGAGATAGCAAGTTGTTGACAGTGACTATATAAACTTCATGGTTTCGCTTCAACTTTTTAGTCGTGTAATGTGACACGATTTTTCAACGTGCAATCCCACCAACGCGTCCTACTACCCTCCCATTGTCTTTCATTTCACAATGGCGTTCTCGGTTGCATCATCATACGAAAAGCTTCGATTACTCCTTAGTGATACTTCGAATGATGCTTTACCCGCACCCAATGCCATCGCGGTAGCCACTCAGTCCCTTGCCACAAATCTCCCTGCAATTGGAGTCGGAGAAGAAGCCACTGCAGCACATCTTCTTTCAGATATAACTCCTGGCTTCAATGGCCCGAAAACTTCATCTAACTATTATGGGTTTGTCACTGGTGGTGTCTTGCCAATCGCAGAAGTCGCTGACAACATTGTCACCGCTTTCGATCAAAATGTGCAAGTGCATCTACCAGATCAAAGCGTCAGCACTGCTGTCGAAGAGAAGGCCTTGAGAATGCTTGCAGATCTGTTGAATCTTGGAGACGACTGGAAAGGAAGTACATTTACTACCGGGGCTACCGGTGCAAACACTCTTGGACTGGCATGTGGACGGGAAGCTATAATTTCTCGGCGGCTCGAGAAGAAGGGAGAGAGCAGAGGCGTTGGAGAATTGGGGTTACTTATGGCCTGTAATAAAGCTGGGATTAAAGACATTCAGGTCTTGACCGCCATGGCTCATAGCTCTATATACAAATCTGCAAGTATTGTTGGGCTTGGACGAGCTTGTGTTAAGAATATTGGGACTAGTCCGTCCGAGCCATGGAAAATTGACATGCTTCTATTGGAACAAGAGTTGGCCAAAGAGAAAGATGGAGTAGCTAGCATAGTTTCGTTGAGTGCTGGAGAGGTCAATACTGGAAGATTTTCAACTGATGGAAAGCACGAGATGCAAAAAGTCCGTGAACTTTGCGATCGCTATGGCGCCTGGCTACATGTCGATGGAGGTAAGTTAAAAACGGCGGTTGTCTCTTGCATCTACAACTAACAAGCCTTTAGCCTTCGGGATATTCGCTCAGAGTCTTCCAGATATTTCAGAATTTGCCTCTCTGCGAAGCATATCTCAGGGTATCCAATTAGCGGATTCAATAACAGGGGATGGCCATAAAATGCTTAATGTGGTATGCTATACGACCCTCATTCGTTAAACTGATTCTTTCAAATCCTTCTGGCTAACATCTAATCAGCCTTATGACTGCGGCTTTTTCTTCACAAGGTCGGTGTCAACACTGACATCTGTATTTCAAAATCCGAATGCAGCATACCTCTCATCTGGACCATCAAGCATTCCATCACCTTTGAATATTGGTCTTGAGAACTCACGCCGCTTCAGAGCCCTGCCAGTATATTCAGTGCTATTGGCGTACGGTCGTGAAGGCTTGAGTCAGATGTTTGCTCGTCAAGTCAGATTAGCAAGGGGAATCTCAAAGTTTTTGGATGCACATGTAGGATACGAACTGCTTGCCAAAAGCAAGTTTGAGGATGAAAGAGTCATTGATAATATTCACATCATCGTCATATTTCGAGCAAAAGATGACAGCACTAACAATGAATTGGTCAAAAGAATCAATGCAACGAGAAAATTGTATGTGTCGGGAACGAAATGGGAAGAGAGACCAGCCTGCAGATTCGCAATCAGCACGTGGAAAGTCGATGTGGAAAGAGATCTACAGCTGATCCAATGTATCCTGGATGATGTCCTCCAGTATCGACAATAATACCTGCAATGAACCTTCCTTATACTCGCCAAACTCAATCAGGTTGTCGGAAAGATCTTCAAGATCCTATTTTCTCTTACAGCAATTGTCAAAAATCATTCACACATCTGCAATATGGGAAATGAAGCGGCATATTGTACAAGCATCATGAAGTAAGTTATGAATTCCGTGCTGGATGAAACTTCGTAAATTAATATCCGAAGCCATGGCAGGTAACGCAGCTATCTCATCTCGATCTACGGATAAGAAAAGTAAACTGCTGTTGCATCTATCTCAAATAACGAATCTATGGTATTTGACTGCTTTAAAATAGAGTATTGTCTTTACTCAAACAAGAGCACTGAACTATCTATTTACACAAACTTTGCAGCTGATGTTGTATTTCTTATCAAACCTCAGCTTTCTCAGATCTTCAGAAATTCAAGCTCTTTTACTCTCATCACTACCATACTTCTTCAAATGTTCATCCTTCAATCCCGCAAAGTTGCTTGCCACAAGCGGAGCAAATAAGTCTTTAAACCAACCTCTTCGATAACTTTCCAATCCCAAGTCTTGCAGAAGACTATCACAATACCCCGCCAACTTAAACATCATATTGTTTCCCTCATCCCCACTGCTTGAATATCTGCTACTATTACACGCTGTGAATAATGCAACTTCCCCTTGCTATTCTTGGCTTGGCGGGAGAGCTAGTTTGCCATCCAGATATGCGATCGCTCACATAGATTGGCATTGTACGACGGGGAAGTAGTTTCCTACGCCTACTTTTCCGATGAATACGATGGTATTCCCGTCAACTTCTAAATCTAATGTAGGGAGAGGCGATATGTGTTTGTAAAGACGGTATGGGGTATGAGTAACAGGACGACGGTAACGCGGGGGTGGGTTTGCAAGTTGCGGAAGTCTCGAGACGACTTTCTGGTCTGCTTCCGAGGTATCCGAATGGCAATCGCGCTATCAAGTGTCATGGCTGGAACAGCAACACTAGTCGCATTGAGTCAAGGCTGGTTTCGAATGCAGCAGGAAGTGGGTAGTGGGGATGATACTCAACATGGTATTGAGTTGGAACAACAAAGTGAAAGCGATTCGCGGAAGATACATAGCCAACTTCTATTGTAGATAAGATCCTAGCGTAGATATCATAAGCGAAAAGTGCGGCGGGCGGCTCCAACCTTACATCAGCGAAACAACAGGCGGGATTTAACTACTATTCGAACAAATTTTAACAATTCAGATCTCTTTTTGATATCATATTATATATTAGAAACTTCAATTATTAATATATAAAAAGCTTAAACTTTTGATTGATTTTTTCAAATTCTAATATTTCTTTTGGGTTGAATTAATAGTCCAATAAATAAATGATATTGAAACAGACTCGAAAAGGTTAAGTTGGGTTACCAGTGGGTGTACAGACTAATGAGACACTCTAAAAATGAACTTTCAAATATCTCTTGATATATTTAACTTGATATATTGAATTTATATTTTGAGAATTATTACAATCGTTTATTCGAGATGAAACGATCAAAGTAGAAATTCTAATACCAAACAATCAAAGATTGAATTTGTTAGTTATTTGAAAGTTGGGAAATGTCCCGTCAATCTATGCACCCACTAGTGAGCCTTTTTTTCGCTTACATAGAAGAGGGCGGCTAAGAAAATTAGGCTGCGACGCACATGCCACACTTGCGATCAACGTCAGCCTAAACTTAATTGATTCATTTGACTTGTGTATGAAGACTCATCATTTAATTTGTGGAGTTTCATCCGTAATCTGGGGTATTTAAGTACTGCTTGTTATATTGAATGTTCAGAATATAATAGAGAGGTTGGTAAAAGAACTTCCCACTGAATAGGAACATCATTACTCATGTCATCGAGTCACGAGTCACATTCCGAACGCAAACGTCCACCCAAATTATAAGTTAATGTCCATCATACAACAAATCGTCTTTTCTCAAAATGTCGGCTTCACAAGCAGAATCACATCTCGAAGCACTGCCCACCGAACTCAAAATAAAAGTCCTTCGATGTCTCAGAAGCGTGTCCTCTCTGAAATCTCTGACCCACTCATCACCTCGATTCTACAATGCTTACCATAGCGAGGAATATGCAAGAATTTTCGAACAAGTAGTAGAGAACGAACTTGGAAGCGAAGTTTTTAAAGAAGCGTGGTTCGTGATTAGAGCAGCACGGCACCTACATCTGCGAACCAGTAATCGTTACAGTGACGAATTGGATGATACATCACGAAAGGCATTATCAGAACTATTAAGAAGTGGAAGAAATCTAGATAGAAGTGAGCTGGGTATCACACTGGAGGATATAATTTGGTTTTCAAAGAAGCTGCCCGCACTCCAAGAAATGACGATGGCATTTTTTAAAAGTATGCTAGAAAATCATCCAATTACTGGAGAACGGATCGCTTTGTCATCACTCCAAGGAAAATCTCCCTCCAAGAGCGAGTTCTGTCGCATCCAACGTGCCTTTCTCCGAATAGAGGCTTTTACCTATTTATTTTCACTTGAAGACCACGATTCTTCAGCATACGATCAAGATCCAAGTGGTCCATTCAAGGAGCAAGAGTTAAATCGTATTTACCGACACGACTGGAATCGACGCCGACGTCCGTTTGAACTATCCAGTGAGCAGCAAGCTCTCTTCTTGGATAGATACGAGGAATGGGAAATAGAAGAAATGATTTGCGTACGAGAGTGGTATCGTAGGGAATATAGTCTTCTATATGAGCAATATCCGAAGGAATGGAAAGACGTTTGGATTTATCAAGAATGGATAGATGGAGACCCGTACCGCTCCCTCGAGGAAGCCGCAAATAGCGAATGGCTCAGGGAAAAGGATTGGGTGGATTGGGAAAATGTGAACGAATTGTCTATGAGCAAGGGGTTTGAGTTGTTGGCGGAAGTAAAACGCAAAGAAACTGGAAAGGAGAAAGTTAACCTTATATACAGTGCTATAGACAGTGGTGCAATCTACTTCATTGACCTGGACGGTTATCTGTCGATTACATTGGAAGAATGGAACATCTTAAGGACCAAGGATGCAACGAGAGAAGACATCTCCATTCAAACCTTGCAGAAGTGTTTGAGAGAACAATCTGCATGGGATGAGTCAGGAAGCAATGCAGCATGGTGCTGGGTGCGTAGACAATGGGAAAGAGATGACAGAAAGTGGTCCCAGACAGGAAAGTGTTTGAGAAGCTGGGGATACGTAATGTGGGATGCTTGGAGGTTAGATGCGCTGGGTATTTTTCGCCTCGACGTTGATGAGATTGGTTTGCATGGACCAAAGAAATTTGGTGAACTGTTGTTCTCGGAGAGGACGACGGAACAGGATGATGAATAGGATGTAGTGAAGTAATGAGTCGTTATTTTCCATGATCACGAGCAGCCAATCGATGTTTTCTTGCTGGTGAGGGTCCGAGGTGGATCAGTATCAACCTGTGATACATGATATGATTTTGTTTCATTGTTTGTATATACTCAATTGTATTACCAATCATGGGATTTTATTCCACAACACAAGCCTAGCAATGACATTAGGAAACACTACACATCAGCAACTCTACACTTATTTACTCCACAAATCTTCGAATCAACTCAAAGCCCTACCGTCCAGTATTAAGAAAACAATATCCTTCTAAGTCCGACTCTTCTTATCGACATTTACCCAAAAAGAGATATCAAGACAAAGTATTCAGAAACATAACTATCATTCTTGATATTCATAACTCACTTCCCAAAGCGGGATATCGATACCATTTCGAGAAATTAAACAAGAATATTCACACATATTTATAGTTCTAAAGTAAAATCCATCAACTACATACATCTAATTCACCCGCAACATGACATACATGAATTCGCTTAAATTATTCTCAACTAGGAATAGAAGATTGAAGGGATAGTCAGTTCAGAAGATCTAACTGGCATATAAGATATAAATCCAAAAGGTTGTACAATCTGGTATCGTATACTGACCCTCAGGTTAAACCGGTCAACTCCTCTCTCTCATCCACATGCCAACTATTACATCAAAATCATAGCACCTCATCATAAATCATATTATTAGTTCCGCCTAGGAATCAAAGTTCTCAGTAACGAACTTCAATCATGAAGTAGTCGAATCATCTAGTAATCAATCTCTTTCCAAACCCTCTTACAACTCAATCTTCATTCAAGAATACTTTATAAACACTCCCCATTCAACCCTACACTTATGACCTATCCATATAAGAAATCATGACGAACAGTCTATATCAAATTCGTATCTCTCAAAATGATTATATATCATTTTCTAAATGTTAATTTTCAAATTAGGATATACATCTCAAGATCTCAAGTTCCAATAGACGGATGAAAACCCCACTTTCCTGTTACCGCAAAGAATATATATCATCATGTCATATTCGTATTCTCGTTATCAAAGCTTCTTACTTTATTATTATCGGATTGAGTTATTGGTAATCGCATTGTCGACTAGGCCAGATCTTTTTCATCATTCTGTCATTTTTATTTAGCGATTCCGAAAATATCATACCCATTTCTCTCTTGATATCTAGATACTCTAGAGGGTAGTTATATCATCAAATAAATCTCTAGAAGCTTTCTGGTCAGACCATTCGAGGTTATTAAGACGTAATTGCAGAAAGACTCATTCTGTTTTCCTGACATCGAATCGTATCGTTATTCCCATTTTCATCACTTTACATAAAGAATAAAACATGACAATATCTTCTACTTTTGACTGTTACTATCATCCCTTCCTGATCATCATCATTACATAGTATTTCATATCCAATATCATTGTTTTCTTAGAAATCTTTCACCCCTCATCCATTACGCACCAAATGAGCAATCCCTATTTCATTACTCTCAACTTTCAAAAAAAAATGGTTCCTGTTCCCTAGTAAAGATCAAAAAGGAAAAGGACAACCGAAAAGAGACTTTAATACTCATCCACTACAAAAGAAAATTGATAATAGAGAAGAAACCGGGAATATAAATCCTAGAGCAAAGATCTCAAAACTACCCATTCTCAACTCAAGATGAAACCCTAGCAAACTCATTCTTCCACATCTTCCATTCAGAAATTTCCCTGGCTCTAGCTTGACGAGAGGAAACTCTCCTTTCCTTATAACGAGGAAATTTATCTCCGGATTGAGATTATATTATGGAAGAAAAGGTCTAATAATATTAAGAAGTATTTCACTTCCTCATCAACATCATTTCCTCCACTTATCCCCATCATCCACTATAATTAAACCATCGCCATCAACAATCAATCTCATACTCACGCTTACAATCTTCATTCTCATTCCCTCCTCGCAAATTAAATCCCCAAATTTGAATCTAAAAACCATTGAATCATTATCCAGAATTATTTTTCCCATGTTTGAGTTCCTTGCCGGATAGGATAGTCGGTACAGTAAATCTCATTTTCCTAAGAAGATCATCTTCAGGGCGAGGGTCAAAAACTTGAATTTTTATATCATAGTAATTACTTGGACAAAGGAGAACTTGTCGAAAGCATTTAAATAAAGACGCAAGAAGGCGCGAGGATTAGAAGAGAGATTATTTTTCAACTTTCAAATTATCTTCCCCCCCTCGCCCCAAAAGTAGTTTTGGAAAATGATAGCAACCCCCCCTTAGAAAATTGACTCTTCCCACAAGCATTAAACATCACATTCATATAATCCTATATATTCTCATCCATCTCATCCCATCCCTTCACATAATCAAACACAAAAATGCTCCCAAATCTTTAAACTCGCAAATCTTGATATAAAATCCCGAATCTCAGAATCCTAGAAGTAATCATAAAAGTGATAGAAACAAAAACGGTTTGGAACAAGAAAAGAGACCCGAGGTGGGAGAATTAAACAATATAGAGGAGAGAGATATATTACTCTAATGCCGTTTCTACTTCTTTCTTAAGAGCGAGAAAAGTATAGAGAATAGCGAATAACAATTCTCTCATCGAAAGAGTCAAACCATCAATCTTTCAGAGAGAAAACTACAAGGAATGAAGAGAGAGAGAGAGGAAGAGAGAGAAGTTTCCTAGCCCTCAAAAGGGGGAATCTTCATCTTCATCTTCATCTCAATAAACAAAACCGAGTATCATATTACACCTAACATCCAGCATCTAACATCCAGCATCCATCATCCTGTATACAAATCTCAAGAGTCAAGATCCACATCAAGATTACCATTCCTCTCAATCTTGAATCTTGATTATACAGCTAGCTTCAACTATAGAGAAAACACTAGCAGGTAACTATATATACTGTTGAAAATAGTCAGTTTCCGTAGTATTGGCGCCATGGCCTAATTGGTACTAGCGTCAATTCGTAAGGTGGTTGCACCTCATAGAGGGCACAACCATATTCTAGCTCTCTCTTTAGTCAAAATGATGAGTCGGGTACCCTACTTTCGGGCCACCCCTCTTTTGGGCCACTTTTTACATCAAAAATGGAATTTTTAACTCTTTTATTTATGAATGGAATTTATTGAAAATTTATATATATATATAATTCAAATCGTTTTGAATCTAATCTGAAATTTTTAGATTTTTAGGATTTTTCTATATTGAAATCTGAAGCTTCAAAATATCGATTTTTAAATTTGTATAAGAATCTGTTACGGGAGCTGCCTCTAGGGTCACGTGGAAGTGTCTAGAGATCTCTCGAGGTGGTTTAGACTAGACTTCAAGTAGGAATTCAATAAGGTTGTAACTGGTTGCAATTCTCGTAACTATAGTAATGAAACTAATGATTGTTCTTGAGCACGAAGCTCTACATGTAAGGAAACCCTTTCCCTTATATAGACCTTTGCACTCTGCGATCCCATCGATCCCACTCACTGAGAGTAGTGGGCGTAGTGGGATCCCACTGATCCCATTGATAATAATCGGTGGGACTGATGGGATGGTCCATCACGTGATACTAGTCCCGTGAGTCTTGTCGTCCTGTCTTATTTCCTGTCCTAGGGCTAATCCCTTGGGAGCTTACTAATCCTAGCAAGACCTCTCTTGCTTACTGTGTCCTGTATTGCTTATTCTTCTTAGGACCCTACTGTCCTAGGAACCATGTCCTATGATTCAGTGTATTCTATAACTAATACTATATACATGCCTGAGGCTTTCCTTGGGTGCCTAGTGTCCCCCGGTATACTGCAGCTGAATCACTGAGGCCTATAATACCATTATAGCCTATAAGTCAGTGATTCTACAGCCTGTTACTAATCCGTTGTAACAGAATCACATACAAGTTTAAAACTTTTACAAAATCTTCAATAACTTTTTAATAAAAATTATTAAAAATAAACTAAGAAGTTTTATTATAAGTTTATAATATATTTATTTTGAAAAAATAAGAAAAAATAAAAAACTTCTTATAAATAGATATTTAAAAGAATATTTTCAAAATTATAGGGATTATTTTGTTACGCCGGTCCATCCTCGGTACCGCGTCACATGACTCTTAGCACGTGATGGACCCTGCATGACAGGCATAACGGAATGTAGGTCCATACAGACCAAAGGTCCAGGACCTCTCTAGGTCCTGAACGCTCCAGTACAGTACGAAGGTCTATATAAGGGAAAGGGTTTCCTTACATGTAGAGCTTCGTGCTCAAGAACAATCATTAGTTTCATTACTATAGTTACGAGAATTGCAACCAGTTACAACCTTATTGAATTCCTACTTGAAGTCTAGTCTAAACCACCTCGAGAGATCTCTAGACACTTCCACGTGACCCTAGAGGCAGCTCCCGTAACATATTTATATTATTTTAAACTCATTATATACTATATCTTTATATCTGTTAATTTTTTTAAATTTTTTTTAAATTTTTATATAGATTTAAATTCAAAACTTTCCAAAAAATATATAGTTTTCTTTTAATAATTGTTGTTAAAAAGTTATTAAAGATTTTATAAAAGTTCTAAATTTGTATGAGATTCTTATATAAATTAAAAAATCAATATTTTAAAGCTTTAAATCTCAATACAGAAAAATCTAAAAAATTTAAAAATTTCAGATTAGATTCAAAACGATTTGAATTATATATATACAAATTTTCAATAAATTCTATTTATAAATAAAAAATAAAAAATTCCATTTTTTGAGATTTTTGATAATAAAGAGTGGCCTAAAATAGGAGTGGCCCGAAAATAGGGTACCCGATTTAATACTATAAACTATACTCACAATTCAACTAATTCATTTCTCACTGTGACCATATTTCAACATATACTCACCAAAACTACATAGTATATCTATCACTTCCAATTTTCCCACCTGTAGTTTCAATTTTCTATACTGTTGTCCGGGAAAGAAATCGTGC